GACTTTTGCATTCTCGTAACGAGTGGATGGGGATGTTAGGTAGCCCTGTTTAGCCCATCCAACGATGTCCTTCCTGCCAGGCTCCCCTTGCCTTCAGCCCTCCACAATTACCCCAGCAATGCATGCCAAAATGACAATGGATCTTACCCATTAAGCGCCCCGGGGAGAAGGCCTGGCTTGATAGGCAGATGCATCAATTACTGGGGAGGATGAAATGCTACTTGGAGCAGAACCGTCCCGTCTCTCCAAAGCCCCTTTGCCAAATGGGAAACCCACTCCAGGAGTTCATGAAGAATAATTACCGGCCCCTTTTCTGGGTGGGCTCTTTGACGGTGCGGAAGAAACACTCCTCCAATTGTTTGGGGGGGGGAGGGGGAGGGGGAAGCAGGCGAACAATAGATCAGCCCTAGATGAGGCTGGGGTCCCAATGCCTTCGGCACCCGCGATGGGCCATGGACCTCCGGCTTCATGCAGCTGTGCTCCTTTACACACCTGTCCTTCTTCCCAGCATCCAAGACTGGGGTGGGATACAGGTAGCCCTCGACTTACGACCGCAGTTGAGTCCCAACATTTCTGCCGCTAAGCGGGACAGTTGTGAAGTGAGTTTTGCCCCCCACTCGGTGACCTTTCTTGCCACGGTTTTTACGTGAATCACAAGATGGGTCGAAAACCACAGAAACAACCCTCTGATGCCTAACCCAACCTGGGCTGGTTTACCAAGATGCTGGGGAAGACGATGGGCTTTGTAATCCACTCCTACAGAGACCACCAAGTTGCGCAAAGCTTCTCTAACAACGGAGGGAGAAAGATCACAGCAAAATCTGCAAGAGGGGGTCCTGTTCACGAGGACAGGAGCGTGCAAACTAGATTTGGGGTGTGTGACTAGAACCTGCAATTTCAATCTTCAACACCCCCCATCCCCACCCCCAGTGCAAAGCAGGCAGGCAGCCTCTGAGCCACAGCATGGAGACTTACACGCTGCTGTGGGTGCTAAGGCTTTAAGAGCTGCAAGCACAGGTCGACCTACAACAATTCATTTTGTGACCCGTCAAAGTTACAAGGGCACTGAAAAAACTGACTGATGACTGTTTTTCACACTTACGGCCATTGTGGCATCCCCTTGGCAACTGACTCGTATTTATGACAGTCACAGTGTCCCCGGGGTGTGTGTGTCACGTGATCCCCTTTTGAGAGCTTCTGACCAGCAATGTCAATGGGGAAACGAGATTCACTTAACAACTGTGTGACTAACGTAACAAATGCCTTGATTCACTTAACAACTGTGGCAAGGAAGATCATTAAGCGGGACAAAATTCACTTAACCAATGTCTTAACCAGCGGAACAGAAGTTGCCTCCAGAACTTGTGGATGCTTCATCACTGGAGGTTTTTAAGAAGAGACCTGACGGCCATTTGTCTGAAATGGCAGAGTCTCCTGCTTGAGAAGGGGCTTGGATTAGAAGACCTCCAAGGTCCCTTCCAGCTCCATTCTAATTGAATTGTCTCACTTAGCAACAGAAATTTTGGGCTCAATTATGGTCGTACGTTGAGGACTATCTATATGTATTTGCATGAATCACTGCCATCTTCACCTCCTTTGCTAGTTCCAGGAAAAAGCAAGCATCAAAGAAGTCCATTACATTTTTCCACTTTAGCTCTTCACATTTAAGAATAATGTTATTTGTAAGGAAAATCACCTCCAAATTTTGAAGACACTCCTATCTCGTTTGTGCCAATCTGGGACTTGGGATCTTGGGCATAACCTGGGTGAAAATGCCATCCATCTGTCCCCAAAACACGCCTTGAGCTCCTGGAAAATATGAGAGATAATTTGGAGGAGCGAAAAATAAAAAAAAATTACAGCATCAACAATAACAGATACTCGACGGTTGTGCACAGCATAATAGACCCTTTAATGTATTCCTTCTGTCGGCATTGTGTATCTGCATGATAATTTTATGTGACAGTGTAATTAAATTGGAAAACAATTCCCATTTCCTATGTCTTTTACCTATTTATCATCATTTATTTCTTTACTTTCACCCCCTGCCATAAATATTATTGTAAGAAGAGTTAAATAAGTTAAACCAATGCAATTACTTTTACAGATTGAAATTAACTTCATATATCAATTTATACCCGTTTCCCAGTGATCTGGCCTGGATTTCCGGGACTATATTTACGATGTCACCGTGGTTTCTGTGTTTGCATTCGTTTTTGAGTAATGATCTGTGTGTTAAAAGCTGACATTTTAACAGTATTTTCAAACATTTTCATTCATTATCAAATAACCATTTGTTACACTGTGGCAATTCCAAACCATTTACTGCTCCCCCCCACACGCCCATTGCTAAACAATGATTAATCAAGCATGGTGCAAATTTTAATGCTTATCACAGCAAATAGAGAAAGTCGCATTAGGAAGTGACTTGACTTCAGGCAAGGTCCAAATTTTTATTCTTATTATTTTTTTTTAAAAAAATTCCCGATGAGACATTTATTCAGTGTGAAATATTTTGCATTTTTTTTAAAAACAAGCCAGAGAAAAGCATCAAGCAAAGCATTGGGGAAACCCTTTGAAATCCTGCCGCGTTCTTCACGGGTCTGTTTCAATTTGTATTCAGAAGTTTCCCCATCAAACCCAACTTTCAAATGTTCAGTTGTCAGTCCTGAGCCGCTTCCTCACGTTAAGCTCGAGTCGAGTTGGGCAGGAGATCAATCAATCAATCAATCAATCAATCAAATAATGCTCCTGAGAAGTGGGATTTTTCGCCCTCCCTCTGCTGCTTCATTCGAGGATCAGAAGCTACCCAGCTTTGCATATCTTTCATTAACTATAGTTTATTGATTGGGTTCACACGATGCTCTAAGACAGTTTCTTAATCATGGTTTGTTGGCTGGGTTCACATGATGCTCTAAGCCGGTGTTTCTCATTCTTGGCGACTTTTAAGAATCGTGAATTTCAACTCCCAGAATTCCCCCTGGTGAGGAAATTCTGGGAGTTGAGGTCCACACATATCATTTGGGGAATTCTGGGAGTTGAAATCCACCCATGCTGGCTGAGGAATTCTGGGAGCTGAAGTCCACACATCTTCCAGTTGCCAAGAGTGAGCAATCCTGCACTAAGCCATCAACGATACAAAATGTTACATCCGAACAAACATGGTTCAGTCAGTTGTCCGAAAGCAACCAGTTCAAGGCTCGCTCCTTTCCTGCCTGGTTTTCCCCATCTCCGTCTTCCTGTCCTCCCATGCATTTCTTCCACTTTTCATTCTGATTGAAAGACAATTTTGGAAGTGAAGAGACCCACCTCGTTGAGAAGGAAACCACACCACACCCCAGAAACAGAACCGAAATGGATTTCCACCTTTTTTTTTTTGGTGGCCCAAATGAACGGCTGTTTCTTCACTCCAGATTTCTAGAGGTTTGGGGCATCACCCAGCCCCAAAAGGACAATGGTTGCAAGACGTTAGAAAAAGTCAGAGAAAAGATGGGAAATAAAGCCTCTCTGGGGGCTGAAGGGCAATTTCTTGAATTGATCAAGTTCAGGGGAAAAAGCCCTCAATCCTGGATCCTTCCATAATTAGCCATGTATTTGCTGAGACATTAGGCTGCTTTGCAATTCAACATCTTGTTAATGACGGGAACTTAGCATGCCAAACAAACCCTGGAGATCCTGGGAACAGCCAGGAGTGGTCCACCCTAGGAAGTCTCTAACAATACCCAGGGTGCCCAGGTGCTCCTATGCTCATGCCCAGCTTCACCCCATCACACAGGTGGAGCCTGCCAAGTGGGTGAGAATTTCTGAAAAGCACTATATATATTTAATTTTGTTTTCACATCTAACTTTGTTTAGGAAAGCCCACAAGCTGGGCAGATCATCCACTTTTCTTACCTTCCCTCTCATCTTCCAAAAATGAGAAAAAAGGAGTTGCAACACTCTCCCACACCAATAGAGGGCAGCAAAGAAAACCACTTGTTGCTCCTAGTGGTTCATCTAGAGTACTGCAGGCCAGAAAGAGTAGTTTTAGCCCCTCCCCTCCCCACTTCTATCCAGGTTTATTCTCTGCATCCCCTCTAAATCCTTCCCTGCTTTTCATTCTTTCATGTTTAGGGATCTGCCTGCCATCCTGTGGACAAAGAAAAATGCTGCAAAACAGCAACTTTTTCCCAAGGGGAAAAAAAAAGCAACACAGAACTAACCCCACTGCAAAGAAGTCATTGTTCTACATAAAGAATTGTTGTAAATAAATCTTGCTTTTCAAATCCGAGCCTTCGTTACTTTCAGGCTGAATGTAGCCTAACCTCAACAGTTCTAAGTAGTAAATCATAAGAAGCAAAGTCTTCCAGGGAGCGGAATAATGGAACCTCCAACTGTAGGGGCAGTATACCTGATGTTCTGTTTGTGGGCGACTGGAGGGAGATCTCTGGGCGCTTTTTATGTTCCGTAGGGGTGGCCTTAAAAAGACTTGATTGACCGACAAATATAGATTATGCAAGTTTGATATTGAAGCGTGCTGTGTGAATCAGCCCAGGGTTTCCCAAGCAGTCTGACTGCATGCGTGCAGACAGCCACTTATTCTGCAATCATCATCATCATCATCATCATCATCATCATCATCTGCAAAGATTGCATCGTCATGCAATCTTTGAAATTAACACCCTTCCTCCTTGCCCATTTGCAACCTGGCGCCCGCCGCTGCGGAAAATCATGCCCTAATAGAACTATTTGCATAAACCACGCCCACCACCTTGTAGACCACTCCCATTGCCCGACTCGGGAGACGAAGGCAGCGCGGCGACAAAACCAGAAGGAAATCTTCGCTTTAGACGCATGCGCAATTTACTCGCAGGCCTTAGCCGGAGTCGAGCACCGCTCAGCGCATGCGCTCTCGGCCCCTCCCTACCGCGCCCTTCCAGCCGCCTCACAGAGCGCAGGCGCAAAATAGCGGCCCGCTCCGTTTCCTGAGGAAAGGAGGGGGGGCTGCGTCCTGCTTCCTGTTTGCTCACGTGTCCTTCCGGGGCAGGGTCGCCACCTTCGGGAGGGGTCGTTCCGGCCGGCTGTGAACGACAGAGGCACCGCGTTGAGGTGAGTCCTCTCTTCAGGGCCGGCGAGGGATTATTATGGGATGCGGGGGTCTCGGAGAGGAGAAATGGGGCGGGGAGGGGGTCCTCCGCCTCTCCCCTGCTTCCCCCTCAGATCCTTCCCCAGCTAGATTTCTACCTGCAGGGAGCCTGTGCTGTTTTCTTTCTTGGTGGGCGGGGCCCTGATTCTGAGGGGGGAAACCCCCCCATATTTGCTGTTTTGGCTGCTCGTAATTCGGCCTCAGGTCATCGTCAAAGCCCCCCTGGTCGATATCATAGGAGGGCGGGGCCAGCCCTTTCAGGGGAGGGGCCAGGAAGCTCCCCGCCCACCTGATTGGTTCATTCGGGTCCCACTGAATGTGATTGGGCAGGGGCTCCTTGGAGTGACAGCATGGGAGGGGTTCCAACTTTGCTGTGCTGGGGAATTCTGGGAGTTGAAGTTCCACAAGTCTTAAAGTGACTCAGATTGGAGACCCCTGTTCTATATAGCCTTACAGATAATCCTCCACTTACGAAAGTTCGTTTAGTGACCGTCCTAAATTGCAACGGCACTGAAAAAAGCGATTTAGGACTGTTTTTCACGCTTATGGTCATTGCAGCCTCCCCATGGCCACGTGATCAAAATTTGGTGATTGACTCCAACAATAACTGGATGGAGTTCGGCTATTTTGAAATCTGCAGCTTGGCTTCCTGCTTCACCCTTCTAATGGGAAGTGGAATTACTCAAATGTTGTTTCCTCCGGGGCTTGAGTAGGCAGAAAACTCACTTTCAAGGGACTATGATTAATATCCTTTTAAAGCTTGCCCTGTAGCCATTGCTGGATACACCCAAAACTGTGGTTGCCTCTCCTACCAGTGTTCTTCCAAAGCAGAGGTCTTCAAAATTAGCAACTTTAAGACTTGTGGACTTCAACTCCCAGAATATGTATATTGGTAGTGTGTAGCAGCTCTTTGCCTTTATACATACATGCACTGGCTGATGAGCACAGTCTTTGTGTGATGAGATCAATTTCCAAACAGATCTGTAAAGGCACACTGAGAAAATGCATCAATTGCAGCAGGTCGGTTGTGGAATATTTCAGCAGAAATGGAAAAATTGCTGCTGCTTTGGCATAAATGCACTGCCCCAGTTTCTTCTGTGGATTAATTCAGATGCTAAATTAGAGCTTCCTAGGAAGCCACTCCTGGCCTGACTAAGCACGTCTTCAACAGAAACGTATTTTGCAGTTCCTCACATCTCCCCCAACAATACGGAACTCTGGATCAAGACGGAGCTGCGTTAGCCCTTGAGGCAAAGCTGAGGATGGAAGGAGTGGAAGTTAAGGAGGAGTGGCAGGACGAAGACTTTCCCAGGTAAGGCACAGCCAACTTGTTTTGGTTCACTTTTGTTGGAAAACGAAGTCAGTGATTATATAATTTGCAGTGTGGCCTCAGGGCAAGGTTTTCAGAAGATGCATTTGTCAGGGTGGACTCATACTGTATTCAAGGAGCTTGACTGGATTGCAAGTGCACAATGTGAGCCTAAGCTAATCTTTGTGGTCCGGGGAAGTTTGGAGATCTGTTCACAATGGACAAAAAATTTCCTTGCCTATGAAACTCAAGCAGTTTGTTACTCAAGGCGCCGTTGATGATGAAAATTAATGCAAGTTATTGCAATGAGTTATTTATATGCTAGTGATAATAGCAGTCCTGATTAGCAAATGTATCTTTTACAACCCATTGTGGGCAGCTATTTATGCAGCAAGGGTTGAGAAGGTGTGCAGATATCACATGAACAGGTGCAGTCCTGAGGTGTTCATGTTAGTGCGTCATCTCCTGATACAACAGGACTCACAAGTGATCTGGACTCTGGAAGTAGTTGTGCCATCCACTTGGAACCAAATTGCTTGTGAGCTATTGTAACTCTTAGTGTTACAGAAAGGAAATAGGAAAGGAAGCAACTCTGATCTTGACTACATTTAATGTCTGCCTTCAATTCCAGACCTTTGCCAGAAGATGACCAAATGGAGGCTATGTCTGGGCCAGCTGAAAGAGGAGACCAATCCGGTAAGTGCATCCATCTCGGTTGGAGAAGGCAATTTGATGCCCTCAGGATATTGTGAACTTGGCCTTGGGACTTACCTCAGATAAGGTCAGAACATTTCAATAAAGAGGGCCTGGAGTGTTGAAGACCAGTAGCATTGGGAATTCAAAACATTGTGTTTCCTTCTGATGGATCATAATGGACACAGAATAAAGAATGTTTTTTATAAAAGATAAGCACTCACTTTATTAGAATGACTAAAGTTAGATATATGATCTCTGCAGAAATGTCAAAATGGATTTCAAACAGAATAGAAACAGTCTTGTATTTAATTCTAGAACTGTTGAGTATATAATTAATTTCTTTGCTGAATGAAGTGCCTGTTTGACCTCCCTTTTAAAAAGTAAAGAAAGATTGTAACATAATGCTTATGTTTGACGGGCCTTCAACAATTAGCCCTACTTCTCAACCCCAAGTAAAGTAACTTCTAGCTGTCCCCCTTCTGTTAAATAGTTTCTTTTCTAGTTTTGAGGCTTCTTTTTCTAGCTTTGACATTTATCACGAAATCACTTGTTATCTTCCCCTACCTTTCAACCTATTAGAAATTAATGGCAACAAAGTTAAGAAGAAACTAATAGCTCCAAATATAAACTTGACTTTGGATCAGAGTGAAGAGTCCATTTTATCTGGCTTAGAGGCAAGTGGAGATATTGACTTGGATGATATAGACACCCCCTCGGAGAACAGCAATAATGAGTTTGAGTGGGAAGGTAAGATTTTTTTTAAAAAAAAATAGCAGCGAAGTTTTATCCTTAGGTATGTTCCCTCTCGGGTGCTGCTGTTGCTGAGCCTGCTCCTTTGTATGGATGTTTCACATGCGTTGAAACGGGGGGTGCAGAGTCCACTACTCCACAAATGCTTGGCTTTTTTTTTTTTTTTTTTTACTGTGGGTGAGAGGCGGGTTCGGTTGTGTGTCATTGCAATAAGGTTTCTATCTCTTCTCTTTTTAATGCCGCTGTCTGCGTTTCCCTGGGAGGATAGTTTCCCTTAACACAGCCTTCTGTCCTTGGAAACAAACTACTAACTTGCTGAAGTAGTTTTTCCCACCTCTGTGGTAAGGCTTCCACTACTGAAATCCCTGTAACAAAACCAGGAGGATGATTTAGTCCTCGCTAGCGCCCCTCCCCCCCTTCAATATCAGGCATAGCTTTGATTGAAAAATTTGTCTATTTGCATGACTGCTGCAAATCAGGGCAGTGACAATGATTTTGTACCAAACTTAACAATCAGTGGGGAAATGATAGTTGAAGGGAAACCATCCAGCTGTCAACTTCTCAAAGAGTTTTCAGTATGCATCTGCACTACCCTAAATACTCTAAATATGTTTTTTAAAAAGGCCTTGCTTCTGGAATTTGGGTGTGTCGAACTTAAATGCTGATTACTCTTTGTGGATGTAGAATGTAGATGTAGAGAACATTAATCAGAATGAAACTCACATTGATTTTAAAAATCTGCAAGAGATTCCATGTTTTTAAAGAAAAGGGTAACTTGATATTCCCAAGTATCTTGACTTTAAAATCATTCTGTTCAGTAACTGCTTAATTCCTTGATTCCTTGTTCATTTCCATAAGTGAATGTTGACCCTTCAAAACGTGAGCCTGTCACTCTGAAACACTTAACTGACCAACCCATCCATGCGGCCTTGGGAGTTCTGGGAGTTGGAGTCCAAACATTTTAAAAGTTGCTGGAGTTGGGAAACCTTGGTCTGACAATCTAACGCTGCGTCCAATCCTCTGTTTCCATGGTGGCCAGATGATCTTCCAAAGCAGAAAAGCTCCGATGCTGCTCGGAAGGGCTCTCTGCTGGAATACACGGCATCGGAAGAGAAGGAGGAAGAACGGCGATGGCGGATGTACCAGATTGGTGACCAGGGTCACCGAGTGGACATGAAGGCCATTGAGCCCTACAAGAAAGTAATTAGTCACGGAGGTGAGTGCTGACTTATTATAATGCTTGGTTGGCCAAGCCGGCTCTCTGCAACCGCAGGAAGCCTTAAAGAAAAAGCATCATTGTGATTGCTATTTTTTTTCCCCCTCTCTCTAGGCTATTACGGGGATGGGCTAAATGCAATTATTGTCTTCGCGGTTTGCTTCATGCCAGAAAGTAGTCAGCCAAACTACCGATACTTAATGGATAATCTGTTTAAGTAAGTGGTAGAACAAACAGGTAACCCTGCTTTCATGTGGAGTTAGATTTCGATCCATCTTACCTGGAAGAATGGTTGTCCGAGGAGCTGGGAGGGATGGCCCATCGTCCTTCTTACAGGAAATGCTAGAGATCAAGCCACCTAGATAAATTTCTCCCATCTGAACAGTCTCTCTCATTTTCAAAGATGAGTAAGCAATCAAATTGTTTTGGGAGCTTCTCCTGACACACAGAGAGGTTGTAAAGTGTGGGCCAAACTCGCTTAACAACAGAAATGTTGGACTCCATTGTGGTCGTAAATTAAGGACTATCTGTATTTGTCTGGTCTTAGTGTGAATCAAGCTGCTACAACAGCTGTTCCTCTTTTCCTTCCCACAGATACGTTATTGGCTCCCTAGAATTATTAATAGCGGAGAGCTATATGATTGTTTATCTCAACGGGGCAACCACACGGCGGAAAATGCCCAGCCTAGGTTGGCTCAGGAAGTGTTACCAGCAAATTGATAGGAGGTAAGATTAAATTGGGGGAGGGGGATACAGGAAGAGGCGCAGCCAGTTGGAAGAGCAGTACAGATTCTTTGAAGGGTGGGAATTGGGGATGTCTCTCCTATGGGACTGGGATCATGCAATTTTTCGGGAAGAGTGGTGTTGCCAGCCTGTTGCCTTCCGTTGCTGAACTCTGTGTTGCTTTTATTGATCTTAGGTTAAGGAAAAACCTGAAGTCCTTAATAATAGTCCATCCTTCCTGGTTCATTAGAACACTTCTGGCAGTCACAAAGCCATTTATTAGGTAACGCCCATCATATTTACCCTTTTTTGGTTAAGCTATGCATCCGCGTGGTTAGCGCTATAGCGGTGACTGTTTTCCCTCCTGTCTCTTTCAGCTCAAAATTCAGCCAAAAAATCAGATACGTCTTTACTTTGGCAGAGCTGGCAGAGCTCATTCCCATGGACAGCGTTACCATCCCCGAATGCATAAAACAGTAGGTCACCTTTCCTTTTTGCCCACGGCCTCCCAAAGACTGCCTGAACGTTTGGGTCCGAAGGGAATTGGGATAGAGTCATAGTGACCACCACTTCCTCCCAAACGTGGCTTCTCCCGGGAGTTGTTTGTTAAAATCCAAATGAATTGCTGGCACTCTTGGGAGCTTTCTCAGAGAAGTCCCCTGCCCTGCCCAGATTACAGATTAACAGAGTTGGAAGGGACCTTGTAGGTCATCTAGTCCAACCCTCCGCCCAAGCAGGGGACCCTACACCATTTCTGACAGAGGGCAGCCCAATCTCTTCTTGAAAATCTCCAATGATGAAGCTCCCACAACTTCTGAAGGCAACTTCTGTTCCATCGGAGGATGGATCTCACTGTTATTACGGAGGCTCTAAATCCATGCTTTCTACCTAAGTTTGTTCCAGCTGCTTGCCTGGGATCTTACCCTCCCTTCCCAGGGGACGGAGCATCAGAGATGCCCAACTGCTCTAAACTTTGGAGGGAGACACCCAATAGTCTGGGGGGAAAAACCCTTTTGCTTAATGTCATTTTTATACGTCGGTGCTGGGAAGTGCTTGGCTAAGTATATGCAGCTGGCTTGGGTTTGGCGAGTTTGAAAATCTGCACCGGCTGTACTAAAATTGAATTTTCCCTACTAAGGTATGAAGAAGAAAAATTTAAAAAGAAACTCCAAAGGTATCTGCACTTCTTGATCAGGAATGCGTGTCTTCTTGCCTTTTCTGCTCTGGGCTGGCTTTGGGAAGGGGGGAAGGCGGCTGGAATGCATGCAGCACGTGGGGATGGGAGTGAGTTCCCCCTTGCAAAGAGCTTGCACGCTTCTTGGACTCCTGCTGGGCTGCCCGGACATACCTCTGCTTGTTTCCAAGAACAACAAGTAATCCCCAAAGCTGAGTCTTGGCTGTCTAACTGCAGGTGGCCCTTGACTTACGACCACAATGGAGCCTCAGATTTTTCATGCTAAGTGAGACTTTGGTTAAGTGACCTTTGCCCCATGGTACGACCTTTCCTTGCCACCGTCGTTAAGTGAATGACTGCAGTTAAGTCAGTAACACATTTGTTAAGTGAATCCGGCTTCTCCATTGACTTTGCTTGTCAGAAGGTCCCAAAAAGGGATCATGTGATCCCAGGACACTGCGACCGTCATAAATACGAGTCAGTTGCCAAGTGTCTGAATTTTGATCACATGACCACGGGAAAGCTGCATCGGTCACAAGTGTGAAAAAATGGCCCATAACTCACTTAGTTTTCAGTGCTGTTGTAATTTTGAACCGTCAGTAAGTGAAGAGTCATAAGTCGAGGACTACCTATATTGACACTAACCTTCAGATCGAGAGCTGCAAATTGTTCTTGTTAAAATTGTGCAGCCACGTCTAAAAAAAAAACCCCCACTTCCTTAATTTTAGGCCGAGGGAGATTGTGACTCAATCAACCTCTGTTCATCTACCTTAAAAGCTGAGGGAATTACTTCTTTTTTTCCACGTTGTGCTCTTTGCGGTTGCAACCCCTCCCTTCCCCTTCTCCCCCCACCCCATTTTTCAATGCATGCGGAACATTTCTGATGGGGCTTTTAACAAGAGCAGCCTGCTAATAAATAACATTTTGACCACACGATCTAATCTACTGCATTTATTGCTGTGGCTGATTAACAAATCCATTTGATCCAGAAAGTGCTATAATTGTCTATAATTGCTTCAAATCCCCCCCCTTTTTTTCTCCTTTGGAGGGACGGCTCAGAATATTGCAAACTTGGCAAACCCCCCAAAAGCTGATCCCATCTTCATTCCCAAAAGGGCTTTGGCCAACTTCCCCTAAATTCCTTGGGACCTGATCGAATTGCTCCCAGGAGTAGGCTGCCAGACTTGGGAAATTCCTATATTATAGGCAGAACAACATTAAAGCTTGAACTCTGCACGTGTGAGCCCGGCTGTTCGCACTTGACCTCCGCAGAGGAAGAGTTGCCCAGTCAGTTTCATTTCCCTGTAACTTATCACCATTCAAAGTTCCCCTCAAGTCTCTGTAGGAAACTTCCTGCTTTAAGTTGTAATAACTGTTTCACCGCAATTGCTAAATGATAAGTTTCTTTTCTTTTTTTTCCCCTCCATGCAAACACTTGCAAAATATGGCATGTCTCTCTTCTCTCCAATGAGCAGAATTGATCAAGACCTTAATGGGAAACAGGAGCAGAAGTCTGAACAGTAAAAAGAACTATTTCTGAATTCAAGCCGAGAGTGAAGAACACGCTGGGGGATTTGAGGTCCTGAAGAACACGCTGGCCTTCTGCGTCCGGACTTGGCCTGTTGGATGATGCACTGCTGAGTGGGTTTGCACGTCCCAGGTGATGCCGACACTTCGTAGTTGCCTTTCTTATAACTTTCACACGGCAGTGTCACAAAAGGCATCCTAGGAGGGGCACCCATTGTTATATTGCGATGCTTATTCAGTAAGTATTTATATGCTTCAACATTAAGGGGAGAGATAATATATATTTTTATGACTCTTCGACGCATATTTTATAATGTTCATCTGCAAAAAACCTCTTGAGACACATTAGCCCACCGATGACGGTTATCGTTTATTTAGGAATAAAATGCATGAGAATTTCTTATATATGGTGAAATGCTTCTTGGCTAAAGAAGATGTAACTTTGGTTATCTGCTACGCCTAGCAAGATCCTTTGCTGTTTCCACTGTGGGATGTGCCTAACCCTTGAGTTGGGTGTCCTCAGCACAAACTCGATTTGGTCCAAGCCTTTCTGGGTTGAAATTCTGAGGTTTCAACTCCCTCGCCTCTGAACAGAAAGATCCGGTAATTGAGAATACCACTACTACTGTTTGAATGTTGGGGCTGGTGGAGGCTCTGTAGTTCTGGATGCCCAGGGATCGGAATATTTCCCAAAAATATTTGGGAATTTGGGCGACATTCCAGAGCGGAATGGTGGTGGCCTCCTACCCAAGGAGATCTCAGTCCAGCTTCTGCTGATGTGCCTTGCTGGTTTGCCGCCCACCCCATAATGTGGAGCGGAGTTGCAGAACATGGTATCGGGATGTGGCACATGAGAGTAGAGAAAGTTTACCCAGAGTTAGGGCCAAGGACAGCTTAGCCTACGGAGTCCACCCTGGGTCTCGCCAGGGTGGGAGAACAATGTTACGCGGTTATTTCATACTTTGGAAAGCAAGGCTCTTGAAACGGCACTTTCCACCAGCACTAGCTTCACTTTATACACTTTTTTAAAAAAGGAGTCTGTGTGTGTGTGTGTGTGTGTTTGTGTTGCATGTTTTACCTGTTTTTAATGGCTGCTTTCAGAGCGGCCTCCTCAGTTAAAGGGCGCAGATGTGTCGTATGCACTAATTCCTAGCGGGTTAATCATCAAAGCCGTAGTGGATAGTAGCAGAAACGTTAAAAGCGTTTTTTGGAAAGCTTGGGCATCGCTCCATTTTCATTTGTATTTAAAATTTGTGTGTGTCGTTAGCAACACAGCCTTTTCTTGTTCCCAGTGTTTATGGGCGGAAAAATACCGCCCCTGTGTCAGTTCATAACCCAGTCAATAAAATGTTTTTAAATAAAAGAATGGCTTTAATTGGGTGTTTGTCACAAATGCTTAAACTTATTTATTTTAAGATGGGAAAAACCCTACTTCTTTTGCCTAACAAACCCCCAGTCTTCACAGCGTTGGGAGTGAAAACGGTTGTTAAGTAGCACGACCATGAAGGGCAGGGAGGGAAAATGGGGCAGTTGCGTTAATTGGGCCAACGACAAGAATAATTGCTGGGTCAGACATTGCTTGTTTGTCTCATAACAACCCAGACGTGATTTTAAAATGCTGTGGATTTTCTTTGGTGTTCCTGCAAAGCAGTGTTTCTCAACCTTGGAAGCTTGAAGATGGGTGGACTTCAACTCCCAGAATCCCCCAGCCAGCACTGCTGGCTGGGGGATTCTGGGAATTGAAGTCCACCATCTTCAAGCTTCCAAGGTTGAGAAACACTGCTGTAAAGGGTCTGAAGCGGTGGCCCACCTGTTCAAATGCCAGACAGCAAAAAAAGAGAAATATTAGGCACAGAAAAACATTCTCTTCTCTTCTTTGCCACTTTTTTTTTTATTATTAGATCAGGGGTTATTCTTGCTTCCTTGGTGGAGGTTTGGCAAAATCTGCAGGCGGCATTTGTGTCTGTGTTGAGTTTAGAAGTGTATTTTAAATTCAGCCAAATTATTTAATTCGTTTTTAATTCATTTTAAATTTTTTGTATTTATGTGTTTTATCTCGTGGCTGTTCACCGGCCTGAGACCTTCGGGAGAAGGGCGGTATAGAAATTTAATAAAATTAAATAAATAAATAAAAATAAAGTGGGTGGGGAGACCTGGCTGGGCTGCCGGTCCTCATCTGGGCCACTAACTTGGTGCCAGGAGGAGGGCATTGAGCAGCGTTTGCTCCAGTTCTGCTTACAGCCGAAGATCTCCTGGTGGCCTCCCATCCACGGGCCACCCAAGGAACCCCGCCAGTGGGGCGCCCGAGCTCCTCCGCGCGTGCGCAGAGGGCCTTTCCCTTGCATTCCTAACGGATAAAAGACCCTCCAGCGCCGAAGAAGGTTTCCCGAAGGGCGATTCGAAGCCGCCCCAAGTAGAACGCGGAAGAACCACCCAGCGAACCCCCCCCCCCGCCGGCTGCCTTTTCCACGCATGCGCCGACCTTTCCGGGCGCCGTCACGTTCGCTCCGCTGCCGAACGCTCCACGCCCGCTCTCCTCCCCCCACCCCTTCCTCAGGAGCGCATGCGCACGCGCGATCGCGCCTTTCGACGAACGCGGAGAGGCTCTATGGTCACGCCCGCGGCGTACATCGACTTCCGCTTCCGGGCCCCGCTCGGTGCTGTCGGGAAGAGGCGGGGATCGGAGCCGGCGGCCCGTTTCTCCGCGTCGGAGGTCTGGAGGAGGCCGGCGGGCCCCGTGAGGGCGAGGGAGCCCTCCTCGCCGAGGTAGCCGCTCCCTCCCTCCCGCCCTGCCCTGCCCTGCCCTGCCCTGCCCTGCCCTGCCTGGGACTCCGCGTCCCATCATCCGCAGCCGGCCGGGCCTGGCTGTGCGGCCCCTGCCTCACCAGCCTCCCCCGGTCAGCAAAGGCCCCGCGGCTCGGCTCTCCCGGGGCCCACAGGCGCCTGCGGAGGGTGGGGGAGGGGTGGGGGTGGGGGGGCGAAGGCGGGCGCGGGTCTCCTGCAAAGCCCGGGCAGGGCGCCCCCTTCTGGCCAAGCAGGCAGGAGGAGCGCGTGCGCAGGGGAGGCGGTGGGGGGTGGGGGTCCCTTCCTCACCCCTCCACCCCCGCAAGAGGAGCTTTGGGGCTGGTTGGGGACCCCCGTAGCCCAGGAAGGGCCCGTTGCCTCCTCCTCCTCATTGGACACGTGTTGCGCTTTGGCAATAAAGGGTTGGGTTGAGTTGAGTTGAGTTGAGTTGAGAATTGAATTGACACCTCCACCTGGGTTGGGTTGGGTTGAGTTGAGTTGGGTTGAATTGGGAATTGAATTGACACCTCCACCTGTGTGGGCATTGTGGGTGGGTGGGAGATCAGTAGTGGGGCAAAGCCTCTTTGCAGCAGGAGTTTGGGGGGGAATCCCTGCCCTGTGAAGCCTCCTTTTCCAACCAGAGATGCACCCATGCATCATTACTCAACTATGCAGGCAGTCCTCCATTTAACAGCAGTTCATTTAGTGGCGGTTTGAAGTGACAGCAGTCCTGGAGAAAGTGAGTTATGACCACTTCTCAATTTACGACCCTTGCGGTATCTCCGTGTTTCACGTGGTCAGAATTCAGACGTTTGGCAATTGACTCCTATTTATGATGGTTGCAGCGTCCTGGGGTCATGGGATTCCCCCTTTTTGTCGACCAGCCAAGTCAAGGTGGGGAAGCCAGATTGGCTTAAAACTTCATTTTAATGTACGCCGATGAGTGGACATTCAAAGTGACAATCACAGTTATTATTCTAACCACTGAACAACTCCGGTGATTCACCCAACAGTCATGGCAAGAAAGGGAGTAAAATGGGGCAAAACCTCTTTACAAATGTCTCGCTTAGCAACAGAAATTTTAGGCTCAGTTGTGATTATAAGCCGAGGACTACCTATAATTGAAAGAGCAGGGTGTAGGCGGGATTTTATCGGCAAGCAAGCTAAGTGGTGTTTTTATTATAGTGTATGTTTTGTGAGAAAGAGGGAACTGGTCTTGAACTGGCTGGAAGCTCTCTTTTATCTCAGTCTGTGTGTCACGTGCATTCTCCCTCCCTCCCTCCCTCACCCAGTATAACTCTTATTCTGAATTTTCCAGGTCTTTAGTGAAAGTTGAGTGGTTTCAGATCTGTGGATGATCAGCCTCTGTCTCCTTCAGCCATGGCTTACCAACTGTACAGGAATACCACCTTGGGAAACAGCCTTCAAGAAAGCCTGGATGAGCTCATTCAGGTAAGATATAAGCTCCTTTTTATTCCCATCCATCTGAATAAATGGCTTAAGTAGAATAAACACGATTTAAGTAGATGCGCATTAGTTTTGCAGTCAGAGATCAAAGCAATACATCCTGCTTAGGTCAGGGGTTCCCAAACTTGGCAGCTTTAAGACTTGTGGACTTGAAGTCTTAAAGCTGCCAAGTTTGAAGACCTCTGGCTTAGTGAAAACAATGTTAAAAGGGCTTGCTTTTCCTCTGTATCATAATTGGAGACAGAAGCAGAGAGTAAGGATGTCCATGATAATAGGAGAGGTTTTTACAAAAGAAGGCAATAATCTTAACTGCCCAGTTTCTCAAACGCAAGACAAGGGTTTCCATTTTCCAATGGAAAATGTTTGCTAGTCTCCTGAAGTTGTAAATGGGCAGAATCTCATTTATACTGATTTAAGCATCTTTAGAGTTCTGCATTTGTATGGTGGTTGAAGGGAATTGGAAAAACTAGTCAAGTCATGCAGGTTGAAATTGTATCTAATCTGTGCTCTAAAAGTTTTGGCTGTTTGGACAAACTTGGTACGCCAATCCATGTGTGAATATCCAAACGAAGTTCTGATTTTGGGCAGGTGAATGTTTCTCTTTGGAGTTTAAAGTTTTCTTCTTCCATCTTTCAGTCTCAGCAGATTACGCCTCAGCTCGCTCTCCAAGTCCTTCTCCAGTTTGACAAAGCTATCAATGCTGCATTAGCCCAGCGGGTCAGAAACCGAGTCAATTTTAGGGTAAGAAACGCTAATGAGAAATCAGCTGGCATTGACTAAGTTTGCATACAGACATCAGATTGCAGCTCTCTTCTAAGAAGCACCTGAAATGGTAGCAGAATATGGGATTTTTCTTCCTCCATAGTTTAAATCTGTTTCCTCTAGTTTCCCTTTCAAACGTAAGGCTCAAAAGGAATACAGGTAGTCCTCGATTTACGACCGCAATTGAGCCCAATATTTCTCCTGCTCACGGTTGTTCCTTTGATGGCCACAAGGGGGCGATAGAACTATTTCCAGAATGGCTGCTTGCCTTTTTATCAGGAAGAGAGAAGGGAGCTCCAGGCATCCAAGGGAGAAACTCAGCCGCCCAATTCAACAAGTGTGTTTTTTCTGCTTTTCCCTTTTCCTAAGCATCTGTGGAGATTCTCAGTCATCCAGGTCTTCTTCCTCAAAAGAAAAAAAAAAAAGGGGGGGGGGAACCCAGACCAAACCGCCTTTTGAAAAAGACCTTTTTAAGACCCTTTTCCTAAGCCCCCCTTTCCCCCCCTTCTTTCTCCCAAAGGGCTCTCTGAACACATACAGGTTTTGCGACAACGTTTGGACCTTCGTACTGAATGACGTGGAATTCAGAGAGGTCACCGAGGTGGTGAAAGTGGATAAAGTCAAAATCGTGGCCTGCGATGGGAAAAGTAAGTTTGTGGGGGTTACTACGTCTGTGTTTCTCAGCCTTGGCCCTCTTTAAGATGGGGGGGGGACTGCAACTCCCAGAATCGGCCCACCCAGCTTAAAGTGGTTAAAGGTTGCAAAACTCCGCTCTAGGGATACCGAAACCAGGCAGATCCACGATTGCTCCCCTCTCGAAAAGTGGATATTAAAATTGCAGCTCCAGGAATGGTTTAATCTTGGGCAGGTCTCCCCTTCTCTATCTTGAAGATACTTGGCATTTGCCAAAGGCAGTTTCTTAGGAAGGGTAACAACACCTTTACTCACACTTCGGCCTGCCAAAATCAACAAAAGGGCAGGTTCCCCGGTATGAAGGGGAACCTATTGCCTGTTAATACAGAGCCTCATTGTGTAAACTCACCGGCTCACTTCCCTCACCTGACAGCAGTTGTTGAACGGGATGTTTAGCACGTCAGGTGAATCCTGTGGCCATTCCAGCTGCACAGACCTCTTGGTCTGTGTATTTGCAGAAGTGCTTCCTTCTTCCTTCTGACAGTAACATACACCGTGGCCGGCTTCTTACCTGACTTGCTTCTCCTGAGCTGTGACATCAAACCCTCCGTTTCATCCTGCAGTTTCCATTTTTGCAATGCTGGTGGAAGGCTGGGTCTGTTGAGAGCAGGGCCCCAGATTAGGAATTTCCACGTAACGCCTTGTATCTTTGGATCAATGTTGACTCAGCCTGCCTTCCATGGTCGGTAAAATGAGGACCCAGATTGTTGTGGGCAATAGGCTGACTCTGTAAACTGCTTAGAGAGAGATGTAAAAACAGTATGAAGTGGTATATAATTCTCTGCTATTCCTTCCTTCCTTCCTTCCTTCCTTCCTTCCTTCCTTCCTTCCTTCCTCCCTCCCTCCCTCCCTCCCTCCCTCCCTCCCTCCCTCCCTCCCTGTTGCTTGCTTTCTCCCTCCCTCCCTCCCCCTCTCTCTCTGCCCTTCACAGGGCTGTTGTGGGGAAAACAGGAGGAGGAAGCTTTGTTGGATAGGTTCGCTGCCTTGAGTTATTTGTAAAAATAAGGGGAGATATAAACAAACACTGCCTGGACTTGCAGTTTCCTTGGCAAGGTTTTTGGAAGCAGTTTGCCCCGACCTTCCTTCCTGGGCCTGAGTGACGGGCCCAGATTCACCCAGCTGGCTTTGGGGCTGACTGGAGCTTAGCCGTCCTGCAGTTTCTAGCCTGGTGCCTTAACCACAAGACCAGCGTGGCTTATTAGGAATAAAGAAGTCCTCCATTCCTTCTGTGCAGCTTTGGTTTTTGAGCCGCGTTTCTCACCCGGTGTTTCCCTTGCCTCCAGATACAGGTTCCAATGCGGCGGAGTGAAGGGGGATCGGGGCCTCTGTGCCCACGTGGACTGGATGGGCAGGGCTTCTTCCAGGGGAGCAGCCTGGGCCAAGAAAGACTCTGTCAGGAGTTGTTTTAATAATGCAGGCTCACCTTTTCTGGAAGGCCTTGTGGAACTGTCTTAGCCAGGTCCCATAAGGCACCTCCGGGCGTTGGCTCGGTGACGAAGATAAGCAAGATTTTGCCTTTTTTTAAAAAAAAACAGGATCAAAAATAAGGATGAAACATTCACAGCTACTTTTGGGTTCATCAAGGTCACCAATAAATATTTTATTTAAAACTTTTAGTGGTGTGATAAGTATTGAATCCTCTTCCTATGTACGATCAGCTCTTGTTGGATTCGCCTGTTTTGCCCCCCTTTAAAATCTCACTATTTTGCCAGTCTTGGAGCTTTGCAAATGTAGCCAATCTTTTTTGGTATGCTTTAAACCCGAATTTAAGAATGGCTTATTCTTGTCCTTAAAAAAATGCTCAAACATGGTTCTGTATATATATATTTAATTTTTGTTGTATTCACGAGATCATGTTTTATATCTAACCTGTGTAGCCACCTGTATTTTTTTTTTCTTTTAATTTGATTTATATGCCGCCCTTCTCCGGAGACTCAGGGCGGCTTACAATGCGCTAAGCAATAGCCTTCATACTTTTGTGTATTTATACAAAGTCAACTTTATTCAGTGTTGGGATCATTACATACCCCATCTCCTTTTTAAAATTAACATTTAATTTAGGGAGAACCAAGAACCCAAGTTTAGTCTTGAATCCCAAACTGGGAGTTCAGGAACCTGAATTCTGCCTTCATGGGCTCCTCCAAGCATGCTGAGCAGCGATGAAGGACTCGCCTTGTACATTTGCAACAGAAAGTAAGCCTTGCTCCCTGGAGCTGCACATTTTTCTGCAGCCAATGAGAACGTTGCTTGTTCTCAGCTCCGATTTCTCAGATAAAAATGTTCCCTGGCTGGTTTCTGTTTTATTGCGGAATAGTTAAGCCATCTATCTGTGCCATAAGGCAATTACTTGATTGTGGGCATAGCAACACACTTAATTTCCAAAGGCGAATATCCTTTGTGCCATTTTGATAAGGAGATCGGCTTCAAGGCTAGGCACATCCTTCTTCCTCGTTGGCTTTTAGGACTGCTTTTCCCCTGAAGTGTGTGGTGGTTGGGCAGCAGCTGAGGCCTTTACAAAAAGCTTCAAGCAGGCCCTTGTTTTCTGCATGCAACCCTTAGAACACTTAGCAATGCTTCAGCGGACATAGCTGGAGATCTGATGGCTGCCAGATGTCACAGATTAATGATTTTTTAAAAACGCTTTGGCCAAGTGGACATTTCTTGAAAAAAAAACCCAGTGCTACAGTACTGTGACAGGCATGTGAAAAGAGGTTGCCCTGCTTCAGAAGGACTTTACAAATCCGTAACTCTAAACCACCTTTGCAGAAGCTCGTGGCAGATAGAATAAATCAAGATGGTTACCCTCTACTTGGTTGGGGTCTTCCAAGCTGTCTGCTAGAGGCATTTACATTCCCTCTTGCTAAAGCAGGGGTATCCCATTTCGGCTCCTTTAAGCTGCGTGGACTTCAACTCCCAGGATTCCCCAGCCAGCTTGGGGAATTCTGGGAGTTGAAGTCCATAAGCCTTAAAGTGACCAAGGATGGATACCCCTGCTCTAAAGCTTACATCATAATGACTCAAGGCACCAGCTGTGGACTCATCACACACACACACACACACACACACACACACATGCATCCACCCACACCAGATAACAAAATGAGCCTCTTGTACAGATAGCCCCTGACTGGTTGCTTAACGACTGACCTGAAAAAGACTTATGACCTGGATTTGATTGATGGTTGTGCCCCCTCTGGTCACCTGATCCAAGCATTCAACAGTCATGACATACGTCCATAATGCACTGCTCCTTTGCAGTCCTATATTGAGGACTGTAAGTGCAAAGAGAGGTTTTAACTGAGCTAAGAGTAGGGGACATGTCAAAAGAAACAGGGAGATGGGTGAAGTTGTTGAGAAGGTAATCATGGACCGGTCAGCTTGATGTCAACCCTTGAACAAACATTTGTGCATCTAATTTATGAGCATATAGTAAAAAGAAACCAGAATTGGCAGGGCATAACTAATCCCGAACTGTTTTACCAGCTTAATTCTGCTTCCTTGGGCTTGCTGGCTCTCTGTTTTCATGTCACTCTCCATGATCGGTGGCAAAATTCTACTCAAACAATTGTTCCTTTGATGACCCTCTTGAGTAATTTCCTCCAGGGAGAAACTGGGCTTGTTTGCTTTTTTTTGGAAAGGCGGGGGGAGAAGGACTTTCTACGTCACCCAGTGTTATCTTGCAAAATAAATTTTGAGGTTTGAGATTAATAGTTACTTGAGCAGCTTATTTGCCATGTGGTTATGCTTCCTTTCCCGCACATTTATTACCACACTGCGCGCAAGAGAGTTTTGCTTTTGCTACAATGAACAACTGGTTTGAGGTGATGCTGATACATTTAGGCCCAAGCATTGTCCTTTACAATGTTTACCTGTAGGCAGGTGAGCCAATAAAGCCGGATCCAAGTATGAAATTTATATCACTATTGACTCCAGTAGAAACATGCAAAGTCCTGGAATTATAAGGTTGGAAAAGACCAAAAGGATGATCTGGTTCAATCTTCTCCAACGTGTCCTCTGGTCATCCAGTGCTAACGAGACTAAGAGAATAGGAATTGGGTATGAGGAAGAACCTTCAAAGGTGGCAGAGATACAATTTTGGAGAAAGAGCAGAGTGAAGGCCACTCTGATTAGCTATACACAAGTCAACTAACGGTCAAAGCTGAATTGGCGATAGAGAAGGATTAACGGAATTCAAGGGGCGGCTGCTGGACTTGGGTGTCTTGCAGCTGCGCAACGACTCCAGACTAGTGACATGTTTAACCCTTCAGGCCGAGCTGAATGGCACGGTTAAACATGTCATCAGTCTGGAGTCAATGTGCAGCCATAAGACGACAAGTCTATCCCCCTTTCCCTGAATTCAGTTGACCCTTGTCTATCGCCAGTTTAGTGTTGAACGTTAGTTGACCTGATTCTTCCATATAGTACCTGAACTTTACAAATTTGTTATTCGGTTGCTAAGTTGCCTCTGATTCTTCATGACCCCATGGAGCACAGCACGCCAGACCCCCCCGCCCCTCTCCTGGTTGTCGACTGTCTTGTGGAGTTTGACCAAACTCATGTTCACTGCGTCAATGACACTATCTAACCATCTCCTCCTCTGTCGTCTCCTCCTCTTGCCTTCCACCTTTCCCAACACCAAGGTCTTCTCCAAGGAGCCTTCTCTTCTCCTTTGGTGGCCAAAGTATTGGAGGTTCAGCTTCGGTATCTGGAAGTTTACAAAAACTCCTGGTTACTGGCACCTGACTTTATGGCTTTTTTGGGGGAGGGCCACTTCACCTGAACCTTCAAAGTCCCTCACTGAGACTGGCCAGCTGGGGCCCATGGAGAATAGGAACTATTTCAAAGCTGCAGAGGGAAACTGGAACAGGTGAGTTGGTGGTTTGACTCCGTGCCAGTTTTCAAACATTTACAAGTTGTAAGGAAAGGGGCCTCTGCACACCAGCTTTGCCAAGTGTGTTGGGGTGGGGGATATTATTCCATTAATGCCTAGCTTCCAGTGGTGAAATCTAAATTTTTTTACTACCGGTTCTGTGGGTGTGGTGTGGGTGTGGCAGGGGAAGGATACTGCAAAATCTCCATTCCCACCCCACTCTGAGGCCAGCCAGAGATGGCATTTGCCGGTTCTCCGAACTGCTCAAAATTTCCACTACCGGTTCTCCAGAACCTGTCAGAACCTGCTGGATTTCAACCTGCTAGCTTCCCTCTTTGACTTCAAATGCTAAAAATTTGGGGAAGATTTGGGGCTATCAAACCTACCCAAATCACGCATCCCTCAACTTAAACGCAGCCTCCCGTGAACCGCCAGGAAGTTGAGAAACCTCTGTGCAGGTGTGGCAGGTGAACAGAAGTCTTTTCCCCCTCCCAAGTCCAGGTAGAAGACAACTCTTCTCAATAGGCCCCTTTGGCCGGCTCTGCCCTTCGGATGCTTGGCAAAGGAGACCCAGAACCAGTGTGCGGTAAAACAGGTGTGGCCAGTGAGGCTTCTTTTCAAGGTAAGTGCAAAAAAAGAATAAAGGGATAAAGATCCTTTCCGCCCACCATTGCAGTTTTGTAAGAAGGGCGTTCTTTGGACTTGGCGTGGCGCAGCAGCAGCTGTGGAAATGAAGGTGTTGCCACACCAGGGGCTGTTCAGGGAGCCAGAGGAAGGATCGGCTGCTCTGCTGAGCCATTCTCTCGGAGAGAAGGCGAGGAGGGGCTGCTGGGCTCTGGGACGGGAGGAGGGGGAGAGGTGGCAGGTTGGCATTTACCCGTTTTTGACCCGCTCAAGCAGAAGGAGAGAGCAGCATCAACTTCTCAACTGCTTTGCTTTAATGCCAATTTCTCATTCCAGTTCAAGGTGACAATCCCCGAAGAAAAGTCCCACAGCTGCTTTTGTCCAAAAGGCAACTGGACTTTCTTGGTTGTTTGTTTTTTCTTTGAAAATGTTTCACTTCTCCTCCGAGAAGCTTCTTCAGTTCTGAACTTAGGGACAACCATGACCAGGATAATTGAGAATCTCCATAGACATTTCCTCCCCCCACTTCCCCCCTCCCCCCAAAGAAAAGAGCCTGCAAATTGCCCTGGATCATCATCATCTCCTGGATTTAGGATGAGAGTCAAAGTTCCCACAAAAACCAAAAATAGAAACTGTGCTTTAGTTTATTCTGAATTTTTTTTAACAGCGTGGCCTTTTTGAATGTAGACACACAAACATTGGCACATCCATAAATAAACCCCTGGAAACCCGGTGTGACATTAGACCCTGGAGTTACATACATGGAAATATGTAGGGCTTCATTGGCAATCCTAAAACGTATTCGAGCACCTTCCTTACATCATGGCACATTGTAGCATCTATAAACACCACTGAGAAATAGAGACAAAGAGCAGAATTCAACAAAAGGCTCTGTGTCATATTCCTCTTTAATCTGAGGTCCACCAGATGTATTGGACTACACTTCCCATCATCCCTACAAATGTTCTCTCCCCAACTAGCTCGTACACCCATCCGATCTTCTTGGCTTGTGTTAGGACAATCTGAATGTGGAAGCTGGTTTAAAAGCTAGACTTAGCCCCGTGTTTCTGAACCGTGTCAACTTGAAGATGGGTGGACTTCAACTCCCAGAATTTCCCAGCCAGTATGCTTTAAGAGAGGTGGACTTCAATGCAGAATTCAGAATAATAGAGTTGGAAGGGACCTTAGAGGTCTTCTAGTCCAACCGCCTGCTCAGGCACGAAACCCTGTCCAATTTCAGACAAATGTTTGTCCAATCTCTTCTTAAAAGCCTTCAGTGATGGAACACCCACAACTTCTGGAGGCAAGTAGTTCCACTGATCAATTGTTCTGTCAGGACGTTTCTCCTTAGTTCTCGGTTGCTTCTCTCCTTTGTTAGTTTCTATCTAACCAATTCTCAGAAGCATGCTTTAAAAAGAGTGGACTATGAGCCGAGGTGGTGCAATGGTTAGAGTACTGCAGCTACTTCAGCTGACTGCTAGTTCAGCAGATCAGCGGATCAAATCTCACCGGCTCAAGGTTGACTCAGCCTTCCATCCTTCTGAGGTGGGTAAAATGAGGACCCAGATTGTTGGGGGCAATATGCTATTTAGTATAATGTATTTGGTGTAAGCCGCCCAGAGTCCTCGGAGAGTGGGCGGCATAGAAATATGACTAATAAAAAAAAAATAAAAATAAAACTTCAATGCCCAGGATTCCCCAGATAGCTAAAGGAACATCATCTAATCAGTGGGGAATAAAAACCTAAGAAAACCTTAGCACTTGCTGAAAGGAGGGCTTTTTGGCCAAGGAGGGGGACGGGCAACCCTGGCAAGAACAGACTGGCATTATAAGCTGGCAGGATCTGTATGACCTGGGGCACGCAAGAAAGCATTCTGGCTTGTGCAGAGTCTTATCACCAAGAAGCAGACAGCTCATGAGCCTTCCTAGAGAACTTAAAAAGGAAGATATTCTTTTGACACTGGATGCCACTTGGAAATGAAAATTGAGCGAAACGCAGAGCTGTGTTGAGAAATGAGATGCCAATTTGCTTACACAGTAAGCTGGATGCAAATCCAGTGCCCTGGAGGCTGTAAAGGGGTGGGGGGGGAGGAGGAGGAGGAGGAAGAAGAGGGGTCTGGATGAACGCCTTCCCAAACAGTCCCTCTTACCCGTTCAGCGCAGCACAATTATCACAGCTGTGTATTTCCCACATACGGGAAACGAATGATCAAATTCCACCGTCTCCTTTCCAATATCCCTTAAAAATATAGAAGGACAGAGTCCAAATACATTTGTTCATCAGACACACATTTTTTCCACAAGGAAATGCAACGCAGGGCAGGAGAGTGACTCATAAATCTAACTCACACTGCCAGTTTTGCGGAAACTGAACAAGTCGGGTTGCGCAAGTCCCCTTCCACCCCCTTCCACCTCTGGAGGGAAAAACGATCTCCGTACCTTGTGGTTTGCAATGTCCCTGAATGTCAGATCTAGGCCCATAAAGGCCTTCGGAAGGCTGAAGGTCTCCTAGGGCGCGAAGTCCGGCCCATCGGATTGACCCACAGTTTGTCTCTCCTGCTGTCAGAGGGATCCCCTTGTCTCTCTCTCTCTTGATGGATGTGGTGGGCCGTGCTCAAAGGGGCTTTTGATAGATGGCCTTGTGGCGCAGATACTCTTCCAGACACTGGATGACGTAGTCATCCACGCTGGGGTCGAACTTGTTGGCGAACAGGTGGTGCTGTGAGAGTAGCCAGCGGAGGTCTCCAAATCCATAGACGCAGACCGCCCGCTTGTAGGCTCCGGTACACTGGGGGTAAGGGGCTCCCTTGCTGACGTCCCCTTCGCTGTAGGCCCACTTCACCACCCGGGCAATGGCATTCATGTCTGTGAGATCAAATTTGTCGCTAGAAGGAACCGAGCCTGGCACCTCTGGCATGCGATGCAAGGTAGCCCAGAGATGCTCATCAGGGCTGTAGGTGTCTTTGGACCACTCGATCAAGCGTCTTGCGCTCGGGTCTGTGAAGAGATGCTGGACAAACTCCCTGGTGACCACAATGTAGGCGTTGCCAGTGAACATGGGGGAGTTTTGGGGAGGGGGGCTCTTTGTCACCTTGGTCTGAACGATGGCATTGGTCACTTCGTGGTGGTATTTCCAGCGGTTCCTTTTATAGGACGAAGGTTTCTCGGATTCCATGTTGTTTTTCCCGTTCAGCAGTTTTAGGGCTCTGACGATCTCTGTGTTCGTCTTGATAGGGAAATCGGTCCCACAGGTGTTCAGGAGGTACCTCCAATGCACCTTGCTTTGAAGCAGGTCCTTCATGCAGTTCAGGTCGGCTTGGACCCTCGACCAAGAGGCATACACCACACTCTCCTGCTTAGAAGCCAGAAAAACATTGTCGAAGCAGGAGGCAATGGCCCGAACGGCTTTTTGGAAAAGTTCAGGAGATTTTCTGTCCACATGGACACAGTATACATTCTGAGGAGCAAAGATGGATCTCAGTAACCTTTCAAACATCTCGATATTCTCATGGATCACCATGGAATAAGCAATAGGGAAGTTTTCTTCCTCTTCGCTCAGGTAGAACCCAACAAATCTTCTCCTTTCTTTGAAGTTCTGACAATCCTTGGTTAGGTTCAAGTAGAACATCTCATCTAAGGCTAACCGTTTGCTCTTCCATTGCAACCTGCTCACCAGAGCGTCCTCCATAGCCTTAATGTCCCCTCTGCTGATCCCAGAGCAACTGATGTTCTCCATGGGGGAGAGCCTCACGGACTGGTAGAACTGGTCCTTGCAGAACTGACCTCGGGGGTCCGTAGTGTCCCTCTCCAGATAGCTGGGGTCACACTGCCAACGGCTGTACTTCAGCATGGCTGTGGCCAGCAACATGAGAGTCCCCAGTGCCAGGAGGTGCGGAAACTGACGCAGGAATCTTTTGTCCCCCAAATACATCTTGCGAGAGCAACTGATTCTCCAGCTTTTGAAATCCAACCCTCTGCTTCCAAACTCCTCTGGAAGATTCAACACTCTCATGCTGCAATCAGCATCTCCTGGAAACAGGTGGTTTACCTGAGCTCTGAAGGAAAGTCCTTTCTCATATCTGGATGGCAGGCTTATTTGCAAGGGTAACCTGAGAGCTGTGATGAATTGCAGGTAGAGTTCAGACGGGGCAGGGCTGAGTGAGAGAGATCGCCTTCCCATTTGCCCAGGGTCTCCAATCTCTTCACTCCAGAGGTGTGGCCATCCATATCACAGCCATGAACCAACAGAAATAAGCTGAGGAGATATTACTTGGCTTGTTTGGTGACCTTTCAGAAGCAATCTGAGGTTCTAGCAGCTTCACAAAGGAGATGTAGATTAGATGTCTAGGTGTAGGTTACGTGAAGCAGGCTTTGTGCTTCAGAAGACAATCGCTGGATGGGCAGGGACAAAATGTTCTCAGAGTAGAGGAATCAGGAAGTGGGCAATTTTTGGAAAGAAACTCAGCTCTGGGTTCAATTGCAAACGTGCTTACCTGGGAGTAAATCTCACTGGATTCAATAGATCAGGCAAGTAGAGAAGACCCTGATTAATGGATCAGCAAGTCAGGTGGCCTAGAGGTAACTCTGCAGTTCGACCTTCAGAGGGAGGTTTGAAAAGGGATGCCTCGTGCAGTTTTCTAAGTTTTTCCATGAAATATGACATAGAAAACTTCGTAGCCCCACTACGTGCGATAGCCACTTCTTTTTTTAAAACTACAGTATAACTTTATTATTTTTAGTAAAATACAAGCTAACGAAACCATGGGGATGCTGTAAAAGTCATAACTATGAAAAACGGTCATAAGTCACCTTTTTCAGTGCCATTGTAACTTTGAACCATCACTAAAAAACTGTTGTAAGTGGAGGACTTTGATTTCCCCCTCTGTCTTGGCTAAAAAGTCCATCAACCAATGGAACCAAAGTTGCCTTCAGAGGTTGTGGGAGCTTCATCACTGGAAGCTTTCAAGGAGAGACTGGACTGCCATCTGTCAGAAATGGTCTAGGGTCTCCTGCTTAGGTGGGTAGGGGGTTGGATTAGAAGACCTCCAAGGTCCCTTCCAACTCTGTTAATCTGTTAAGGTCTTCCCATAGCTGCTTCTTCCCACCGGGGCCTGTAGATCACTGTGGCTGCAGCTAGGAAGGGTTTTCCTAGAGACTTTGAAGCTGCATAATCAGTTGGTTCATGGAAGATGGACCATCTCCCCAAGTTACCTCTTCCCCCCTCCTTCTTTTCTCCTCCCAGAATCAGACCAGATAGAGCAAACAATGCTAACGTGGCCTCCTGAGCTGGCAGGACCAGAAACAGTCTCTTCCCTGACAGCTAAATTGCACATGAAATGCTACTCAGATGATGCTTTAATAAGGCAGCCTGTTCTTTCCTATTAATAAATTACCAGCAATTGCTATCTGACTCAAATCAATGGTGTTTTTACAAGCACCACTTATTTTGAAGCAGTCTCCTTCAGCCAAGGCGAAAATCCACCTTCCTATTTAAGCTCAAGAGGAAGGGCGGCCTCCGAAAAATATACCTGAATGGATTTATGAGAATCTTCCTGAGCATAAAACCAACAATAAAGGACAATGAATGCAATAATGTTTCATAAATGGCCCAACTGATACATACCAGAGAATCTTGGCCAACCTGAACTAGCTCTGTCTTTTAACCCCTTCCATGTTCTACTGAGACATGATATTCATTGTTTCTCTTGCAGCCAAATTGGGTGTGTGTGTGTGTGTTAAAAAATTAAAACCAAATGCCAGTGAGTGGGTTCAGGTGAGGAATCACAGCTTGCAAAGATGGGAAATGTTGAGATAGCCTTCTTTGTGTTGACCCAAATCAAGTCCGATCCCAATCAAGAGGTCCTCACTAAATGAGCTTCTTGACAATCATAGAATCGTAGGATTGGATGGGACCTTCAAGGTCTTCTGGTCAGGCCTACCACTCCCTGGGAGAAGCTGGGCCCAGATTCACTTTCTTGCCCCTTCAGTGAAGATAAGGAACCATCTTCTGAGCTGAAGAGCCAAATAAGTTGCTCCATCCATGTTCCCATTGCAGGTTAGACTAGACCAGAAAGTTTCAGGCCCTCATCGAAAGCTTTGCCCCAGGAATCTCTAGACAGAGGGTGGGGGTGGGGTTCTGGGGGAGTCCCGAGATGCTAAAGCTATGTGCACCAACTGCATTCAGAGGGGCCTTTGCGAGAAGCATCCTGTTTAAACAGGACTACAAATACAGTTTATGGAAGAATAACAGCCATAAACTTTGTGACTGTAAAAGCTGTGATTCATTATTGGCATTTTTATATATTGACACTGGGATAAACTACGTGGACAAGGATGTTGAACCAGGTTGTATGACGTTCCTGGGAGAGATGCCTTTCACACACCACTGGCCTCCAGCAAAGGAACCTCAGGAGGCGAAGGGGGCTCAGGACACCAGCTGTGGATGAGAGGAGAAAGAGGAGGTTCTTGAGTTTGAACTTTTCTGAGAAAAGAAAAGGGCCTGAGTTACCAGGTGTCCCAATTGGGAAACGAACACCCCCCCCCATTCATAAATTGCAGATTGTGGGTTTACAGTGGCGGGGGTCTTCTGACCTTCTGGGATGCAGTTGGTCAACCGCTGCAGAAGAAACAATGTTGGAGGCGGAAGCAGTTTCCAATTTATCTGGGCTCTCTGCCTTGGCTGGCCAGGTATCTGTTGGCATCTGTGTGCCAGATTTGCCTTTGCTGCACTGAATTTTTGTGGTTTTGAACTTGTATTGTTTGCCTTTTGAAAGTATTTATGCGAAGTGGATCCTGGATAAGCAGAACAAAGGTTTATAGTCCCCGACTCAGATTTCTAGCTTGGAGATGGGAGTGGCATGAAATTCTTAAATTTCTCAATCCTGGCAGCTTGAAGATATATGGACTTTGACTCCTGCAATTGGCTGGATGGGGGATTCTGGGAATTGATGTCTACACACTTGCAGCTGCCAAGGTTGAGGAACATTAAAGGAGAGCTGGGAAAGAACGAGAGTGTGACGTAAGATGTTTTGGCCTGTAGATGGAAAGAGAATTGGGACATTCAGCAGGTGGGGGGAGGAGGAGGAGGAGGAGGAGATCTGAGGGAGTTTCAATGTAGATGAGCATCTGTCACCAGTGACTTAAGGACAAGAAGCCATCACTTCTGGACAAGATGCACAGTTCAAAGGCCACCATCCCAATGTAGCCCTCCACTTCCAGTTTGACCAGTTGACCAAATGGGGAGCCCACACTGGGCACCCCACCAAGAGTTGTATTATTGCAACACCATAAGCCAACCCTCAAAAATCAGGAAAGCAAAAAGCAGGAGGATGCGAATGCAGAAAGAGTCCTTTTCGAATTCCACCAAGAAACAATTAGGGAAAAAACATCCTAGCGTGGAGACGTGTCCACTGCTGGCATTTCGAAGACAGTGGTGGTTTGCCATTGATCAACCCTGCCACGCATCAGACTCTCGGGCCACCCTGAGTGGCTCTCCAAACATCGCTTCGCATTGTTCATGGCCAGCCTCCTGAGAGGCAAAGCCTGCAACTGATCTTTACCGTGTCTTGGCAGTTGCATTGAGGAGGAGTGCCAGCTTCCAAGTCCAGGAGATCCGTGTCTGCAACCCATGGATTCCTTCTGCTTCCCCCCCCCCCTCCACCCACCCACCTACCCCCAAAATGAACGTAGGTCTGGAATAAGGAGTATCATTCCGTGGTTTGATGATGGCCTGATTAGGTGGCTCAGTGGCTAAGACACTGAGCTTGTCGATCAGAAAGGTCGGCAGTTCGGCGGTTCGAATCCCTAGTGTAGGTCCCCTGCGTGAGGAGGGGGTTGGACTAGATGACCTCCAAGGTCCCTTCCAACTCTGTTACTGTTACTGCTGGCATGACAAATTGTTCCTCCAAGAGAAAGATGTCTCCGTGTTACTCGTTGCAATTTAAGCTCCGAAGGAAGTCTGAAGTGAAAACTCAGAAGTTGTGGTGGAACACATCTGCAGCTGGCCCGAGTTAAAATCTGAAGGGAAACAAAGAGTGCAGTCCACGTGGGGTACGAATTCAGAGGCTGGATTCAGGCAGAGGAGATCAAGTCTGAGCCCTTGGTGGGTCTCCCAGGCAGCTGGTTGGGCAATGTGTGCTTGACCTCCTGGGGGAGACCCATAAATATGTCATGATGAAATGCCCTCCTGTGCGCTGCCTTGAGTACACACTGCAGCCATGAATAATAATGGGCAAACAAGCAGTCGCTCCGCAGAACGACAAGCCCACTGCACGACAATGAAGGACGCACTGTGATATGAAGGCTCCCCAACGCACTCACTGGGAGGGCCAGCTATGTGGGGTACAGGGAGATTTCCTCCCACTGCATCAGTTGCCCCTCCTCCAATATTTCATTCCAACTAAGTCAGTTATAGGTGGGTTTGGTAAATTAATCAGCACGTACCCCATTTCTAATTTATATCTGCTTAGTACTTACAACATGAAGCTAGAAATACTGCAGGTTTGCACCACAATGAACTTTGCTCCACTTAATTTGGTATAATCTATGCCAGGAGAGGGCAACTGTGCTAACTTTATGACCAGTGGACTCCCAGAATTCCTGCATGTCATAAAGTTGCCACAATTACCCATAGTGAGTCGATGCTTCCCTCCCTCCTTCCTTCCTTTCTTCTTTCTTTTCTTTTTCTTTTTCTTTTTTTTCTTTTCATCCTATCCTGTCCAGGAGTGAAATGCTCCCGGTTCTGACCGGATCGCCTGATCCGGTAGCCATGGCAGCGGGTGGTTCGGAGAACCGGTAGCAAAAATCCCTGCCCACCCCCGCCAATCGCCTGGTTGCCCGGTTGCCACTTCTTTTAAAAAATGCTTTTAAAAGGTAAAAAAAAGCTCTGACGATCCCAGCTGAGCCACGCAATTGTCAGAGCCTTTTTTTTTTTTTTACTTTTAAAAGCAATTTTTTATAACCTATTTGGACGAATTGGTTGTAAACAAATGCTTTTAAAAGTAAAAAAAGATTGCACGCCACAACTGATCACCCCTCCCCGCGCGCTGTTCTACTTATCCCATGCCTCCTTTTGGTGTGTGTGGTGTGCACTGCACATACGTATGCCCAGCACACATGCGCAGCCTGCAAACCGGTAGTAAACCGGTTCAGATATCGCCACTGGTCCGGTCCTGTCCTGTCCTGATTTGGAAATGTGCTTCCAGTGCTCTGCACCCAGGCAAGGTGTCCTTGTTTCGGGGAGCTGCTTTGTGCAAAGTCTACCTGAAATGTATGTTATGGCATGGCACCACCTGGTGGCAGGCGAGCCCATTTAGCCTTGCAACCAGAAGTAGGCAAACAGGTGAGATGCTACCCAGGGCAGAGCAATTTTTTCCCCTTGGGGGAGCACCTTTTTCTCTTTGCTCCTGCAATGTCTTTCTTCTGCAGATGCTCTATGGAGAATATATCTGAATGCAGAAGTATTAGCAATGGTAGAGGAGTGTTGGCTGGCTGGGGGAATTCAGGGAGTTAAAAATCCACCCACCTTAACGTGGCTGAGGTTGAGAAACCTGGTCTTAGAACTGATGGTTTCTGGACAAATTCTCAGTTTGTTAGCAGGAAACCATTTTTCTGTCGAGAACCTTCCTTCCATAGAGCCAACGTGGCTGGCCGGGCGCCCGTTTCTTTGCCTTAATCTTCATGCAACCCTAAAATGTAACTCCTAATCTCAAAATTTCTCAAATGCGGCATGAGACCGAGTTGCACCTTCTCCCTCGGTGCCCCGTTTGTCTGAGAAAAGGGACTTGGCTGAAGAAATGATAAAACATCAGGGGTTTAGTTCCAAGAAAAAGAGATTAAAATGAAATAAAGCCATGAGGTGAATCATCAACTTGTCAGGAAGCACTGTGGAATTTAACAGCCAGCCTTAGCACTTTTGGGTAAGAAAAAGGCGGTTATTTTTAGCCCACTGGAGGTATCAGAAATGTTGGCTTATAGAAGAACAGATGAAAATGATTCCCACTTCCAAATAAAAGGTGGAGGTTTGCTGCGTAAGTCCCTGGAGACAGTTTTCTACATGCCCATTTTCATAAATCCGGGCAAATAATATTTAGGGTTGCCATTTTCTGTTTCAAAGTTAAATGAAAATCTCGAAGAATCTGGGAAAAACCATAGGCCCGAGAGGCCATTTAAAATATGATTTGACTAACCAAAAATTTTAAAATCCATGCAGTGGGATAGGCCAGGATTTTGACCTTGCCCCAGTGCTGGTCAACATTTTTAGAAATCATTTAAAATCCATTCTTAGGATAGAAAAAGGTGCTTAGCAAATAGGAAGACCCTCCGAAGTGAAAGGGGACCCCGGACTCCTCTCAAGAGAGGCTCAGGATTCAAAGGCATCTGACCACAATTGGGCACTCGATTCTCTTTAAGCAAAGACCGTTGAAGAAAAAGGATCATTAAAGGGAGGAGAAAACAGGATGCGCAGATACGAGATGGGTGGTCTTGGCTCTACAGTCGTACTTGTGAGGAAGATCTGGGCATTGGGATAGGCTGTACAGGTAATTCTCGACTTGCAACACTTCATTTAGTGACGGTTCAAAGTTTGCAGCAACCCGTGGTCACATGACTGAAAACCAGACTCTTGGCAATGGCTTCATACTTATGACCTGTGTCCCAAAGTCATGGGATCCCCCTTTTGCAACCTTCTGACAAGCCAAGTCAATGGGGGAAAGACAGATTCGCTTAACAACGGTGGGAAGAAAGGTCGTAAAATGAGGCAAAACTCACTTAATGAGTGTCTCACTTAACAATGGAAATTTTGGGCTCCATTGTGATTGTAAGCCGAGGACTATCTGCACCGAATCATGAATAAATTATAAGTGCATTGGCAACATTGAATAAACACAGCAACCAACACAGAAGCTCTCCCCTCGGGGCAGGTGATTCGGAGTTCCCCAGGGGCTTGGCGTGTTATGTAAACACAACAAGCACTTAGGAAGTCTACCCCAGGAGTGTCCAACCTCGGCAACTTTAAGACCTGTGGAAATTCAGCTTGGCAACTGGTCCCTATTCACTCTGGTCCTGAGGTCACGGGATCCTCCGCAAAAATCAATGGAGAAGCCAGATTCACTTCACATTAAATGCTTCACTTAGCAACATAAATTTTGGGTTCCATTGTGGTTGTACCTGTATTGAAAGATCTCAGCTGTCCCTAGCAACAAAATATCCCAGGTATAGGCTTAAGGAATCCAGAAATGCTGTCCAAAGCTGCTCCAGAAGCGTGGCGTGGAATCTTTGGCTACGGCAGATGCCTTATTGCTGGAGCGGTTCATGGTGCTGGAACTCAGGAGAGGGCTGCCCTCAGCTTTTCAAATCGTAAATTGGGGCTAATTTCATGCGAAATTTATCTATGAAATTTAGAGTACATTTTAAAGTAAAATTAGAAGTCTCTTGGCAAACTATCTGTCCCATCCTGACTCAAATGAAGACAGAAGGAGATGGTAGAGCGTTCAAAAGTCTTCTATGTAAGCTTTTGGGGAGTCCACTGGGGTTCATCTGGGCTTCGAAGAAGCAGGATAGACGCGGATGGTGCTTGTTCAACTTGGATCTTGGGGAAGACTCCTTAGAATACCAGGCATAGCCAAGAAAACAAACTCAACGGATCAGTCAACAAATCTGTGTATTGGCTCAGCACATCACCCCAGAGATGTTCTTGCCATTGACTAGTTCCCTCTCCTGGGGGACCTGGGGCACCCGAAAGGAAAGACAAATAGCCAAACTCTTGAGGAAGGCAATTCTTTGGGGATGTTTCTTGACGCAAGTGGGAGGTTTGTTCAAAAATACAATGGTTGACTTATTCTCTCTGGACTTCCCTCTTTACCGTGACACCTTGAATCACCAGAAGAGAATATCTGTAGCTCAGGGTTGAACTGTGAGGTCCTTGGTTCTCTGTGAGCTTAGTGGCAGATTCTTGCAGATCTTTCATGACCCATCGGATGATGTTCCCTGGTTGGGTAATTAAATATCTGCAAGGAAGCCACCAAGCTCCCAGAGAACCAAGGACCACACACAGCCTTGAAGCTGGGAGATATGGGGCTCAGCCAAGAAATTGAGGAGAGGGGAGATGGTGTTTGTCCTCGGCTTCAACAGTGGCTCATTTCGGCAGGAACGTTCTTCCACCTGGAGCAACAGGCCATTTGGCTGGCGTGAACAATAGTCTCCTAGCTGGTAATACAAGAATTGGATTCCTAGAAGAAGGTCTTGTCGTTTCAGGATTTAGGTGGGAACACAACATTTGGCTACCCATATCAAGTGGCTGGATTATCTCAGTGGACTTGGAAAAATAAATACGGATATAATTATCCATATATCTACCCTAATCCTACTTTAATTTTCATTGGCAATGGGATTTTCCCATGTATTTTACTGTGCACCATAAGCAACTCCAAACGAAAGGCTGTCAGCACCGCTTTCCTTAGAGAACCTCTAACCCCTAACCATAAAAGTAATGCTAATCCTAACCTTAGTTTACTGTGACAAATGGATATGGATATAATTATGGGTAAAGGCCTGGCACACTTCCATAATGGAAAGGGTAGGAATGAAGACAAAGAAGAATCTTTTGCATGCATGTCAAGTCCCAGATGGTGTCTTAATTTACTCCCGAGTAATCTGATTTGTGGACACAGCTGCACAGGTTGGCATGCTCCCGCCAAGGTCCAGCAACTGGGAAGGATGGGCAGCCCTTGGTCTCTTCTCTGGCCCTGAATTAATGGGTTTTTCTGAAGATGGAGGAGTGAGCCCAAGACCATCCTGGAAACAAAGACCAATCCCAGAATCTTTCTGAGTTTACATCTCAAACTTTCACCTCGGAAGACCCCAAAGAAGTCCCTCCTGAATGTCTTCATCTCAGTCTCCGGCAGCTGAAGCCAGAAGAAGACTTCTTTTGGTGAAGAATGAAGAAAGACCATCTCCAAGTTAACTTTGCTCACCCCTTGGTCCCAGCTGAGCCAGTCCAGATGTTGTCTTCAGCCCAATCTACCTCCTGGTAAAAAAGGAAACTAAGGAAGGGGGCCTCTTTGTTCCCATCTCCTTTGGGTTCAGCTGATGGGTGGGGGATGGGAGTTGCAACCCAAAGCCTGAAACGGCCAGGTTGAAGAAAAGGATGCAGGGCGGGTGGGGTGGATGGGAGTTGGACTCCTGCAAAGTGGGAAGGAGGCAGAGCTGGGCGGGGATAATGGGTATGGGTGTAAGAATTGGGGATTGGGCGCGGGGAGCACTGCTGAGGGCTTGGGGTGCATCGGAGGGGAACTGCCGCTGCCCTTCCTCCTCCTCCTCTCTCCCCCCCTCTTTCTGCCTCCTCTCCCTCTCCCTCTTCTCCTTCCCTTCCCTCTTTCCCCCTCTTCCTCTCTCTCTCCCTCTCCTCTTTCCCCCTCCTCCTCCCCTCTCCTCCTCTCTCCCTCTTTTCTCTTTCCTCCTCTTCTTTCCCTCTCTTCCTCCTTCCATCTTCCCTCCACCACTTCCTCCTCTTCCTCCTCTTTCCCTCTTTCCTCCTCTTCCTCTCTCTCTCCCTTCCTCTCTTCTTTCCTCCTCCTCCTCCCCTCTTCCCTCCACCACTTCCTCCTCTTCCTCCTCTCTCCCTCCTTTCTCTTTCCTCCTCTTCCTCTCTCTCCCCCTCCCTCTCCTCTTTCCCCCTCCCCCTCCTCCTCCTCCCTCCCCGCTTTCCTCCTCCTCCTCCTCCTCCTCCTCCGGCTCTCCGTGCGCGTGAAGGCGAGGGCTGGGCGGGGGCTGCGGCCGCCTTCCTTCCCCGCCCGCCCGGCTGCCCGCCGGCCGGTCCCGTCCCGTGGCTGCTGGGAGGCGGCGGCGGTGGCGGCGGCGGTCCTTGCGCTTCCTGGCCAGCCGGGGCTGCAGGGCGGCGGGAGGGGGCTGTGCTGGCCCGCCCGCCTCCGGCCCGGCGCCGGAGCAGCAGCGCCTGCATTGCAGAAGCCGCCCGCCCGCCCGCCCGCCCGGTCCTGCCCTCCGCCCGCCAGCCAGCCAGCCAGCCGGGAGGGAGGGATGCCGGCGCTGCGCTTCCCCGGGGCAGGTAAGGCGCTCCGGCCGGGGGGCTTCGGGAGGGCGGGGCTGGGAGGGGGGCAAGAAGGGGGGGAGGCCGGGGGTCCGTCTCGCCCCGCCGCCCCCGGGCCTGGGCGCTGCGGCTGGGCTGGAGGCGGCTCCCGGCGCCGGACGCCTCAGCATCCTCGGGCAGCCCCGGGCCAGCTCTCCCCCCCCGCCCCCCGCGTGATGCAGCAGGAGGGGGCCGGTGGCCCAGGGTTGGGGGAGGAGGGGGCCGAGGGGCATCCCACCCCCCCACCCCTCCCCGACTGGTTAAGTGCCAGAATGCCACACCTGGCTGTCCCCGTTTCTATGGCGACCAGGTGAGGGCCAGGCCACCTCTGGATGCAGCTGAGGTTTTGCATCAGGCTTTTGGGGAGGGGGGATCGCCTTCCTTGCAACTTCCCCCCCCCCTTTATTTTATTTTTAATAAGGGCCCCTTGCTCTGACCTGGTCCAGTGACGTCATAAAGCAAGAAAGTCCTGCTCCGTCATCACCCCCCCCTTCCCCCCCCCCCAGGCAGTGCAGAGCTGGAGAAGAGGAAGGAGTCACATGCAAATGGGTCAAAATGTGAAGGTGCATTTACAGCCCTTAAAAAATCCTAAATGACCAAGTGGCAATTTTAGATAGATCAGGATGATGGGTTTGCAGGGATCCCTGCCAGAAACTCTGGTATTCATCGTCAGGCATTAACGGGGCCCATCTTCATCTTCCTGCAGTTTTTATTTTTATTTTTTGGTGGGGACCATTCCTAGCTCTCCCCAGTCTAATGCTTCATTTCTGCCTTGGATGCAAAGAATTTCTTTCTCTCTCTTTTGAGAAAGGTTGTGGGTGGCTTTAGATGAGAATCCCACTGACCCAAATTGAGGGGCTGAGCTTGGAGTGAGATTTCAATTCAGCTTTGCATCACCGGGTGTCAAAGCAGTTTCTCAGCCTTACTTCCCCGGCCTGTGAAGGAAAGGTGTTCTGAAGGTGATCACAGATGGATAAATCATAACCCTGGGGGAGAAAATAGCAGCCAGGGATGGGAGGTGCCTGTGTTTGTGTGATTTTAATATTCCCTTGCAAGGAAAAATGACCTCTAAATTCATTTTTTACTGATAAGATAAAGGTTAGGCCAGAGAGGCGAGTTTTTATCCTTTGGTGGGAAGGTGAGATCACCTGAACTTAAATAACACATTGCAGACTGCTTAAGGCCTTGTTGTCAGTAGGTAAAGCATATAATGCACCTTAAGGCTATAATTGTCTATCAACTTCATACCTTAAAATAGACACCCTGAAACTCTATATTGTTGGGCAGATGTTCTAATCAAAGACATTATTTCTCAAACTGGATGACTTGAAGGTGGGTGGACCTTAACTCCCACAATATGCTGGCTGGGGGATTCTGGTTGAGAAACTTTGGTTGAAGACATATAATAATTCCCCACAAATCGCAGTTTCTGAGAGTGCACGAGGGGTTGAAGTGGGTCTGTAGCTCAGATGCATTAAAAAAAAAATCTTTTTAGGGACTCGCCAAGAAGCATCATTTCAGCACTTCCTGATTTGGCAACCTAAGTTCATTTTCAAATAACAAATCCATACATCATTGTTGGGGAAGGGAAACCTTGGTGTCTTGTTAGTCCTGACTCAAAACAGTAGATGTGAGGCCTTCCTTTCCCCACCAAATGCTAAGGCAACCATGTTGATGCTGACAAATGTGTGTGTATGCTTTTAAACATGGCTTCTGGGCACTAAGGAGACGGGCCCAGTCTTTTGAGAGGGCTTGATTTATGCTTGTCGTATTGATTAAGTCTTCCTTCCCAAAAATATAATTGCGGGGGTTGCTAATGGTATGGAAAACCCTGTAAGATTTTCCTTCCATTTTCTAAGTACAATCCTTCCCCCAGCTGTTTTCCATTCCCCTAACAGTCAGCGTTTGCAGGCTGCTAAAGAACAATTTGTCCTTCCAGAGCAAAGATTTCCTTCCATTTTTTAAAGATAGCTAAAAATACCCCCCCCAACACACCCTTTTGCAAATGTCGAAGTCGACCTGCTGAAATGTCCAAGTTGTTGCATGGATGTTATCCTTCTGGCTGCCTAAGCAAGGATACAGGCTGGTCATCAGAAACAGAAAAGGTGATGAATCCAAGAAATATTTGCTAATGTGCTTCTCTCTCCTACGATATGTGATCACGCTGCAGTCTGAAAAAACAAAGTTTGTGACTTTTCAAATAATGCTTACCTTAGAACCTTTGTGCGTGCGAGCATTTATCACTCTCTGTCGGTGCACTTATATAATCGCTTTGCTGGTAAATTTCAGATTATCTAAGGGTTTTAAGGTGTCCCCCAGTCATACTGATAAATTAGGAATTATTAACGCTGCAACCTCATGTCTGCTTAGTTGGGAATTAAATCTCCTTGAATCCTAATAAATTGCTTACTAATGTCCAGTTAATCAGTTATTTTGGAAATATATTAGACAAGCATGGTCATACCTAAAGAGAAAAGAAATAGGAAAGTTTAATTTTCTTGTTATAATTAATACCCCATAAAAAGGGACTTCCTTGGGATAGTTTGGGTAAGAGCTAATGACATTTCGGGGAAGAGGGTTGGGAAGTATTTTAAATTCTCTTTAGCCTACCAGGATTCCCTAATGAAATGCGGCCCTGAAATGATTGCAGGAAACGGTAGTTTAAATTGGTCAGGTCTAAAGGAAGCACCACGGCTATAAATGTTTAAAGTCTTGGCCACAGGATGTGTTTCATGTCAAAGGTTTTAGTAGTACAATCGTTAAATCCGAAGCGTGCCAGAGAGAGTTAAGTTGCTCATTTGTAGGTAAACAGGTCTATGGGAAGGTATTTTGCATCTCACATCAATTCATGGCCAGGCTGTAAATTTATGTCCAAAAAAAATGATCGTATTGTTTTCCTGAGGAATTTAACTTTTCAGTGCTGAGACCAAAAGAAATCCAAAATGCACAAGGAAAGGTGGGATAATTTTATTCTTTTAACCATGAATCTTTTTTTTTTTTTTTTGGTCTCTGCATATACATATTTATGGCTGTTTTATATCGTCTAGGTATGCAAATAAGAGGACTAGCTATTAACATTGCATAACTGAATCTGTCTCTCTATAAAATGTAATGAACTCTGATGATGGCAGCAGTTTCCTTGCCCTCTCTTGCCGTTCAAGATTCTGACAAAAAAGCAGCAGAAATTGTCTTTCTAGTTCCTCTCTATTTTATCCTTTCTGGGGATTTTCTCTCCGTCGCGTTGATTTTGGAATAGTCAACATTTAAACCAGTTAACCTGCGTTTGCTTTGGCAGCCCCTAATGCAAATAAGCTTTTGATAGCAAATGTTTTTAAGACTGGGAAAGCCAAAAATAAATAATGCTTCAATTAAAACTCTAATAATATCCCAGCAGAAATTGAATGAGGTAGTGATGCTGGCAGACAAATTGGAGATATTTTTTAAAAAAGAAACAAACGAACATTATTAATTATTGGATATTATTTATTGGAACTATTCAGTAAAGTGCCTTGTTTAATTTCTTTGCACGGAGTGCTCCAGAACCATAAAGGGAAATGATCATCTGTGCATTTAAGCCAGTCTTTTTCAAACTTGGCAGTTTTGAGAAGTGTAGGGTTCAACTCCCAGAATTCCCCAGCCATCTATAAGTCCATATAGTTTAAGATTACAAAGGTTGTAAGGTTATATATATCCATATAACTGCCCAGATTACTTCCCCTTAAGTATTAGATATTAGATCTTGCTAGACAAATATAAACTAGGTAACAGTATTACATAGCAATGTATATATAGGTAATTTATATGTAGGATAATGTCCAGCCTCAATTGAGTAACTATGATGTAGAACACCTGAATTCACATCCCATTCCTACCATCAGTCGGTCCAGATTTTTTCTTCCAGGCTTAGGAGAGGACTTTCTGGATGGTATGATGGACCACTCTAGAAGTCTAGTTTATGGCTGAGCAGCACCAGAGCTTTAAAGAGTTTCCAGGCTGATTTAAAGTTTGCTAAACTAACAGTTTTGGTCTTGGGAGATTCCTGAGTCAACCTTCTTGAAATCCTGCATGACAGAATTATAAATGGGTGGTTGATATGTGCAAAGTGGATTGCAAGTATATCTGATGCTGAAAAACATTAAAATCGGGACTCCATTTTACCCAAAGGCTCCATTTTAATCAGATATAATCAGATGTTGATCTATATTTTAAATCCTATTGGCTTTAAAAGCTTGGTGGTCCAGCACAGTGTTTTCTAACTGTAGCCATGTTTAAGATGGGTGGACTTCAACTCCCAGAATACCCCAGCCAGCACAGCTTCAGCTGGAAAACACTGTGCTAGCAGAATGGCTTACCAAATGATTTTTTTTATGAAAGAAAACTATGCGTTTTGTGTGGTGATATCCAAGTGGATACCACCACACATGGAAGGAGTCAATAAAACAGATTAGGTTGGCTTTTCCACTCTCCAAAAAGTGGCATTTGGGTATCATTCTAAAGCAGACTTTTCTTTTTTAGACATTTTGTAGTTGAACCTAGACAAACTTCTGTTGTTCTTGATTCCAAAATTTTCAGTTATATTTGGAATTTCTGAGTCTCCTCAGAGGAGGACATCAAACGGTGAGGGTTGTTTTCTTTTGTATGCATATTTGCTGCTGGATAACCTAGATTTTTGGAGTAGTTCATAATTTCTGAACATTATTTATGAGATGATTCCAGGTGTAAAAATTGATGACGGACATTTTAGGTCAAAGAAGCTCTGCAGGGAAGTGAAATTAATTCTTTCAAGATAAGGAATTGCTTCATGTATTTTTTCGGGGGGGTGTCTTTTTTTTGGGACACAGTTTATTCCAGGAGCAGAATAATTTTGTAAAGTTTTTGGGGAGTTTGATTAGTGAGTTTGTTGATGGTGATTACCACATTTCCAGTATTTAATATAGCTGTGTCCATAGTTACTTCAAGAAGGAGCTAAGAGTGAGAGAACATCTGAAGATAAGTTGTGAGTGTCACCGGTTACTTTAGAGAACTTGTCGTGTTGCTGGTATGTCTGTGTTGGCTGATCTCAGTTGTGCATCCTGGCAACATGGAAGCTTCTGGCCTAATATGACTTCCAAAGCCATATTTGAAAAATGCTTGCTTCAGAGTTTTTACTTGGAGTTGGGGGTTTTTCTGGAACGCTGACACATCCCTTGTGTGTGTTTCTCGAGATTTTTTAAGACTTTCTCAACAATCTCCAAGAAAAATGTTCAAGATGCCCGGGTCATTCACTTTCTGATTAAAGCAGCCAAATAGTAGAATGAAATTTTGACTCCTCCACAGTTAATTGCTTCCCACGGGCTTCAGAAGACTTTATGTTGAAATTCTTTGGTTTTTGAAAACCAAACTCAAAAGCCACATGCTTAGCAGATGGAGGAACGTTGACTGGGTGAAGAAGGCCACCATCTCAGGTCACCTTCCTTCCATAGCTGACCCATCAGGATGCATATGCTAAAAGCTGGATTTTGTCCAGAATGGGCATCAGAGGTCCATGAAAAATGTAAATATTTATGGCTTTCTGAAGAGGTTGATCTCAATGACTACCAACCTAGGAGTTAGATTCCTCCTTGGTTTCCAGAACTCCTACATCATCTCCCCTGCCTCCATTTCTACTTTTCTTTCACACAAACAAACACACCAGAACAAGTTCTTGGAGGCTGGAGAGGAAGAAAATGTGTTAGCAGAATGAAAGAGTTGGAAGGGACCTTAGAGGTCGTCTAGTCCAACCCCCTGCTCAAGCAGGAGACCCTATACCATTCCAGACAAGTGGCTGTATAGTCTCTTCTTGAAAACTCCAGTGTTGAAGCAGCCACAGCTTCTGGAGGCAAGTTGTTCCACTGGTTGATTGTTCCAACTGTCAGGAAATTTCTTCTTAGTTCTAGGTTGCTTCTCTCCTTGATCGGTTTCCATCTATTGCTTTTTGTCCTCCTCTCAGGTGCTTTGAAGAATAGCTTGACCCCCTCTTCTTTTTGTGGAGATAGGAAGGATTGACTAGATTTGAATGTGATATTTGTGGATGAATGTTAAAGAGTGAAAATCAGAAGAAAGGAATTATTTGCAGACGTTTAGCTCTTCTTGTCAAAGAGGTCATTTCTTTCTTTTCTGTTGATTTCAATTTTTTTCCTCTTGCAAAAAAACTTTTTCCTCTTGCAAAAGATCCCCTTTTGGGATCTTTGCCAACAATTTAGAAATGTTTCACAAAGATTAGAAATGTGTTACCTGAAGACCAGCAATTTGCGTGTGTGTGTGGACAGCATAATTTTCCTTTGGTTGTTTTGCTTAGATTCTGCACTGAAGTGTGTGCAAAAAAGAGAGAGGCTTATTTGAACTCTCAGTCAATCAATCAATAATATTTATTTGGTCAATGACCAGCAAACATTTACAAGAACAAAAATAAAGTGAAGCAAATAAATGCAATAATATACTAACAGCTAGCAGTATCTATCATAGAATATAACACTCACTGCTCTACTACTGTATTAATAAAGTTGTTCCCTGGGTGATAAATCTAAAATATTAATGAGTACAAAATAAAAATAAACCCCACATATTCTCTACAATTTATATTTGAACTCTAGAAGAAAAAAAGAGGGGTGATTAACATAAAACAAATTAGCTTTACAGTATGTTTTCTTCTAAAGCACGGGTCTCCAGCCTTGTGAACTTTTAAGACTTGTGGACTTCAACTCCCAGAATTCCTCAGCCAACTGGCTGAGGAATTCTGGGAGCTGAAGTCCACAAGCCTTAAAGTTCACAAGGCTGGAGATCTCTGTTCTAAGGGAAAGCTAATACAGGTTGAGAAGACTCCTTCACTTTAGGATGCTGATGCACAGGTGTTCCAGCTGCAGAGAGTCTTTGTATTTGCAGGAAAACCTATTGGATAATCCTTCTCGCTGAAACAGCCTTTCAGCATGTAAGCAGATGGTGTTTCTTGGCTTCCAGTTTTTGCCTTTCATTTTCTTGGTTGCATATCTTTTGGTTGATTAAAAAAGTGACATTTTAGTACAAGGGACTAAGGAGTTAGTGCGTGTTGCAAAGTTAATACATGGATGGTTATCATACGTGATACTGATGCCTCCTTCTCCTTCTCCTCCTTCTCCTTCTCCTTTTCCTCCTCCTTCTCCTCCTCCTCTTCCTCCTCCTCCTCCTCCCTCTCTTTCTCCTTCTCCTCCTCCTCCTTCTCTTCCTTCTCCTCCTTCTCCTTCTCCTCCTCCTTCTCTTCCTTCTCCTCCTTCTCGTCCTCCTTCTCGTCCTCCTCCTCCTCCTCCTTCTCCTTCTCCTCCTCCTCCTCCTTCTCCTTCTCCTCCTTCTCCTTCTCCTTCTCCTTCTCCTTTTCCTTCTCCTTCTCCTCCTCCTCCTCCTCCCTCCTCCTCCTCCTCCTCCTCCTCCTCCCCTCCTCCCTCCTCCTCCTCCTCCTCCTCCTCCTCCTCCTCCTCCTGCCATATCTGTCACCGGACATTGGCGATCCTATTTTTATCAACAGCCACACGAAAAGATGCTGCTGAGTTTTGTCCAAACCAGTCCTCTTGCAAACCATGCCCAAACATCTGATAAAGCCTAATTCAATGGCGTCGGTCATTATTAGCCTTTTTGGGTTACTCCTTGTTTAGACCTCCTGGGGTGCTCATCGTTATTCATAATGGGTGAAGGCTGATTTCTTGTTCCCTGTTGTTCCCAACTCTCAAGATCCAGTTTGGGAACCCTTCCAGCGGAAAGTGATTTAGGGGACAATGGTTTGGACTGCTCAGGTGTAACATTAGACAGAATGTTCTTAGATGCCTTGAAGATCATCAGTAGGGAAATAATTGACCTTGGAAATGTGGAGGGGTACATGGGAAAGACTGGCGCAAAGAGATGCTCCCTAGGGAACAGTCAGATGAGAGACGGCATTGCCCACAGCTGCCCAGTGGGTGGAACAAAAGGCAGCTTTGCAACTCCGAACAGTCACTAAATGAACTGTTGTAAGTCGAGGACATCAAATACTTCAAATAAATATTACTGGCAAAACCGATGAGAGATTAAGGATCAGTATGCAACCTAGTAGCAAGAGTAAATCTACATTCCTTTTTTCAAGTTCAGATGTTGGCTCTTCTAAGGCTACTGAAGAATAGATTTTATATCTGAACCACTTTCCAAAATCCATACAGTAAATGATTAATCAGCAATCATTGCTGGACAGCTCCCTTTAAATGCCCTCCCTTCCTGAGGAAAAAGCACCATGCCTACCGAATAGTTCATTATTTAGGAGAGTTCTGTTTTTTAATTCAGAAAGAAGGAAAGGGAACTAAATTTTTTTTTTGGGGGGGAAATCAGAAACAAGGAACAAATCTCACCCATCCTGTAATTTTTCCTTTTTCTGGCCAATAAAAGCAATGCGCTTGGAACCTCTTTGTGAAGTTTTTAAAAGTAACTTTTGCAAACAAAGGAACTTAGGAAATCTCTCCTAATTGAGGCACCCCATCCAGGGGGGAAAAAAAAGGAGGGACATCTAAAGTAGCAGAAAGCTCAAAGGAGACTTAGCATTGTTCCATTTAGGACATTCTCTCTGGCCTTTAAACATCCTTTGACATCCAAGAAGGCAATGAAAAACAACTTCATCTTAAGTTAAAATGTGCTCCATATTAATTCCAACGCACCACGTTGAGCGCAAAAGTCACGCAGAGTTTCAGAGAAGGGCCTGGCCCAGGATTAGCCCCAGACGGCAGAGACTGGGTGGCCACACGGGATGGAAAGGATACCTGGGAGCCGAGAGCCACATGCCTGTTTTTAAATGAAGGCACATCCCCCAAAGCAAACGGAAGCCCAAAGACATAATTACTTTCTCTGCTAGAGCAAAGCATTTTCTGGAACATTCCATCAATAGTCATTTGCTCTTGAACAAGAGAGGAAAAAGGAGCTGTGGACGATCAATCAAAAAAGCACACCCTTGTAAGGGGTGGGGGTGGGGAGAGCCCAACCTCCAGAGAAGTGAACACCATGCACTTAGTCAAAAGAAAATCAATACAGACCCAGAGAGGCTTAAGAGCCCCTAAAACCTCTCCAGCCCTGGGAAACGATGGAGTTCAAATGCACGGTGCATCAGAGAGGGGAGGGGAGAGGGAGGGAGAGGGAGAGAGAAGGAGAGAGAGAAGGAGAAGAAGGGAGAGAGGGAGGGAGAGAGAAAGGGAGAGAGGAGGAAGAGAGAGAAGGAGAGGGAGGGAGAGGGAGAGAGAAAGAAGGAGAGAAAGAGGGAAAGAGAGAGGGAGAGAGGGAGGGAGAGGGAGAGAGAAGGAGAAGGAGAAGGAGAGGAAGGGAGAAAGGGAGGGAGAGAGAAAGAGAGAGAGGGAGCGAGAAAAGGAGAGAGGGGAGAGGGGGGAGAGAAGGAAAGGGGAAAGGGAGAGAGAGGGAGACGAAGGGAGAGAGGGAGGGAGGGAGGGAGGGAGAGGGCGAGGGAGAGTGAAGGAGAGTGGGGGAGAGGAAGGGTTAGAGGGAGAGAGAGGGGGAGAGAGGGAGGCAGAGAGAGAGAGAGTGAGACAGAGAGAGAGAGCGTAAGAGAGAGGAATATAAGCCCCATTTGTCAATTCTCAGGAACTCGGTGGAATACATGGCGGCACAGTGCTGTTAACAATATAATTAATTGCTTGCTTGCATTATCCTGGGCTTCTGAAGCGTTGGGAGCTGAAGACCAGAGAACATTGGCAATAAAGATGCAAAGATCATCAAACGTGATGCAGCCTGGGCTGTGTTCAATGCTGTACCTTGATGCTGCTCTGGACACAATGTGTGCAAGGATTGCGAATATGGATTTCTGGAAGAATAATTAAGCAGTTGCTATGGAAGATTACGTAGGGTTGTCCAACCTTGGCCACTTTAAGACTTTGGGGACATCAACTCCCAGAATTCCCCAGCCAGCCATGCTGGGAGTTGAAGTCCATAGGTCTTAAAAGTGGCCAGGTTGGACATCCCTGTTGTAGATGCTTTAGGAAACACCCCTTCCAAATCTGAGTTATATTTTTTAAAAACCCCACACATCAGGAAGAAAGGAGACATTTATTTGATACCGAGTTCAAGAGAAATTCTGCCAATAATACAGCATGTAAAAGAGATTGGTATGCAATTTTATTCCCTCCTGAGCTTCTGATTCAGGTTGCCATGATCACAGTTGCCAAAGCCGACCCACAAAGGTGCCAATTGTTGTTGTCTCTTTGGCCAGCTCCTTTTTTTGGTACTTGCTTGTGATGTCAGCGGGGCTCCAGGTCACCTGAGCTCTCCTGGATAGGCAAGGTCTCCAGGTGTTGGCCACCAGAGGCAGATTTGAAATAAATTTAGCAGTCTCGCAAAATAAAACTGCAAACAAAGCAATAGAAAGAAGGACTGTGGGGAAGAGAGGAAGATAGGAAACTAATAATTAAAGGTGTATTTCCAAAAGCTTGAAGATTGAGAAGGAAACATTTTTACTAACAATGACCAAATAGTTCCCTGCAATTCCAAGGCAAGAGATTAGAGTTTAGCCTATTATTTGATTTTTTAAAAACAACAATAAATAAGTTAGAAACGGCTAATAGTTTTGCATGGCGGCTTGCCTTAAAAAAACCCACAAAGACAGTTTACTGCTCCCCCCCCCATCTTAACATCACGGATGTTGAGAAACCCCGAAGTAGTTGGACCGATCAGCGATCTTCCCCTTCCGCCTGTCTCTTTATTCTTCTTTATCTTACAAAAATATGTTTCCCCCCCCATCGTTGCTTTAAATAAATAATATGCCACAACAGCTACTGCAGTGACTGTGAACTTGTTCCCAAATGCATAATGACTTCATTGAATTCTAGCTTCCTTCAAGCTCCTGGTTTTTTCCCCTTTTCAGTAGCTTTTTTGTCTTCCTCAGTGACTACATTAGGGCCACAATAGATGGTTTATCTAAGGCATCTTTCATTAGTGCTTTTTAAATAAATAAATAAATAAATAAATAAAGCATCCTGCACGTTCGTTGAGTCTCTTCCAGGGTCTCTGCTACTGTTGGCTTTAATGTGGTCCCTGTGTTGGGGTGTACGAGAGGGAGGGGGAAGGGAAGCAAGATTCTTTGATTGCTAGATTCTCTCTTAATCAAGAATGGCTCCGCTTTCTCTGGAGTCACCCCAGAAAGTGGTGGTCAACCTCAAGGCAATGAAAATCATGTACCAAAGACTCAAAATGTTTACAAAGAGAAGCAGCTGCTTCATAGAGAACGTCCTTGACTTAACGACCTCAGTAGGTCCAGAATTTCTGTGGCTAAGCACAGCCATTGTTACGCGAGACGTGCCCAATTTTGCAATCTGTTTTTTTGTCACAGTTGTTAAACAAATGACTGCACTTGCTAAGGGAATCATGCGATCATTAAAGGAATCCACCTTCTCCCATTGACTTTGTTTGTCCAAGGCCTGCTGGGAAGGTCCCAAATGGCACTCACACGACCCCACATCCTGTGACCCTGGTAGCTTTTACATGCCAGTGTCCAAGTAACCAAATTTCGATCACATGACTGTGGGGATACTGTGATCGTCATAAATATAAGGACCGGACTGAAGTCCCTTTTTTCAGGGATGGTGTAATTTCGAAGGATCACTAAAGAAATGCTTGTAAGTCAAGGACTACAATGATTGTTAAGTAAGTTGTTGGTTTTGAGTGTTGAGTCCTATAATTTATTTAAATATCTCTCCAACTCTTCTCATCTTCAAAGTTTGATTGTCCCTAAAACATTCTGGCAATGGAGTCCACAAATACAGGTAGTTCATTTAGTGACCATTAAACGGCATTGAAAAAAGTGACTTATGACCATTTTCCAGACTTACGACCGTTGCAGCATCCCCATGGTCATGTGATCAAAAGCTTGGCAACGAACTCACATTTATGACTGTAACAATTCTGGGATCATGTGAGCACTTGGGCTCAATTTGGGCCCAATTGTGGTCGTAAGTGGAGGGCAAAAATTTATAAAACAGCTCCATGAAAACCGCTACCACCATCGTCCTATTTTAAAACAGATCCGATCATTCAAAGGTGGATCTGCCCCAATTTCTATTTGAAATGAACACTGCAGTCAATTCTCTCCCTTAAGAGTTAGCTCACTTATCTCCAGGGATTTATACTTCAGGACGTGATGCAATGCAGATTTTTCCAGGGTGTGTACTTTTTCTTTTTTCCCATTTAGCAAAATATTTCTTCCTTCTTCCAAAGTAGTGGGGAATGCTGAATGTTTCCATGACTGGAAAAGACACCAAGAGGATAACTCATAACTCATGCCGGACGATTTTAGAGCAGCCCAAATACAATATAAACACTCGATCACAGAGAGAGTTTTTCTTGTATTTTGGGTGCTCTAGATCAGGGATCTCCCAAATGTGACAACTTTTAAGGTTTGTGGATTTTAACTCCCAGAATTCCCAGCTGGTCGGGGAATTCTTGGAGTTGAAGTCCACAAGTCTTAAGGCTGTAGGGTTTGGGAGATCCCTGCTCAGAACACCTACTTAGCTTCAGGAGATACGATGAATGTGTGTGTGGCAGCTATTTTTATACCCATTATGATAAACCTAGGTTTGTTTCCACATGGACATAAAATTCATCCTCACATTCTTTGTTATCATACATTGATCAGGGCATTTAGAGATGTGTGAGTTGTAGCAGTGAGTTGTGTGTTTTCCTTTCTGTTCCAATCTCTTGCCCATTGTTATCAGAAGAAATATGGGCAAAACAAATTCATAACTTGTTATAAAATTCATAACAGCGTCTTTGTTTTAGCTCATTATAATTATGGAATTGTTTCCATGGTAGTCTTTGAAGAAATTTCATTTATTAAGTGCTGATTAATAGGAGGATTCTACTTACTCTTTTATCTCCTCGGTGTATAACATTGATTACAGTAAATCTGGTGTTATTGCAAGCTGAAAGTTGTTATCATTCATGTTTGTACAAAATATCTGTCATTATTCATTTCATTTTATTGCTTTAGTGAAGGCCATATAATTTGAATGCCTAATCTGCATTTTCTATCTATAAAGGACACGTGATTATCATAAATTTAACTAATATTATTAAGCCTGATAAACCAAGTTACTGCAATAGAAGTTCTATTACCTCGTTTTTGTTTTTCGTTTGAAAAAAAACACGATGATTTAAGACAAACTAGATTGTTGAGTCTTTAGCGTGTCATTTCTCACTGGTTTGTTTTGTTTGAAAAGAGAAGCTTTTCCATTATGAGAACATCTGAAGCACTCAATTAAAGCAATTTTGTTTCGCTCCTTAAAAGAATAAAATAAAAGGGCTATTTTGCTTTTCAGAGCACCATTGCATTATATGGGAACATAAATAGCAGCTCTCAATATTAATTATTTGAGCAAGGGAAGTTCTTAACAGTAGCAGTAATTCTCCTTTATGAGGTACTAAGAATTCCATGAGAATATGTATATATATATATATACATGCACGCACATATATATGAATAGATATTGATGACTGCAGAAATCTCAGCATGTGAATATTATACCGTTTTCTTCAAAGTTTTCCCGTGCATTCATTTATCAAGGCCCTGTCAGGACTGTCTCTTCCCAAAATGCACCCCGCAGGCAGATTCTTTCCTTTCATTCTAGCCTGAAAAGAGAAGAGAAAATATTGGTACTCCCCCCCCCCCCCCGAATGCTAGTTCTTCAGACCCTTTGTGTTCATCCTTGCCATGAAATGCAAACTGAATTACTTTGTTATTTATTTGGCTTTTGCTGATAATAGCAGTAACAGACGGCACTGAAGAAGCGGGATAATGCAGATTATGGAATAGCCGTAGAAAAATAGAAATTGGGCAGAAAAAGAAGAGAATGAAATTTAACAGAGATAAAGGCAGCGTTCTTTAGGGGGAAAATTTTTTTTTTCTTTAAACCTGGAAGACTAGCGGTACCTGTTGGATATAATCAGGAATCTGGATTAAACCTGTTGACTTTAAAACATGTATTTTTCAGTCTCGGTAACTAGCAGACAAGTGGACTTTTCAGTTCCCAGAATTCCCCAGACAGTGGGCACAAAAAGACAAAAAATAGAAAGGAGGGGCTTGTGATATAGTAGAAATATATTTCAACCTCTCTAAAATTATAACCTGTTACAGGTGGCCCTCGATTTAAGATCACAATTGAACCCCACGCTTCTGTTGCTAAGCAAGACCATTGTTCAGTGAGTTTTGTCCCATTTTATGACCTTTCTTACCACAGTTGCTAAGTGAATCACTGCAGTTCTTAAGTTAATAATACGGTTGTTGAGCAAATCTGGCTTCCCCGTTGACTTTGCTTGTCAGGAGGTTGCAAAAGGGGATCAGAAGTAGGGCTGGTGCTGTAGGTAGGACGAGCTTCATTTTTCTTTCTGACTCCATAATTTTATTTTTAACCCATCTTTCCTTTTCCTTACAGATTTCTCAGGAGACACAACTTACTCTCACGGCTTACTGTGATAAAAATGAACTAGCGTCCTCACCATCCGACGCACGCCACCAAAACTTTACTTCAAGTCTGCTGAAGGTAAGTCAGAGGAGAAGTTGAGAATTCTACCTTTTCATTCTTCGTTCAAGAAAGCCAAGTCCGACATCTGGGTGCAGCCCAGAGTAGCCTAGGATGAGTCATCCAGAGTCCCTTTGGGAAGATGGGTGGTTTATAAATGTGATGTATAAATACTCCTCAACTTATGACCATAACTGAGCCGCAAATCTATATTTGTTAAGTGAAAAATTTGCTAAGTGAGTTTTGCCCCATTTTACGATTTTTCTTGCCGCATTTGTTAACTGAATCACTGCCATAGTTGAGTTAGTAACCCGGTCATTAAGTGAATCTTTGCTTGTCAGAAGGTCGCAAAAGGGGATCACATGACCCCAGGACATTGCAACCGTCATAAATGTGAGTCAGTTGCATCTGAAGCATCTGAAGAAAATCTTGTGACCATGGGGATGCTATAATGGTCACAAGTGTGAAAAATGGTTATAAATCACTTTGGTGCAATTGTAACTTCATACGGTCACTAAATGAACTGTTCTAAGTCAAGGACAAGTTGTACATGAAATGAAGTACTAAATAAAGAGCCACTTTCAGGTGGATCTCTCCTTATTTGTCACGTGGCCTGTGCAACCTCATGTTAATGCTTCTCTTATCCCTTATGCGATACTCATCCAATGAAGGTTAAGTTCCTAGCTCTCATGATTTCAGGAGCATTATGCTTTGAAGTGGGTGATGCTTGTAAAAATTGAGGGGAAACAAGTTCCTGCAATTTGAATAACTACAAGCCCCTTCCTCTGTAGCTCCCAGTCCTCTACAAAATAGCAAATCTTGAAATATCTTCAAATACTAGGACGAAGCTTCCAAGAAAACAGATAGTAGCTGAAACTTGGAGGCCTCTGGGCTTCATAAAACCCTTAAAAAAAACCATTTCTTTGTAGGGAAGTCAAAAGGTTGTATTAGTCATCACTGACCTAACATGTCATCCTGATCTCAGCTTGATTGTGATGCAACAGTGAAAAAGCCATGGTACCTCAGGAGACGCCACAGTTATGTGAACGTAGCTTTGTCCCCTGGGCTTTGTCCTCAAGGCCGTGCTATCAGCTAAGAAGAGTCCACGAGGAACAGCAGTTCCCTTCCTTAAAATGAGGAGTACCGGTTTGGGAATTAGGTTGGGAATTGCATTCTCTGTTGTCCTGATGGTTGCAATCATAATCACCATCAAAAGAGATTCCTTGACTCAGCTCTGTAGGAACCTGGTGTATTTGCCCTCTCTGGCCAAACACATGTCATCGGTGGTGCCCAAGGAAAATTATGGAAGAAACTACACCAAGAAGACTAGTAGCTCCGTTGTAAAGGAGGAGGAGGTGTCTGATGATGATCATCATGAAGGCAGTGGAAGAGCATGAAACTCAGCAGCAAGAAGATGCCAAATCTAGGCACGGATGCACCCAAAAAATAATAATAAGATTATAAACATGTGAGCAGGACCTGGGTTTAGTGACTGTAGAAGCCAGCAGTGTTGTGAGTTTTAAAAAATAACAACACTTTCTAATTATATCTATGTTAATGCTTCACAGAGGAGATACTATCTAAATGTATAGTATTATCTCTGCACTGTTTAGGATTAAGGCTACTAGAAAATCAATTTCCTAGTCCCTTTATGGCCTGTGAAACAAGAACCCTGGAACTTGTAATATTAGTTTCTAGTTCAATTTAAAAACACAGGCAATATACTGCCAGAAAAAGTTGTAAGAGTTGATTGCCTGAAAAACCCAAGAAGTGTTCAGGGAAGAAAGGACAACACAAACTTATAAAAATAAATAAATCAAACGTGCCTTGATTTCTTGACTTCCATTGATACGATTGGTCTTTCCCCCCTCCAGGCTCTGTTGTCATGTATAGACACCAGTGATGGAAATGTATTTTTCCAGTTTATTTTTTTCATCCAAGAGCTGGGCAGACACAAATGGTGAGATGAGGTAGAGAATTCAGAATGGACAAATAGAGTAGTAGAATTGAGGTCCTTGCCTGACCAAGCTATGGAAGATTCAAAGACAGCCATGCATAGTCCTCCTTAGATATTGAATTATATTTAAACTAAATTTGTATATCAGTGATTGCATGACCTCTGCAGATACCATACGCTAACTAAATACATAAAATAAAGCATAGTTCAAACCTCCACATTGAGTTTTTGGGGATTCTGTTTCAGAAAGCTGACTTCTCATATCCTCCAGTAGGTGATTAATCTGGGATCTTCTTTCTCCCTCTTGGTAGATGGACGTCTTGTAACCTTCCTCCTTCTGCTGCCCAGTTAGCAGCTGCCCTACATGATCCCATGACTCTTGATATGGATGCTGTCCTCTCAGACTTCGTTCAGTCCACGGGGGCAGAGCCTGGTCTAGCCAGAGACTTGTTGGAAGGTAAGAGCTCCTTTATGGAACATCATCCACAACAGGGATCCTCAATCTTGGCAACTTGAAGACTTGTGGACTTCAACTCCCAGAATTCCTCAGCCACGAATTCTGGGAGTTGAACTCCACAAGTCTTAAGATTGCTAAGGTTAGGGACCCCATACCCACAGGGTGTGGGTTTCCTTCAGTTCCCTTTGCATGTGTTGCAGGACAGGAACCCCCAAATATAGAAGATGCACCTCTCTGGATCTCACCTTTAAACCTTACTAGACAACCCATGACCTGTTGCGTCATCCTTTCCAAGAGACTTCCTTACCAGATTCCTCATGCCTTCAACCATGGCAGAACAGCTAATGTACTTCCTTCTCTGGAAATGTTGGTTGGTTTGCGTGCTGCGGTGATGCCGTGTGGTTGTGATAATCCATTGGTTGTTTCTGAGATGTTTTTGATGCATGGCAGTGTTATCCTTATGACAGCTTGTGCTGGTTGTGTAAAAACTGTTGACCCTACGATGCATGGTTTTTCAGTTAAAGATTCAGGAATGAAAGCTTTGGCAGTATCTGCTGTAGATTTATGTAATAAAGCAGAAGAGGCAGAATTTGTGATGAGCAGATGTTGCAAAGGGCGGTAGATCCATTGTTTTGCTACTATTTTTATTAGCAAGGTTAGATGCTAAGCCGGCTGGACTTTCCTTTGTCCCCTCTTATACCAGACAAAATCAAGGCGGGAGTTTCTCAGGACCATGCATTCTCTTCTACAAAATCTCTCCTTCATGCTTCTTTTAAACGAGCCAGGAGTTGAATATTCCTTCACACATCCAGACCGTGACATCTGGGACAAGCCACAAGGATGTCCCATGCATAAAATACACAACTCACGCCATTCGCACAAGGATGTCACATCACATCTTTGGACACACAAGTACCTTTGCGCCGTTTCCTTACAACAACATGTTCAGGTGACCAAAAGAACACATTTGTGTAAAGTCAGTGAATAATACACTCATTCTATTTCTTGTATTAAGCCATCTGTAAAAGAACAATCCACCACCTGTTTTATGGAATAATTCTCACCCACCTCCAGCTTGATAGATTGCTGAATCCAAAGAAGGTGGGATTTGCCACACACTTGTACAGACTATGGAGAAATTCACACGAGAGAAGTGGAAAGACCATCTCAGAATTAGCTATCCTGGGAGAAGTCATCTGCATCCTTTTCAACAACCTGTGTTTACAAGGGAGGAATCCATAGTTGGCCAACACTACATAATATCAAATTCCTTGTCTTATACAGTTCTCCTAATTGAGCAAGATCAAGAAACAAGAACCACACCAATGCCAGGAATGTCTCTTTAAGGCTAGGGTCAAGGGTAGAAACCTTGTTGGAAATTGCAACATGAATTTGCAACCTTGATTTGTTGATCCAAGCAGAGTCTCTTTCAATGATTTCATTTTTATTAAATTAATTTAATTTTCAATTAACCAATGGAAGTTGTGAGTGCTCCATCACTGGAGGCTTTTAAGACGAGGCTAGACAACCATTTGCCTGAAATGGTAGACGGCTTCCTGCTTGAGCAGGGGGTTGGACTAGAAGACCTCCAAGGTCCTTTCCCAACTCTGTTATTCTGCATTATTTTGATTTGAAATGCTTCTTCCCAGCTTTCTGGGCTAAATTGTCATTCATGAGAAATGTCCCTCCTCTCTTTTTAGCTGGTGTATAACAAATTAGGCTTATTTTCTATAAACAATAAGTTATAGAGCAATATTTTATCTTTACCATCACATAGAGAGTGTTAAATGTAACTTTGCAAGAGTGCCAAATAGAAAAGCAGTTGTGGCTGTGGCTGTGTGTGTGTGTGTGTGTGTGTGTTTGGGAAGAAATTGCAATGGTCGGTCAAGATGGCTGTGAATCCAAACGAAGGTAACATTTAAATAATAGTGGTTTGGAAAAAAAGCAACTTAACTGTTTGACGTCAGCCGGCTTTTTACCATGCCATTTCGAAGAAATGTCAGCTTGGAGGCCTGCCTCGTTGTCAGCCAATTTGTGGAGACGTTGTTCAGGAGAGCATGTGGTCGGGGGGAATGTGGTAATTTCTGACTGTCCTTTGAAAGATTGCTAAGAGCGCTCATCCTTCTGCTGTTAATGATGCCCTACTTCAGTAGAAGGAAATTAAATGCATTCTGCTTTGATAAAAACCACTAATCATCTTCGGGTGAAAAAAGCTAAAAATTACTCATATGTCATTTTTTTTCTGGGTGTTTTTTTTTTTGGGCAGGCAAAGGTTGATCTCTTGAAACAGCAGGATATTGTTCTATCAACTGACAATGCTGCTTGAATTATTGCTTGGAGATGACTGTTTTGCAGGCAGCGAAATAAAGCCACTACTGTGGCTTTTCCATGCATAGAAGCCAATTGTGAGATAAAATTGTATGAAAGCATTTTCTGCCTTCAAATTGGTTCCCAAAAGTAGCTCCTTCCTTCCTTCCTTCCTTCCTTCCTTCCTTCCTTCCTTCCTTCCTTCCTTCCTTCCTTCCTTCCTTCCTTCCTCCCCTCCCTCCTCCTTTTCCTCTTCTTTCTCCAATTCCTAAAATTTGCCTTTTTGTTGTACAAAATTTTTGGAATTAGAAAACGCGATCCTTCCTCCAGAATGGTTACATCCTTATTTTAATCCAGTTATCCTTGTTTACGAGTGTTTTTTTTAAATCATCCGATAACATTTAATTGCCGTAGTTTTAGCTCTCCCCTTTTTGCCGTGTTCTGCCCCCCCAATACATGGATGTTGAGAATAGACTGGGGAAAGAAAAGGCGGTTTAGATGTGAACAATTAAGGGAGGATTATATAATGAATACTTTAGCGGTTTATTTATTAACAGTGCATTGAAAAATAATAAGGGTCTGATGTGATAATTCACCAGCATTCAGGAGGAAGAATTAAAAGGGTTTTTTTGGTGGGGGGGTCTAAGAATATAACAATGTAAAGGCAATGAACCAGTTATAAGTTGAAGTTATATATTATACATTAGAATGCAATCCTCAGTGAATGAAATAAATGTGGCTTTTTTCAACATACATCATGCTTTATTGTCTCTCTTCTGGAAAACAGTCTCCTTGCAGAGATCTGTTTAATAAAATATGCCTTTCTTTGAATTAAGCATTTTATATTGCTAGTCAAGCACTGATCACTGGACTCATCCAAAATTCTCAGTAAATTCTATTATTTGGCCATTTTAAATATTTTACAGTGTTATGAACCAACGTATACTATCTCTGGCACAGCTAGTGCTCTAAATATTTGAAAGTTATTTAAATATTATCTAAATATTTAAAGCTTAATTTAATAATTAAATATACCATGACATTTTGTTTGGTTATTTGGCTAATTAACTGTATCAGCATTTATGCTTTCTGTTGATCAAGTACTATATAATCCAGGTATCTAATTACTAGAGATAAGAAAGCTAAAAGTTCATTTCCTTCCTGGAGTGGCCAGAACATGGATAAAGCTTGACCCATCCAGAAACTAGCATTAAGAGTGTTACAGCTTCCCTTTATTGAAGATAATTTAGACTCACAAAGTTGAATGGTTTTTGGTTCACTTTTCTTTTAAAGTTATTCAAATTGGTGGGCCATCATTACTCAGTCAGTTCCATAGATAAACTCTGTGAAATAGGGATTCCTCTCATTTTTTTCCTCCCATAGTTTAGTTGAGGGGGTCTCCAAACGAGGTAACTTCAAGATTTGTGGACTTGAACTCTTAGAATTCCTCAGCCGGCTATTCTGGGAGCTGAAATCCACAAGTCTTAAAATTGCCAAGGTTGGAGAATTCTGGTTTAGTTCACTGGCTCATCTGTGCTGATTTTGAGGAGAGCAAAAGAACTGGATGTGTGTTCCATTTTAATCAGCTTTAACATTCTGCTATGTGGCGCTGTTAGATAGACCAACATCTTTCCCAGCATCAGAGCCTTCTTCACAGAGTTGGATCTTCACATTATGTGTCCAAAGCAGGATACTTTGAGCAGGATACTCTTTGTGTCTTGAGTGAGGAGTAAGGAGATGTGCTCAATGATCCATTGGCTGGCTTTCTTGGCTGTCCGTGATATTCTCAGGCGTCTTCTCCAGCCCCAAAGTCCAATTGTGTCAATCTTCTTCTCATCTTGCTTCTCCAAAGCCCAACTGTTGCTTCCTCTAAGAGGGTCACAGACAGAGAAGATTGCTGCCAATGTTTACTTTGATACCTTTTACTTCGGTTTAATGGCTCCGAAACAGAGGCGGTCTGCTTCATAGACATCAGCCTGGCCATCAGCATGCCTGTGGAAGTCAACCCTGCCTCTCTTTCTGTGTTTTTAGGCAAAAACTGGGATTTCACTGCTGCTTTGAGTGACTATGAACAGCTCAGGCAGGTGCATACAGCCAACCTGCCCCAGGTGTTCAATGAAGGAAGGTATCCCAAACAGCAGCCACAGCAAAAGCCGGATAAAGAACCTTCCCAACAGGTGAACAAGAGTGAGCGGCTCTCCTTTCCTAGACAGGAGGACATCTCCCAAGGTAAAGGCATTTCTGGGTTGAAAGGACAAGCCGATTACATCAGGGGATGCTCAGGGGGCCTCCTGTCATGCCACCATCATTTTATATTATGTAGACTGGCCACTAACATCTTTTCATGGTTCCCCCATGGAGGGAAGGTGAAGGAGGCTGGACTCACAATGCTTTCCTGTTGCGGCTCCCTTGTTGTTACACATCTGTTCCTGATTAGCATGGCATCCTTATAGTTGGTCTTTCAGAAAGTGTTGACTCCACAAAGTGTATTTGCACAATGGCGGAGGGAAGACCTTTCTTTCTTTCTTTCTTTCTTTCTTTCTTTCTTTCTTTCTTTCTTTCTTTCTTTCTTTCTTTCTTTCTTTCTTTCTCTCTCTCTCTCTCTCTCTCTATCTATCTATCTATCTATCTATCTATCATCTATCTATCTAAAAAAAGAGGGCTGTGAAAATATTTACAGACCTCTCACATCCTGGACATAAGCTGTTTCAACTCCTACCCTCAAAACTACATTATAGAGCACTGCACACCAGAACAACTAGACACAAGGACAGTTTTTTCTAAACAAATAATTTCTAAACAAATAATTCCCTCAACAATGTCAAAGTAGTTACTAAGTCTGCATTACTATTAATCTTCTCATCGTTCCTATCACCCATCTCCTCCCACCTTGTTGCTGGTATCCTTAAGATTTATATTGACTGTTTCCTAATATGATTTGATTGCCGATTTGTACCCTATGACTATCATTAAGTATTGTACCTTACGATTCTTGACGAATGTATCTTGTCTTTTATGTACACCGAGAGTGTATGCATCAAAGACAAATTTCTTGTGTGTTCAATCACACTTGGCCAATAAAGAATTCTATTCTATTCTATTCTATTCTATTCTATTCTATTCTATTCTATTCTATTCTATTATCTATCTGTTTTATATACTGTGGCGTTCCAGAAAGAACTCCCTGTGTTTAACAAAACAACAAAAACAGAATAAAATATCCCCAGTAAATGAAAAAAACCAATTTCACTTCATTCATTTGCAATGTCCATGGTAACTAATAGCAGAAATTAAAACCACACTGCGCTTAGAAAGACGGTTCCTATGGGAGATGCTCTTGGCCAATACTCCTACACCCTGTAGATGCGTGGGCTTAATTGAGAAGGATCACTGTCTTTAGGCCATGGAGCTTATCGCTCGGAGGCTACAGACAATCCCAAAACCAGGATTTATTTGGCAGTAGATAAAACCGGGTCAGCCTCTGGGTCTGTCACAGGCTCCCCCTTGATCCCTTGGGGTGGATAATCAGTTGAGCTGCCTCAAAGCCCATGTATTTTATGTATTTAATTGGGTGAATTTTATGGGTAACGGGTTTTAAATTGGAGAAGCCAAAGATAATTTAATTTTGTTTTAATGTATTTTAATATTTGTATTGTGTGTTTTTAATTCTGGCTGTTCACCGCCCCGAGTCCTTCGGGAGAGGGGGCGGTATAAAAATTTAATAAATACTAATACTAATACTAGCGCCTGCCTTCTGAAGCCCCATTCTGTGAACGTCATCCTAGTTTTCACATCTCGGGAAGCTTCTGAGATTTGAGCTTGTCTCTCCTCCTCCTATCTTCTCGAGATTAAAGCTAACTTGACTTCATTCCATCTTCGGTGGTGCTGTCAAGGGTGCCTCTAGATGAGCGGTACTCAACAAGGATGATTACTAAAGATGTATCATGAACTGGGGAAAGGGTTAGGGTGGTTAGGGTTTTATACTAGCTAGAAGGAAAAGGTTTTATACCAGTTGAAGATAAATCAGAAAACCGAGGAAAACTCTACCTCCAATGATCTTATGTTGACTCCTCCTGGTTGCCCTTTCCTCTGATTGTTGGGTGATAGGGATCTTTGAAAGTTTTATCCTATTCCAATTCTTAGCCAGCTTTTAAAATCATTTGAGAGCAAAGGGTTTTTTTATTTAGTTTTTTGTTGCAGACAGAATTTGTGTAATATGTAATTGAGTGAATATAGGGTGGAAGAGGAGGAGAGCAGGAGGAAGACAGAGGGATCCTTGGTGCTCTCTGAGCTTGGTTGTTTTCTTGCAGATGTTACCTGACCCAACTAGGGAACATCATCAGTGCTAGAAGACAGCGAGGTTTGCAGAGAAGAGGAGGAGAAGAAGTAGGGGAGGAGGAGGAAGAGGAGGAGGAGGAGGATTTTGGGGTCCTTCATGTTCTCTGAGCTTTGATGTTTTCTTGCAAATGTTTTAATGACTTAAGTAGGGCGCATCTCATGTCCTCTTCTCCTTCTTTGTTCTCCTGCTTAGAGAAGAGGCTTTCTAGAGGAATCTCTCACGCCAGTTCCGCCATTGTCTCACTCGCCCGCTCTCACGTGGCCACCGAATGTAACAATGACCATTTCTCTCTGGAGATGCCCATCTACACCTTTCAACTTCCCGACCTCAGCGTTTACAGTGAAGATTTCAGGAGCTTCATTGAACGGGACCTGATTGAGCAGGCCACCATGATTGCTTTGGAACAAGCTGGTGAGATGGCCTTCAAGCTGAATCCCTGGCTGCTTTGAGGTGTTCTCGGAGCCCTCCGTAAAGCCCAGGATTGCTGAAATGGGTTACTTAAATCAGGAATGAAAGCTAGAGGCCCACTTGGCCATTTTGTCTCTGAAAGGTTGTAAAAGGGTTAGGAAATGCCTGAAAAAGTGATTCAAATGATCAGAGAGAGACGAAGCTCTTGCGGTTCAAGTCGAGGCCAAAGAAAAGGCTGTTTTAATCTAATCAGACAGCAATGTGTGGGAGGGTTTGGATAAACCTTTCTAAAATCATGAATAATGGAAGACTATCGAGAGAAAGACGGACTGCTTCCCCCCACCCTTCTTACATAATCTTGAAGATGTCCCCATGAATGTGAAAGAAGATGTTTCTTTAACCACCCAAGGAAATTTCTGCAGTCCGATGAAGACGTGGCTGAGGTTGACAGGTGACTTAGCTTCCCGTGGTCCTCATGAATAACCATCATTATCTCCCTAGAAGCCTTGGCTGCTTCTGCCTCTAAGGCTGCCTTCAGAGTAACAGGCCTTTAAGGGAGGTGAGCAGAGCAGCGTTTTGTCCCAAAGTTTTTTTTTTTTTCAAGAGGCAACTGGGCTTTTTTTGTTTTTCTTTGAAGATGTTTTGCTTCCCATCCAAGAAGCTTCTTCCGCTCTGACTGGAGGATGGGGAATGGAAGGATTTGCACTCCTTGCAGGCAGCTGGTCATTTGCATTCGTTCGGAGAGCTGTTGAGGCCAGTTGGAGGTTTGCCTGTGTCCTCAGGGTCACCTGAATGGTGCAACAGCCTGCGCTTGTCTTCAACAGAGAAGGGACCCAGGGCAGAAAGCATCCTGCAGCCAAGAAGGCTCCACCCCCATTTGCACCACTCAGGTGACCCTGAGGACACAGACAAACCTCCAAGTGGCCTCAACAGCTCTCCAAAAGGATGCAAATGACCAGCTGCCTGCAAGGAGTATAAACCCATATTCTATTCCCCACCCTCCAGTCAGAGCTGAAGAAGCTTCTCGGATGAGAAGCGAAACGCCTTCAAACAAAATCCAGAAAGTCCAGGTGCCTCTTGAAAAAGACACCTTTGGGACAACTGTGACCTGAGAATCTCCATGGACAAAGCAGTTTTTGTTTCAGTATGTTTGAAGGTTGAATTTGGATCTGACTTGGTGCACAAGGAAGGGAATATAAGTGGTCCTTGACTTACAACCACAATTGAGCCCCCAATTTCTGTTGCTAAGTGAGACGTTTGTTAAGTGAGTTTTGTCCTATTTTACGATCTTTCTTGCCACGGTCATTAAGCTGTTAAGTGAGTCACAGGCTTGTGAAGGGAATTTGGCTTCCCTGTTGACTTTGCTGGTCAGAAGGTCCCAAAAGGAGATCACGTGATCCCCGGGATCCGGCCAAGGTCATAAATATGAACGTCTGAATTTTGATCACCTGATCATGGGGAGGCTGCAACGGTCGTGTGAAAAACGGTCCTAAATCACTTTTTCCAGGGCCATTTTAACTTTGGACAGTCACTAAATGGACTGTTGTAAGTCAAGAATCACCTGTCCTGTCCTCTGATGAGCTTTTTGCACTTCAGTTCCTGCACGGAGCAGGTGATGGGCTGTTACTTCCCAAGAAAGGCCTCGCTAAAAATGAGAACATGCTACCTCTAATTTTATCGCTCCCAAAGGCAGCCCAGCACACTTAAAAAGATGCTTGCCGAGTGAACTCCTAATTTAGATTTAATCAGAGTAGTTGGGCGAGGAAGCGTTCACCAGCTGCTGCTCACTGAACGTGTGTGGAGATTATCAGGGGCTTTTCACAAATTCAGCTATTAGTGCTGAGATTTACCAACGATACACTTTTTGCTGGGCTGCAGAAAACTCCGGTGGTTGTTAGATTAAAAGGCCAAAAGTCGGGTTGGCTTTGTGTGGTTGTAGCTCCTGAATTTCTGAATGAAGTAATGCCGCTTTCAAGCAGATTAGGCAATTAGGAATCACATAATCAGTCTAGGAGTTACGTGAGTGTGGGGTCCTTGGTGCTCTCTGAGCTTGGTTGTCTTTTTGCAGATGCTTCATTACCCAACTAGGGAACATCATCAATGCACTGATGGCATCTAATTGGGTAATGAAATGTCTGCAAGAAAACCACACCGAACTCGGAGAGCACCAAGGAGCCCATCATTCATCCCTTAGCTACAAATATTTTCTTCTATTGGTAGTTAGTGAAGCTTCTCAATGAGTAACTTCAGAGCTAGAAGCTGAATGCAGCGATCAACCTGAGGATAGAGTTTACTGGCTAATCTCTTCTCCCAGTCTCTCTCTTCTCTTCTTTCCTTCCTTTCCCCACTTAATGGATCCCTCATTACCTTCTCCAAGATTCCTTCACACCTTCATTGTACTGATGGTTGACATTTCCTAGGTCGTCTCAACTGGTGGTCAACGGCGTGTACCAGCTGCAAGCGTCTCCTTCCATTGGCCACAACCGGGGATGGAAACTGCCTCTTGCACGCTGCTTCTTTGGGTGAGCGTCTACGTCTCCTTGGCTTAGGATACAAGAACGTCTGTTGAATGTCAACCTCATCTGGTTCTTCTTCAGCATTTACGATCCATCCCTTCCTCCTTTCAAACGGGAAAACCTGGCCAGCATCAATATTACTCTTTTCCTTTCCATTTTTACTGATTCCACCTTACAACCATTCTGCTATTGGAGTGACTCTTACTGTATTCTCATGTTTTATTTGGCTAAATCAACGTGGAAGAGGCTGAGTTGGCCTGGGTCTGTACAGTTGGTCTAGGATTTATACCGATTCCAGGACAATCAAAGATGAGAACTAAAGAGCTCACTGCTTTAGTTATTTCTCCTGCCGCCCTCTTATATGTCCTTGAAATTCAGTATTGCCTATATTCGGGTTTCTCTGGGTTTCCTTAATTTATTAGGGACAGTTTTTATCGGTTTGTATATTGGATTTTAACATTTTTATTGGATTGCTTTTAACCTGCTGTGAACCACTCAGATTCACGTAGATAATATGGACAGCTGTACAAATTGAATAAAGAATAATATAACTTCAATAGATTTTATCTGAAAGGCTTTCACATAATCAGAAAGCCTTCAACACCAAATGAACCATGCCTGTTATTTATCTTACCGGCTGCTTTCATTTTTTTCCTATTTTTGGTTTCTTCGGGGGGGGGGGGAGAGGGTTGAAGGCCTCAAGGTTTCTTTCCACCCCTATGGATCTGTGATTCTTCAGATATATAATCCAGCCTTTCTTCAACTTGTAGGGATGTGGGGGTTTCACGACCGAGACCTTGTATTACGGAAAGCACTTTACACCATGATGAGGAGTGGGGCCGAAAGGGAAGCTTTGAAGAGAAGGTGGAGGTGGCAGCAGACCCAGCAAAACAAAGAGGTAGGTGTGCTGGGAGCTTTCAGGGGTCTTCATGGAATCCTTTTCTTGATTTTTGGTGGAGTGGAAGGGGGATGGAGACAAAAAGGCCTTCCGTGCTTGTTTCCCTTGGACCACAGATGTTCTCAACTACCTCAGAGGAATCTGGAAGGCATTATTACATTGCTCTTCCAGTATGTTGTCTTTCCCAACATGAAAGTCTGTTCTTTCTGCTCAATCTTTGGTACCCAAGTTCTTCTTTTCTTCTCTTGTGGCCTGTTTTCCTTGTCCAAAGAAACAATGGGAGGGAATGAAACCCATCTGTGGCCACTGTTCAAACTCTCTGGGTGTAAATGTGAATTTTGGCACAAAATCTGACTTGGGGTTCCCTTGAAGTTCTGCAGGTTGGAGCAGGACAATGTTTTTCGACCATGGCAACTTTAAGATGGGTGGGGAATTTTGGGAGTCAAAGTCCACCCATCTTAAAATTGTCAAGGTTGGAAAACCCTGGGATAGGACAACCTACCTCCAGCTTCACCCTCTTCTTCACCCAAGAAATATGCAAACCTTGAAGGCATCTCTGTTATCTTTTATGGGCTTCTTCTTCTTCCTCAAACTATGTTTTCTTTCTCTCTTAGTCAGGATTGGTTTATACGGAAGAAGAGTGGGAGCGAGAGTGGAATGAACTGCTCAAGTTGGCCTCCAGTGAACCCCGCACTCACATCAGCAAGAACGGAGGCAGCGGCGGTGGGTAAGTGGATATTTGCTCAGTGATATTTTTTGGGGTGAGGGGGGTGGGCGGGGAGGTCAGCCAGGGGTACATTTACAATATAATAGGAAAAGGGTGCATTGTAGGAAGTCATGTGGAGCATAACTCTAAGTAAGCCAGGAGATCATCTCCTAGCATATAAATACTTTAAATCAATCAAACCACGGACCCCTGCAGAAATTGCAGGATTTCCATGGGGACAATCACAAAATGTCACTCCTGAGGAAGTGTCTTGTCAAGACCAAAGAACAGATTGGTCTGTCCAGATCAGCTGAACTTCCAACTCACAGACACTATCTATTCTATCTTGTTTCATATTATAATTAATGCTCCCCTTCCCTCCCTTCCCTTCCCCCTCTCTCCTCTCCCTCTTGCCCTCCCCTCCCTTCCCCTGCTCTCCCATTCCATTCCCCCTTCTCCTCTCCCCTCCCCTCTCCCTCCCTCCCTTCCCTTCCCTTCCCCTGTCCTGTCCTGCCCTTCTCTTTCCTTTCCCCTTTCTCTTTCTCTCCCCTCTTAATCCACACTGCTTCTGTATCTCAGCACTTCTCTCAGCCTCATTCTGTCTTTCTCCGAGGGTTGAGACCTCCTGGTTTTGTACCTCTCCGTGTCCTGTCCAATTAGAGATGTGTTGAAAAGTATTTGCTGGGTTGTTTTTGTTTTGCTCTGTTTTAAAGAGGCCGCCTCTGACAGCTTCCTTCTCTAGAAACCAGAGCATCCCCTGTATTGCTAATACATTTTTAAATGTGTATCACCACAGTTCTCCAAGGGGAATTCAAATCACCTTAAGTTGGAATTGCTGGTCACCAGCAACTCTTCACACCAGATCTCACACAAACTTAAGGAGCCACCTCTTGATCTAGGAAGTGAAGAGATCCCCCCAAGAGATCGACTAAAACCAGGAAAGGCTGTTGCAGATTTGCATAATGCATTGTAAGCCGCCCTGAGTTTCCAGAGAAGGGCGGCATATAAATTAAAAAAGCAAAGCAAAGCAAAAGCATCACGTTAAGTTGGAAATTGGATGGGGAGAAGAGGGGTGCATCTGAATTTGCCAAATTTCAATCCCACAGGAGTCCTGGGTCCCAGATATTGGACACATTGTGTAAGTTAGCCTATTTGAGATATCTTGGTCCCAAAACCCGTTACACACAGACAAACGAGAGTTTTAGCAGTATAGAGAGATGTATATTAAAAAGGGACGGAGCTTCAAATACACGGTTCTGGCCACAATTTCGTCTTTTATGACCTTCCTGTAGATCCCTCTTCTAGCCAGTACCATCTAAAAAGGGTCGGTGCTGTCCATTACGAGTAGAGGTTAGGCAAACACGCATTCCTTCCGTCTATTTACTAATGGTTGTAAGTCAAAGTGCAGAAAGAAACCAGGGGAAATCATCTTTTTGGGGAACTTTTTCAAAGCCATCCTACCCAGTTCTTTCATAATAACGTTGCAGAGGAGAATTTCCATCTCAGCTTTTAAATTATAGATGGGCTCATTTCCTTTGGTGACAAAACAGGCTTTCAACCCAAGATACGGTTGCTTCAAAGCGGTCTCTGTTTTAAAAAGAAGAAAACAAAACAACAGATTTTGAAGGGTTCTAGGTTGCTAGCTGCCTCTTAGATCTTTTGTTTTGTTTTGTTTTTAATGAGCAAACAGGCGCTTAAAAAAGAAGCCAACATTGCCAACTTCCAGAGTTCTGTAGAGGTTTCAATGTCTACCTGCCAGTTCTGGCACCAAGGAAATGATGGTTAGTGGTTCATGTAAGGTGGCTACGTGTGTTGGTTCTTAGATTCCAGACAGAAATAGGTCTCGAGGGGTCTTTAAGACCCCTTTGATATTCCTACCTGTCAACTTTATAGACAAAAAATTACCTGCACAGAATTTATGTACCAAAAATGGTGTATGATGTTATTTAACAGATACCTGCAACTCGGGATAAATAGGGCTTCATTATTTTGTTAATATGCAAGGCGTACTGTATTAAGTTTATCTCACGCATGCAACAAAGTACATGCATATATTTGCATAGTAAGTAACTGTAAACTAGGGTTGCACATCGCCCCATAAAGTCTTAGATGTGGCCTTCACAGCCCTTTCAGATATTGCTATGAAATTGTATTAGGTTTTTCCCCCCAGACAGACAATTTCTGCGTCAATTTCATTCACTGTAACTGTACCTTCGATCACATTTACATTTCATGCTGGGAGAAGTCGCTAGTTTTGGAGTCCAGCTCGAGGTCATTTTGCAAAGGTCTTCTCTCAGGACTGTTTCTAGCAAGCATCTGGTACAATAGCGGTTGTGTCTGTTTCTTAGCGTGGAGAATTCTGAAGATCCCGTCTACGAGAGCCTGGAGGAGTTCCACGTTTTTGTGCTGGCCCATATATTAAGGCGACCGATTGTCGTTGTGGCAGATACAATGCTACGGGATTCAGGAGGAGAAGGTAAATTTTCGTGGCTCTTTAGACTTTGGATGGCAAGCCCAGTGTTTTCCTCAACCTTGGCCATTTTAAATTTGTGGACTTCAATTCCCAGGCTTCCTTCCTTCCTTCCTTCCTTCCTTCCTTCCTTCCTTCCTTCCTTTGCTTCTGGAGTCCTTACGATGCATTTTGAAGTCTTATCATTCTGATATATAGAGAGAACAGTCCGTATTTTTTTTTCTTCATTTGGTTGCTTCACCATTGGTTGATTGGCATCTGCCACTGATACAAAAAAAAATGACCCCTACCACAACTGCCTTAAAAAAAGAAGGCCCTGGGGATTGTGCCCATTGCTTATCTTGTAGTGCAGCAACTTCTTGTGTGTCTTTCACAGCATTTGCACCCATCCCCTTTGGTGGAATTTACTTGCCCTTGGAAGTCATGCCCAACCGATGCCATTGCTCTCCCCTGGTCCTCGCTTATGACCAAGCCCATTTCTCGGCCCTCGTGTCAATGGAACAGAAAGACCAACAGAAGGAGCAAGGTATGTCCGGCTTGAAATCAAACGGACTTGTCACAAAGAAGGGACCACACAACCACCCTGGTCAGCCTAGAACTGACCAGGACTGAGATTTAGCCAAGAACGAATCTGCAACATGTCATATTGGAAGATGGTTGGATAGGAAAGTTGTGTGTGCCCAGGTCATCCTGCATTGGGCTGATGGATTGCCAGCATAATATAGAACTCACAATTCCAGGTCAATTCTAAACTTAAGCATCTGATCGCTAAAATGGAAGCAATCCTTCCCCTTATTATTTCCTTAGGTCCTCTAGCATTTTGCCTTTTATCCACAGTAAGAATGTCTCCGGTGTGTCTATACTTTTAATGAGGTTTGTTTCCCCTGAATTCTCTTGAATATTCTCCAAGAGAGAGTTGAAAAACAAGAGTAAAAGCCTAACAAGCTCAGGAGCAAATAAAATTCTGCAGGTTGTTATGGAGTTACTGAGACGATTCCTCTGCGTGGAGCAAGGAAAAGAATAGTTATAAGGCCAGGGAGCCCTCTGTTACACCAACAAACAGTTGTGAAAAACAAGATAATCCTTTTTTTGCTGGAATAAAGTCTCATGGCTTTGAATTAAAATGTGATAAAAGACTAAAAACCCCAGTTTAAACTGGTAGGGTAACAGGACTTCATCTGAAATAATTTTTTGAGGCTTTCGGAAGATGATGTGGGGATAAACTCCAAATGGGAAGATCTTTACCTTTCCTCAACCTTCCCCTCTCCTTCTTCATCCCTCAATAAGCTTGGAAAATGCAGTCAGCATGAATTTGATAGGGAAGAGACAATGATAAGTCAAGTGTCATCCTTAAAAATCAAATAAAAACAAAAATAATAACAGTAAGATCAAAGGAACCTTCTCCCCCTTTCCTATCTCTCTGATAGGAAAGGGGGTAAACAAAGCATATGATGAAGGGAACTGATCCATACATCTTCCAGACATTAAAAAAAGTGGAGAAGGAAATTGGCAGCGTTTGCTTTGCCCAAAGGGACTCTATGTGTTGTTTTCTAGGCTGCCCCTTGATCTGAAGTCCTCCTGCGGCTTCTTTCAATATTAAATGAACTGTCCTCACCAGTTCATCCAAATTGTTTGCTCCCAGCCTAGTTTGGCCTTCATTTCTGCATAAAGGTTTTCGTATGAAGTAGATTATGGATGTTGAATCTTCTCATCTCCATATCCCCCAAACCTTGTAGCATTCCTTACTGGAAAATCAAGGCCAATTGTTTTGTAGATAATTAAAAGAACTTGATTGTATCGAAATATTTGGTTAGGATGATATTAGTTAATATTAATTGGAGAGTGAGTTTAACTCTCGGTTAGTCATGTTTGTTGTTTCGTTTTAGTCTTGTGTTTATGTGTTCCTACATTTCATTTCTTATATTGTTTTCCAATCATTATTATGTGTTAATTTTACTGTAAATATTTAATAAAGATATTTTTTTAAAAAAGAAAAGAAAATCAAAATTTAAGGCTTTCAGGAAGGCCCGAGAAATCTCAGAACCCCAGAAAGAAATCTCACATTTTCTCTCTGGACCTGCTTTTATCGATCCGATGATGCTGAATGTCCCCGTGACGGGATTTTACATCCTCCTGCCAGTGTTTTCTTTCAAGAGGCTTTTCCTGGGAAAGGCAGAAGTGGCTCTCTCGATTTCTAAAGCCTGCTGATGACGGTGAATAAGGGCCATGCCGAGAAATCCTTTTAATCGTGGGTCGGTGGCCAATAGATTCCTAGAAGCCGTTTTTTTCACGCGTGTTTGTCAGTTCAAAGACACAAGTCCTCTTTTCTGCCCCGGGGGCTGGCTTCCTCTGATGGGAGAAGCATCATGGCTCCTCTCCCAGAGTGGCTCAAAGCCTCCTTTGATTTCCCCAGAACAAGGAGACACTATGAGCGGGGAGAGAAGCTGTGACGGAGGTTGTCTACTTAGCAACAACGTGGGATTAGATGATAATTTTTCTGGCAGGTTGTAGGAGATGGTCGGAAAGAATCGGGAGAGATGACAATTGTCATCTTGTATGTATGTATTTACAGTTGTATTTGTAAATGGATTTAGGAACAGCGGCAACCCAACTTCTCCAGAAGAAAATGGATATTTGTTCGAATTGGAACCACCGAGGATTGCAAAGCTAGCACCATTTTGGATAAACTAATATCCTCAGTAAACATTCTGGAGAAGGTCTTCTTCTTTAAAATGCTCCAGATTAAAAGTGTGTGAGTGTGTGTGTTATGTGGCTGCTGTTTTGTTAGATCTTGTAGTGGTTCCATCTTGTAATAGAAGAGAATATTCATTCCTCAGGGTTGAACTGGGACATCTTCAGTGCTCTCTGAGCTTCGTGTCCCCATATATTTGTTTTCAGCCAGACAAAAGAGGAGATGAATATGATGCATCACTGTAATTTATTAAGTTTGCAACTGTCTGGAAACCGTTCAGAGACACTGAGGAGAGTCCTGTAAATATTTGTAGCATGATTCGGCCTCATCTTTGCATTTGGCAAGAATATGAAATTGAAATGAACTCCTTACATCTAAACTTTGAAGTTTGACTTAGTTGCCTGTGCTTTCCCAGTGATTATTGTGAGTGTTTTGCCATTTTTAGCTGTGTCCTGCTCATCAGTCCATTGTTTGACCGGGTTACAACTGCATTATTTGAAGATCTGAGGGGGAGATAGGGTCTTTATACTGGACTGAGTGATACAGTGGGCTGTTTTTTATTTGCACAGAATCTGTTTCAGTGATTACTGGAGACGGATTGTACTATTTTGCAGGAACCCTCCACTGGTTAAGTTAATTGAATTAAAGGGTTCATTCCTTTGGACGTTTTGTCAGTCTGGATGTATTCTTATGAAAAGTTTGAATTTGGCTATCTTTTTCCTATCTTTTTTGTGGGGTTTGTTATTAGATTGTAGATATAGATTTTAGATTTAGATTAGATTTTAGGTTTTGTTATTAGAATAAAAGTCCGTTCCTACACTGTGCCTGTATGCATTATATATTCCCTTTTTTTTGCATGTAAAAGTATACAGTATATTCCCATTAAAAAAAAATTGAACATATGATGACACACTGGAATGCAAAGATTCCTGCCCGCACCTTACAACATTTCTGTTAAAAATTTAACAGTTAAAAGTGGAAGAACAGGAAGGGAAGAAAGGTAGCTTGGTCATTTCCCCTTTTCCTCTTAATATGCTGCAATTTTATCTAAAGAGCAGGAGAAGAAAGAAGTTTGCAAAATGTTATTTGGTGGTGAAATCTTTCCAGTGAGTTCCAAGCTCATGTTTAATCCTTCCGTTTCCTTCTAAAATATCCTTCACATCAAAACGCCATTTCAAAAAGTCTCCGAAGAACCTAACAGGTGTGACCCAGAATTCTTGACAAAGTTGCATAAAATGTCCTCAGATTACGTGCTGCTTCATTGGCACCTGTAATTAATTAATTAAAAGAGCCACAGCTTCTCTGCTGCTTTTATTCAAAATGCTCCATGCTTTTAACCGAGGGCCTGTCATTGCCATACGGAGTGAGCGCCATCTCGTGATATAGGGACAATATGACAAGCCGTTTGATTTTCTCCCTTCATAGTTTTGTGTTTATTGATCTAGGTCAGAGGTCTTCAAACTTGGCAGCTTTAAGACTTGTGGACTTCAGCTCCCAGAATTCTCCAGCCAGCTATGCTCCTTGCCAAATTTTTAAAAAACTATAAAGATTACTGGGAATTTATTAGAACAAAAAATGGGTGCAGCTTGTTTACTTTTCTGCTTGTGGCTGATCAAAATATATAGACTGCCATTGCTGTTATGCCATAAGTGTGCCACTAGTCATTTAGGGTTTTTTTCCCCCTCTCTCGTTCTTCAGCCATTTCTTCTTCTTTCGCAAGTCTTCCTTTCTGATCTTTTCTTCTTTCCTTCAGCGGTGATCCCTCTGACCGATTCTGAACATAAATTACTGCCTTTGCACTTTGCGGTTGACCCGGGCAAAGACTGGGAATGGGGCACGGATGACAGTGATAACATCAAATTGGCCAAGTAAGATTCTTTTTAGTCTCTTAAGATTTCAGAAACGGCCCCTGTGGGTGTCCAGGACACTTGGTAGACTTTGTGGAATGGGGATAGCAAATCCCAGGGAAAGATTGTAGTATTAGTGCTCTTGTAACACAATCAAGAGCCGAGGTGGTGCAGTACTGCAGGCTGCTTCTGCTGACTGCCTGCAATTTGGCAGTTCGAATCTCACCAGGCTCAGCCTTCCATCCTTCCAAGGTGGGTCAAATGAGGACCCAGATTGTTGGGGGCAATATGCTGACTCTGTAAACCGCTTAGAGAGGGCTGTAAAAGCACTGTGAAGTGGCATATAAGTCTAAGTGCTATTGCTATTGCTATCACAGCCAGATTGGGTCTCACCAGAGGAGACACGAATGGGGTACATTTTTCAATCCCCATGGGGGAACTCCTTTTTCTTGCCTTCCTGGTCGTATCCTTACTTTTAAGATTGTGGTTTGGAGAGATCACTTTGCAGTGTGAACACCTATGGGAATTCCTTCTGTGTAACGTATACGACACTTCTCTCTCTCTCTCTTTTGTGTTCCCAGTTTGATTCTGTCCCTGGAGGCAAAGCTTAACCTCCTGCACAGTTACATGAACGTAACCTGGATTCGCATGCCGTCAGAAACACGGGTAACGTTTTTCCTTTGAGAGAAATAAGATCCTGCTTGTTTGGTTTGAGTTTCCGCTCAGAAACTGGTAACCCAGGGCTGGGCATTCGCACGAGGGCAAAAGGCAGCCTCCTGGCCAGTTGTGTTACAGGAATAACACCTGCACAGCACTCCAGGAAGAATGCTCGGATGGTAGGAAAAATCTAGGAAGCTTCTAGGAATTGCTCACAGTTTTCAGGTAGATAGAGGATTTGGGCTGTGGTTGTAGCATCAGCCTTATTTCAGACGGGGCATGATGCCTAACCAGATTAAATCCGTATGTAACTGTATAAAATGTTAATATCTAATTCCTTCCACTGCCCCCTCCCTCACCCTGGATGCCAATGACCGAAAAAGCTTGGTGAAAAATTTTAGAACTTGTTGAATGAAAATCAAATAATTCTCCCCCCCCCAATATTAAGCCAGCTGCTGCCCCCGTAGTATTTCACCTGAGCGTGCTGTTAACCAGATGTTACGCACAACAATCCATGCCTTTAAGGATAAATTGGTTTTTCAGAAGCGAAGGGTTTGGACAAACTGCCTGCAAATGTACACAACGGTTCTTTGTGTACAGTCACTCCCGGTTTCTCACGGTTGTCCTGCTTTCCCTCCCAGGCTCCCTTGGCTCAACCAGAGTCTCCTACGGCCTCAGCCGGAGAAGATGTCCAGTCGCTGGCAGACTCCATGGATTCGGACAGGGATTCCATCTGTAGTAATTCCAACGGCAATAACGGCAAAAACGGGAAGGAGAAAGAGAAGCAGAGGAAGGACAAGGAGAAGAACCGAGGGGATTCGGTGGCTAACAAACTTGGAAGTCTCAGCAAGACTCTGGGCATCAAGCTGAAGAAGAACATGGGTGGCCTTGGTGGGTTGGTCCATGGCAAGATCAACCGAGCCAACGCCGGGAACGGCAAAAACGGGGAGATCGTGGAGAAGGCGAAAGAGAAGAAGTCGAAATCGCGTAAAGGAAGCAAAGAGGAATCGGGCCGCTCTGCGAGCACGTCCCCCTCGGAGAAGACCACCCCGTCGCCCACGGAGAAGGCGAGTATCTCCCCTGCGGAGAAAGCCAACTCGAAATCTCCATCCGAGAAGCAGCCGGACTCCTGGAAATACAGCACGGATGTGAAGCTGAGCCTCAACATCTTGAGAGCCGCCATGCAAGGAGAGCGGAAGTTCATTTTTGCCGGCCTTCTCCTGACCAGCCATAGACACCAGTTCCACGAGGAGATGATTGGCCACTACCTGACCAGTGCCCAAGAGCGCTTCAGCGCCGAGCAAGAGCAGAAGAGGAAAGAGGCGGAGAAGAAGGCCGCGGCTCTCGGCAGCTCCTCCTCTCGAAAACTGGACCAAGAAGGGTTTTCCAAGGAGAAGCTGGACTCGTCTCCTCAGGGGAGGGCATCACCAGTGTTGCCTCAAAGCCATACCACTCAGCTGGTTTTAAAGTTCAAAGACCGTTCCAGTCCCACGCCGGCTTCCTTTTCGTCACCTAGCAACGGTGCCAAAAGGAGTGGACCCATCCCAGTGTCTGCCCATTATAGCCATACGCCCCCCGTCCAAAGGCAGAGCGTCATTCACTTGCACGACTTCAACGCCAAGCCATCCAGCTTCCAAGACGACGTCTACAAGCCCGTGGTGGGCACCCTCAAAACGTGTGCCACCTACCCTCAGCAAAACCGCTCATTGTCCTCGCAGAGTTATAGCCCGGCCCGGATAGCCGACATCCGTACGGTCAACACGGTGGAATCCTTGGCCTACGCTCTGCCCACGGACCCCAAGTCGCAAACGTACACCAATGGGTTTAACAATAGCAACGACATTAGAGACAGCTTAGAGTACGTGGACGAAGAGGCTCCACAAACCTGGTTGAACAATGAGAAAAACCGCCAGAGGAGCACGGTGTGCCCTATGTACGCCATCCAGCAGAACCGTTGCAAGACGGAGAATTGCTCCTTTTACGGCCGCCCCGAAACCAAGAACTTCTGTTCCTGCTGCTACAAGGAGGAACTCAAACGTAGGGAGCGGGAGAGTAAAAGGTCCCGGCATTGAAGACCGTGGAGCTCTTCGAATAAATATTTATTTCCTTCTTTTTCTTACTTAGGACATACTGTATGTGGTAAGGGACTGAAAGAGGAAAGACCAGGGGGGGATTCTAGAAAGCGCTAGCTTTTTAAATTTTTTTTGGGGGGGCAGGGGTGGGGGGCAAGAAAAAAAAAAAAAAAAGAGAGAGTGAGGATCCTTGGGTAATCAAGAGTTGGTGGCTTCCCATTTCGTTGGTGTCTTTTTTACATACGCTGGTAGTCGGAGAGGATCTTTACTTCTTTGTCAGTGCTGTATCCGTGTGGTCAAAACTTTACTAATGGTGCCTGAATTCACACTGACATCACTCAGGTAGTAGAAAGATTAGGGGAAAAGTCATAAAAATAGAAGACGTGGTGTGGTAAGTGTACAAATGTGTCTGCCTCATTCTGTAGATCTGAAGTAGGGAACTCTGGCTCTTTTATGACGTGTGGACTTCAGTTCCCAGAATTCAGCTTGTCGACTTGTGGACTTCAGCTCTCAGAATTCCTGAGCCAGCTATGCTGAAGTCCACAAGTCGACAAGCTGAATTCTGGGAACTGAAGTCCACACATCATAAAAGAGCCAGAGTTCCCCACCCCTGTTGTAGATCATCTCCACGGAAGAAATGTCATGTTCCATCGCTCTTCTTCCCTTTCTGTTTTTTTTTTAAAGGAAGCGAGCATCGTAAAGGTGTATTTAGCGCATATTAACTCACTAATATCCTTGCTATAAACTGGTTTTTGTAACCTCCTTTTTTCCATAGACCCACAAGTGAAAAGCATGGGTCCATGACAACAGCTTTTCTCACCCAACAGAAGCGTATTCATTCATTCATTCCTGTAAGTGATCTCCGGTTTTGGGCCACAACAATTGCTCAAGATGGAAAGGTCTATCCTTCAATTGCACAACCTTGCCGGCTGATATTAAAATAAGGCCCAACTCTCATATTAAAAATGAGCACTTTACAGTTTAGGGTCGGGGGTAGTGCAGACCCTGATGTGGTCAGCTTGTCGTCCTGCACTGCAGGCTGTATCATTCACTGAGTTTAGGAATACGGTTATTGCCACGTTATTTAGTTATATTTTTCCCGGATGTCGGTTCGTTCCAAACTATCTGTAGCCTGTCACCCAGATCCTTCCTTTTCCAGAGAAGACGACAAAAATGGCCTGTATTGATTTGCACTGATGTTAAATTATGGACACCTACTTTTGAAAAGCAAGTGATGGTTTTTTTTTTCAGTGTGTGTTTTTTCTACACGTTCTCAAATGTGGCCCGTCGACGTTTGGATTCAGGAAAAGGACGAGCCGCTGAATTTATTTCAGCAATTATTTTAAAAACTCCATTGAACCGAGATTGTGGATTTTTGAACCATCTGGGTAACTTTTCTAGAGGCATCGAATTGTTTTGTCACAGGTCTCGTATTGTATAAATGGGACAACCCTGATTATTTGTTTTACGAATGGATAGCTTTCTGCAGCCAGCAACCGTTAAATAGTAAAATCCATCAAAAATATAAATCAGAGTTAAAATCAGCCATAAGAATTAGCAGAGGACAATAAAGGGAAAGGTCGTTTGCAGCAAAATAAGGCAGGTGGCTTTTTTGCTGCCAATCCAAGTTCTTGAGAACAGCATCTTCCAATCTGCCAGCTGCTTCTATACCCTTCTCCAGAACCGGCCTTGCAAAGAAACAAGAGAAATTTTGCAGTGGATTCCAAATTGATACCATATCTGAATGTGTAGCCTTTGTCAACATCTTAGTCAGTGATCATCCCCATCAACTGAAGATGCTAAACCTTCTTCAGAAGTCGCCTCTAGTCTTGGAGTAGGCAGACCGTGAATCAGGGAAGAACATTTTATAGTGTCCATGCATAGCTGATGAAATAGTCAAAGGAGTCACACAGAAGCAATTCTAGTTTCCACACCAATCTTTTCTTCCTCGGATAACTGTTCTTGAGTTTGGGTGGACTCCTCAGCTGCATGCGTGATCTTTCAGAAAAAGCCATTCCACCTATAAGGAAGAATAGTCATGGTATCTCCATCACTTCGGATTTAAGTTAGATTTAATCAGGAAGACCTGAGGAAAAAGTGGCAGGAACCACTTTTATCTTTCTTCTCTCTACTTTTCAAAGCCAGTGGTTTGTTATAAAAACCACGATGCAATCCATAATTGGATTCCTTTCTTTTCTGTGTGTGTTTTTGTCTTGTAGTCGTCTTCTTCATTGGCAGACCTAAGCTGTTAGGGCATAAGAATGTGCTACATTCTTATACAGAGCAATATAACCTAACTCTTAGGAGAATTTTTGTCTGCATCTCAGCCTGTATACATCTTCATCCACTCCGTTCCTTTGACTCCATTCCATTCATAAAAAAGGGAAGGAAAACCATTTGTCCCCAACTTGAAAGCACCTTCAAACATCCAAGTGATTTTGAAAAGCTCATTCAAGATCCTTACACCCAGGTGTAAGAATTCCTTTCTTTGATCATGCATCATTTTATATTTGGTTCTGCCTCCCTAAATATAAAACAATGGTGCCTACTCTCCATAGTTATTCACTCGTGCGTTTCACCCACCTTGTCGTAAGTCTTCTGGAGAGCCAATCGCTGATGCATTCATATCAGCCTAGAAAAGGAATGAGAAAGTTTCCTCAGCATCTCGGAATAAGTATTTTAATTTTGGAAGGTTGAATAATACTTGACTATTAACAGTTTCTGTATCTTTGGAAAGGTGTGGCAATTCTTAGTTAAGACCAACTTTCCCTCATAAATGGCGTTGGGTTATCACATCTATGGGCCCACACACCAGAAGAGTGTACCAGGATGTGTACAGAAACCCTGATTCCTAGCTTATTCCTAGTCTTTGGGAAATCTCAGAGAGAGAGAGAGAGAGAGAGAGAGAAAGAGAGATGACTCTATATTAATACTAATTGGCTTTTTTTGTCAATGTTTCCTCTAAGATCTGGGAGGACGAACGTGTTGGAGAATGTCTTTTCCATGCCTTTTGTGCTTCCACTTTGGAATCAAGATATTCAGCTGAGGTGGGACTGGGATGTCTGACTCTTGAACTTTGTGTCCAGTTCATTCCTAGGAGTCCCCCTCCCAGTACTGAAGAAGGCTGTGGGGTCTTGATGTTCCTCTTTGGTTGTGGTGATTGGTGATTCATTTCTTTGGCCAAAGAAACTATGGTACCAGATGGAGCAACCTGTGATTGTATTTCATAACGTGTGTGTGTGCATGAGAGAGAGAGAGAGGGAGAGAGACAGACAGACAAAGAAATTGGACATTGTTTTTAAGGGAGGGTGAGTTAAGTAAATATGTATTATTACTGATGGATTGGTGAAGGAACAGCTTTCACTATTCCTATGAATACACTTCTGTAGGTGAACCCAAAGGTGTTTTTTTCAAGAGGCAACTGGTCTTCCTTTGTCTTTCCTTGAAGATGTTTCGCTTCTCATCCAAGAAGCTTCTCCAGTTCTGAAGGAAAAACCAAGGAAGTCCAGTTGCCTCTTGAAGAAGCACCTTTGGGACAACCACGACTTGGATGACTGAGAATCTCCACAGGCATTCTGTAGGTGAAGTTAGTTATCTAAAAAATTGTCACTAAGATGCTCTTCTTCTTTCTTTTGTTCAAAGACATCTTTCTGCCACGAATGATGTCTTTTCAAAATGATGTATGTAAACAGGTACACAAACAAGCAACATATAAGATACGTTACCGGTCTTAAGGGATGAAATAATTGATGCTCTGCCCTGGAGCAAAATATCAGATGTCTACTTGAATCATTCCACTGTTTCTCTTCTTCACAATTTGATTTGAAGCCTAATCCTTAAATTATTGCAAAGACTATAATGACTATGGAGTAGAGCTATGCAAACACAAATCCTTGAAATAGCAAGAAGTCAAAAGTTAGTGGAGAAAGAAAGAAAAGAAAAAGAAAGAAAGAAAAGAAAAAGAAAGAAAGAAAAGAAAGAAAAAGTATTACCACTATTTACAGGAAGAAAACTAGAAATACATGAAATATATGAAAAGTTGCTGGGATTAGAACTTTTATGAAAGATTACTTGCATTTTGTTTTTAAAAAAAGACTCAAAACTATACATTGTTAATTTTTAAAATGTAGATTAATGTTCTGTTCCTGAGAGATTGTATTTTATCAAAGCCAAACAAGATTTTACTAGAAAATCTCTCTCTCTCTCTCTCTCTCTCTCTCTCTCTCTCTCTCTCTCTCTCTCAGAGTGTGAATACATGTGCATACAAAGACTCCAACATACCCACAATCCGTTACGCTACTACTGTTTTATTCCATTTGTGTTGTACAAATTTGTGAGTTGGGTCAGGGGTGGGACAAGTGGATATTGTAGACAATTCAGTGTGTTAAGGGCTAGGGGTATTCCTGGAAGTGAATTCTAAGTGAAGAATGTAGTTGTGCAAAAAAACAGTTCCAATGTAGATGTCGGAATTGGGGGCGGGTTGTGCAAAAAGAGAGGATTTTCTACACAAGCCCTGCTGAAATGCACAGGAGTCTCTCAAGGACAACTTAATACACACCTGTCATTTCAGTGGCCCTTCTGTAAGAATTTTTTTCTGATGGATTATCCTCTTTATTTGGTGTGTCAGACCTTGGAACAGTGGTTGAATGTACTTAGTGTTGCTAACTGCTCTGGGCAAAGCAATGTTTTTACAGATAAATTTTTTTAAAAAAAGATTTATGTTTAAAATATACATAAATAATAAGAGGGAAGTTGCATTGAAGAAAGTAGGCGGTTTTCTGGACAGGTTTGAGCCATTCTACTAATATTATTAAAAGATAAAAATTATGCAAAAAGTTTAGCCTTTCTTCTATAGCGCAAAAGAGCTAAGGGAAGGTTCGTAAGCAAATGATACCTAGGCATTCTCATACTTTGTAATAATTCACTTAAAACAAGTATTTCAAAGGGCTAATGAATGAATAAAACATGATCCTCTCGTGTTTACAGAGAAGTTGTGTTGTGTGTATGGTAGATGTTTTTCAGCACATCTACAGGACGTTTTGCAGCAGGTCATTAGAAGCAAAAGTTGAACTGGGAAGCCAGGTTTTTCTCTAAGACTGGTGCCCTTTTCCACCTTCGGTTAATTACTCATTGTTCTTCTTGCAAAACAAATAACAACGGCAACAATAATGGCCATTTCCTAGGAAAAACACATCATGCTTTCACTTTCAATGCCTCTGCAGTTTCCCCCCATTGTTCCTAACTGAAATATCTAAAACGGGAAAAAGCATGAAGGGAATTGGCAAGATGATCAATGAAAGATGATGTGTTTGGACCTCCCCATAACATTCTGGAAAGGCGATAGAACTATTGTGTACCTGTTGTGTAGCAATAGCTCTGGTAACCCTGTGTGCAAATTCTTCTAACTCAATATGGATTCCTCTAACTCAGTGAGTTTCAACCTCAGCAACTTGAAGAAATGTGGACTTCAACTCCACAAATTTCCATGTTGCCAAAGTGGGGGAACCCTGTTCTAACTCAACCTGCAATCTCATTCTCCAGATTAAATCACGGCCTTGATCCAGGATCAGCTCAGTGTGTGAATAATGCCTGCCTTGTTTCCTGGGAAGCAAGTGCAAGTTAAGTACTTCGGTGCTGTTGATTTGAAATAATCAGATTATCCTCCTCACATTTTCAAGAGACGTGAAAGTCCATCTATCCCTTGTAAGCAGGGCAGACAGGAGGGGAAAAATTCAAATTCTACAGGAAAATATTGTGCAGTTACATGCGCATTCCAATCAAAATGAAAGTCAGTCTCTCCCTTTGAAAAAAACCCTGATGTTAAATATAATATGGGGGATGTAGCCCCCAACATTTTGAAAAGCACCGTAAGCAGTAATGGGTAGATTCCAGAATTTCTTACTGTACGTCGAAGAAGGGAGAGAAAGTGTACCTAAAAGTCTGGGGAAAATGCAGAGTGAGATGTTGGCTATGAGCTCCATTTCCTAAGAGTCTCTTTAATTGTTGAGTTGAAAGCAAGTAGCAATGTGCAAATGCTGTTTATTGCTGGTTAAAAATCTATGTGCAAATGCACACGGTTACAAAATATTCAACAAGGGCCAGACTATATAAATGGAAATCAATCTAAATCTACTCTAAAAAGATTCCAAAATCGTATTATTTAGAATGTCAGATCCAAATTAGGAGTGTCATGTCTTCATAACAATGGCAGTAGAAGAATATGCCTCTTTTTTTATTATTTACCCGTATCTATTCAATTCTGTTGATCTCTAAGAGTTTATTGTGAAGGTATAAAGTTATTATAGTGGTGGATTGGTGATATTCTCCTTCATTCTGAGGGAAAATGCTTGATCTTGGGGTAAAAAGCCAGCAATGAAAAATTATAGCTGTCCCTCATTCCGAATGGCTTTTCACCCCTGATGATGTTTGAATCTCTTACAACGTACGACCATCTAGCTTTAAAGCTCTGGCAAAATTTACGGAATTCTTGCAGAATAGAACATAGCCTGGAATCCAAATTACTTCAGTTGGTTGTTTGCACACTTGCTTTTCCTGTATACACGATGGTTCTTTTTTTAAAACAAAAGGAAAAATAATGATAATATACTGTTTTTTTAAAACAAGAATCCCTTAAAGGAAGGTGTTTGTAAATGTTTTGTTTGTAGACATAAAAAAGGCTGTATTGTGTTGGAATTTTACAAGCCAAGTTTAAATTATAATATAGAAAATTATTTTTATATTATTTTCAAAATATGCTATGAAGCAATATTTTGCGCCTTTATTATTATAGAGTCGTTGTCAATTTAGTAAGTTGGTGTGGGAACTGTGGTAGTAATAACCTTGTGAAGGAAGCTTTGTAAGTGTTATGAAACAATCTGAATGCGTTTTGTCTGTGTTTGCCTACTGAAAGTTGCAATACAGAATGATTTTTATTGAAAAGCTTCACGTGGTGGTTTATATCCTCCTTTCCCCCTTATCTTTTTAGAAACCTCGTTTTCAAACTCTTAGGTTTCGCCATTAAAAGCAATGGGCAATTCTGAACGTAGCTTTGGCGTGATGCAACAAATGAAAATAGGACCTTTTCATGATGAGATTTATCCATGAAACCTGTCACTACATCTTGTTCCAATATTTGAGAGGCTGCCACAAAGAAGTGGGGGGGGGGGGGTGTCAACCTATTCTCCAAAGTACCAGAAGGCAGGAGAAGAAGCAATCCAGGAGAGAAACAGCTTAGGAGTAAGGAAGAATTTCCTAACAGTGAGGACAATTAACCAGTGAAACCGGCTTTCCTCCAGAAGTTGTGGGTGCTCCAACATTGGAAGTTTTTAAGAAGAGATTGGACAAAGTTTATCCGGAATGGTATATGGTCTCCTGCTTAAACAAGGGGCTGGACTAGAAGACCTCCAAAGTCCCTTCCAGTTCTATTATTCTGTTCTGCTCTGTACTGTTGAACATATAGCAGGCCTGGTGGAAGAATGACAGAATTGCTCCCCCAAAGAAGCTGCTTTCTCTAGGGTGGAGGTAGAGTTGCAAGATAACATTCATCTGGTTTTTCCCATGGGTGAAAGTTATAATTGTGATCTCTGATGGACTGGAAGATGCAGAGCATCAAAATAACTTGCAGCTGCCTCAAGGCTACTGTGTACTGACTCAGTAGTGAATCAAGGAAACCACAACCCACACACTACCTATATGTTGAATTACTGTGTTCTCAATATCCCTGGGCCTTCTCTAGGGGATCTTTCAACGCCTTCCCCTCCGCAGCCAGGAAAGACCGATCTAATCTGACATACTTCATACAGACACACACTTGTGTCTCCAATGGAATTAAAACCTTAGCTCATGTCTTCTTGAGATGTACATTTTGCAAAGAGCTTTGATGTCCTTGGTGCTCTCTGAGGTTGGTGGTTTCCTTGCAGATGTTTTATGACCCAACTAGAGAACATGATCGGTTCTAGGAGGGAGTGCAGTTTGCTCTCTGTTTATGTACAATATATCCTCACTCCTTTCTGCACTGATGTTGCTCCCTAGTTGGGTCACGAAACATTTGCAAGGAAAACACCAAGTTCAGAGAGCATCAAGGACCCCAAAGTTCAACCCTAAACTACAAATATTGTATCAATACAAAGAGCTTTGCCATTCCTGACTAAGGTAACCCTTAATAGATAGCAATAGCAATAGGACTTGGACTTATATACCGCTTCACAGTGCTTTACAGCCCTCTCTAAGCGGTTTACAGAGTCAGCAGATGAGTGCTTGTCTATTCTGATCAATGGTATTTAGAATTATTTTTTTTAAATAAGCACCTGAATAGCTTATTCGAACTTAGAATAGCTAAGTTCTACACTCAAGGCTTCACAATATTGAGGCCAAGCCCTGGTCTGTTTTAACTTTCCCTGGCTTGCCTTCATTAATCATGGACCTCTGATGCTTTGTGAAGATCCTAGAACTTGAGATGTTTGAAAGGATCTTAAGTAACAAAGGTCTAAGCCAGGCCTATCTCCGCCTAAGGATCTCCAGAGCTGCTGACAGTTAGTGCTAAAGTAACCAGACCAGGGCTCTGATCCTGTGCTGGAGGAAGAGGAGGAATTAGAAACTCATCATGGTCCTTCACAGCACCAGCTCTTGGCCTGTGAAAAGGGGAAGTGAGAGGCCTTCAAATTGCTGCTGCTTCCGTTCCCACAGCATTTCATCAGCTCAGAGGCCAGTAGAGAAACTGATCATTTCCCAATTCGGCCTCATTCTCTGCTCATACTTAAAATTAAGAAAAGGATGCAGGAGATGAGGTTGGGGGGATGCTTAGTGTTAGTTGAATCTACCCCTGAGGAAACTTGCCTTGGTCCCCTTGCGATCTTTGAACTTCACTCCCACTTTTGCGTGGCTTCCCATCCAGAGGTGAAAGATGATCTTTGAAGGCTCCACCAGAGTCAATAAAAGTCCAGGCTGTTGTGAAAGAGACTTACTGAAAAGCTGTGATGCAATAAGGGATATTTTGGACGGCACTTCAATGTTCTTGCTTCATCTTCTTGGCAATGTGGTGAGTTGCCACGGCTACCTTTGGGAAGTGTTCCCATCCTTCTGCAGAGAGGCCCACCCATCTGCCCTGGAGGACCTACCCTGATGGCCCCATGGAAGAAGCGGGTTCTCTTAGGATCTAAAGCTGGTTTTCTGTCTCATCCTTAGGGAACTAAACTGAACCATCACACCTCCCTGCTCCATCCAGGGAGTGGAGAAACCGCTTTTCTCAAACGGAGATAGATACACCTTCAACAGGGTGAAGGAGAGCTACTGGTTGAAGGAGTTAACTGGCTGGTGCGTGGAATATTCCCTCCAGGGTTCTGAGCTAAGCTATTATTAAAATGGTGCCAGAAGTTTTTCCCATTCACTGTAGATAAAGGCACCACGAATTACCACTAAGCCTACAATCAAATGACTCATTCAGAGTGCTGACAGCAAGGAACCTTTACAGTACTTCAGTGTTTCTCAATTTTGGCAATTTTTTAAGGGATGTGAACTTCAATTTTAAGCGGGGTGAACTTCAACTCCCAGAGTTCCCCACAGTTGAAGTCCACCCCGGTTGAGAAAGGCTGCCTTACCCTTGCTTTGGGATGGATTCCTTCAATTAAAGACAATACATTTGTCAAGAAAAGACAAGTGTAAATGAAGGAGATATTTCTCCTAGGAATTGTTCTGGATTTGTCTTAACATGGACCAGGGAGGGGTTTTTTTCTTACAGTTGCTGGAAATGAAACCCAACAGTTAAGAAATCTCCTGGGCTGTGTTGAGCTCTGCTAACACAGGGTCCTTCAAGCAGGGTGTGAAACTGAAGTTTTGAGCTGGGAATACTTGCTCAGAACACTTATGGAAAGCAAACAGGAACGATGGAGACCAAGATTTAACTGTGGGAAAAAATTCATAAATAGCAGCAGTTCCTGTCTCTATGGCATGAAGCTTCTGATGAAGTCCTTAGATCTAAATGTGGTTTGCCACAGCCGGCTGATTGCTCAAAACCAACATCTGAGCATCTCTGTTGGAGACACAAACAGATCCCCTGACCTATTTGCCCCATGAAGGAAGCCCCAACCATGCTAAAACGCTAGCAAGTCTCGAAATTGGGAACTGTATTAATAGCCCAGAAGTCCTGAGAGGCTTTATTTAAGCAGGATCTAAGTGGGGAGAGGGAACATAAATCTTGGAATCCCTGGTGCACCAGAATGAGAAGTCATCTCTCAATCTGCAACCTGAAGCTTGCATAAGCCCATCTTTGGCTGCAACACAAGTTCTCCAGCCTGGCACGCTCCTCCTAGCTGGCATATAATCACCATTTCTAGTTCATCGTTCTGCTGCCCAGCTAATTTTTTTTCCCAACCCCATGTCCCAATTTATCCATGGCTATATTCAATTTATTTCCACAGTTGGCTGACAGACTAAATTAGAGGATTGTTGGACTCCCCAGAGTTTTCCAGGCAAGAAGTGTTTCTAAACGCCATTTCTGAGCCTTGGTTATGACATAGCAAGGGGTGTGTTCCAGTTGTCTCAAAGTACACAAATGACTCAAGGAGGCTTCCTGCAGAGTTGGGAAACTTCCCCCAGACAGAAGCTTCCTTGACTCATCGTCATCCAAAGCGGGTGCCAAAGTCAAGGTTTACTTATATAAAGAGTTTGAAAGAAAGAGAAGGAAATTTCTGAGGTTGCAATTAACCCATGAATTGGATCCAAGCTGGCTTGGGTTATATATTTTCTCAACTTTGCACATAACCTTTGAAATCCATAGAGAAGCAGGGAGGAGGTTCTTGTATTTGTAACTGAGGACCTTTGGGGTGGCTACTGATCAGAAGTTGCCATGAGATCTCCCTTAAGCTTCTGGATCAGAAGTTGCAACAATAGAAGTTGCAATGGGTGGAAACTAATCAAGGAGACAAGCAACTTAGAATTAAGGAGAAATTTCCTGACAGTTAAAACAATTAATCTGTGGAACAACTTGCCTCCAGAAATTGTGGGTGCTCCAACACTGGAGGTTTTTAAGAAGATGTTGGATAACCATTTGTCTGAAGTGGTGTAGGGTTTCCTTCCTAAGCAGAGCGTTGGACTAGAAGACCTCCAAGGTCCCTCCCATCTCTGTTATTCTATTCTATCTCTATCTCTATCTCTATCTCTATCTCTATCTCTATCTCTATCTCTATCTCTATCTCTATCTCTATCTATCCTATCCTATCCTATTCTAATAAGATGTCTCTTAAGCTTCTAGAAGTGCCTTCTTCATCGTAAGAAAGAAAAGAAGAGGAAACCCAGTTTCTCCCCAGGATTTGAGAGGAATTCCATACTGTATGTATCAAACAGTGCAATAATTGAGGAACTCCTTTTGGATATGGGGGTGGGATGATATAGATAAGAGAGTTGGGGTGTACCTTGAATTACCAATAAAGGAGAACATTTGTAACTCGGGGTTGGAATGAGGAGTCTTTGGTGCTCTCTGAGCTTGGTTGTTTGCTTGTAGACATTTTATGATCCAACTAGATAACATGACTAGCGCCGATGATGTTACCTAATTGGGTAATGAAACATCTGCAAGAAAACATCCAAGCTCAGAAAGCACTAAGGACCCCATACCTCCAATTCTTTTGATTGAAGAAACTGTAAGTTAGACATTCCCAATGGTGAAGGATTTAGAGCAGAGGTCTTAAACTTTGGTTGGCAGCTTTAAGACTGAAGTCCACAAGTCTTAAAGCTGCCAACTTTGAAGACCTCTGATTTAGAGACTAGCTGGAAATGTCATCTTCAAAAAAAAAAGGCTTTCTACTTCTAGCTCAGCAGATGGCGATGTTAGTCTCAATACACGGGATTGAACAGTGTTGGGGAAATGAAATCAGCCCTGTATGCCTTCTATCTACAACTTAAGTCTGCTGCTGTTTTTAAAAATATATTTCAGCCAGAAATAATATGGAGTAACTCCTCGGGATAATTTAGGCCGACGTGACTCAGCCTTCCAGGATGGGCCTCGCATCTCTGCATCCAAGTTGAATGTTTTGCAACAAGGCTTCCTACCCTTCATATAAAACGGTCTCTGCATTTTAAACACTTTGATTTATAGCACTTTATTGCTCTTCCAGAACAGCCTGAGATTATTTCATTTTTTGTAGCTCTTCTATTTGTCCGGAGGATCTTCTCTCAAGCAATAGCTGAGCTGCTAAATGATGATCGGTCTATTGATTTCATGCCTGGCTAATTTTTTTTAGCTATGGCTTCTAGAGCCCTGAAGTTAAACCCAGGGATTATTCAGTCTCCTCAATTGCTAATCATCGGGTTCATAGAGACCCCTCCTCGATCCTGTTTTCCAGTAGATCACCTACACAACCCTCCAGCTGCAGGTCTCCATTTGGAGATTCTAGAAATCTGGGATCCACCCTCAGGAAGATGTTCTTATCCAGAGGAGATATTCTGGATTCCACACCACAACCAAGTTCCACCAAAAATCCTGGAGCATTTTGTCCTGGCAAAACACGAGCCCAGAATGGTTGTTTCCTTCCCAGCTTCTGCCTCTTGTCAGGTTATTTGACACATATAATTAGAAGGAGAGACATTGTGAGTTCCTGTAAACACACATATATATCCTCTTGAAAATCACTATGATTTCAGGTCCAAAAAGGGAAAGTTAGGTTTGAAAAATTATATAAATACCAAGAGAATTTACTGTGGAAAAAGAAAAGAGTATGAAATGTGGAGAAGGAAGGCAAGGAAAATTCCACTGTGCACCAACTTTGCAATGATTAAACAGAATAGCAACCATTTCATTTAAAAACAAACACCAGCTTGGTTTTCGGGTAACAGGAGGCTGGCTGAATGCAACGACTGAGACAGATGTGCCAAACAAAACCTCCTTCTCCTTCCTGACTGGCCAGTTTCCCCTTTGTATTTTCCACGTTAGACAAGGGAGGGTGGGGGGAAGACCAGACAACAAGCAACCTTTTCAACCAAAAACTTTCTCTTCAAGACGAAGGTCCTGAAAAAAAAGGAGCCTTCAAACCTTTTGCCCAAGTGAAAGCGTGCAGCATCTGTCCATTGTTTTCTCCCTCGCCCTTCTCTACATATCCCCCCTCCAAGTCATCCCTTTCTGTCCCTCCCCAAAGCAAAGAATTCCAATCAAAGAGAAAGTGGCCGGCTGCATCTTCACTCAAGAACCAGAGACGAGAAGAGTTGATATCATCAGGATCCTACACAACTCCTGTCCATAGTTAGGTGGCAACGCCTAATTGACCTTGGCTGATTCCCCCAAATTAAGCAGGGTTGGACCTGCTGACTTGTAGACTAGACTGGAAAGCCAAACAAGAGAAATGCTTCCATTTTGCTGCCTAGAATCAACATGGGTGGGACCCTGGAAACTTCAGAAGCTCAATTTGACTCGTAGGTGTCTATGCAGCCCTTGGTGGGGCTTCTAACACAGCTTTGCAAGATGGGCTCTTGAAGGTCAAGAGCCCATCTTGATAGGTCAAGTGAAGACAGGAATTGGGGCTATGTGCAAAGCAGCTGTGAAATCCACTTACCTTTGCTACCGGTTCGGGAACAGGAATGTGCCTCTTCTGCGCATGTGCAGATAGTTAAAAAATGGGACGTAATGACGTCCCGGTGTGTGGGCGGAACCTCCCGCCGCCAGCGCTACCAGTTTGGCGAACCGGATAGAACCGGTGGAGGGGGGGATTTCATTGCTGGTGCAAAGGCATTGTTAGTTCACTGGGGATGTGGATCATGAGCTGGTTGCAGGTAGAGTTTTTTTAGGTAGATCCTAGCCATGAGTCTTCCATGAATAAACTGGCAAAAAGAGAAGAGGTTATTGCATTCACATGACCAAGAAGTAGATTTTGCTTGGAAAACCCTGGTGGAAAAAATGTCCAGAGAGGAGGAATTGGTCAACAGGGAGAAACTACCTTGGGAGGTAGGGGTCTCTTGTTGATGGAGGTGTTGAAACAGAGGCCAGATGGTCATCTGTTAATCATGGTGGATTCCCACAGGGGGATGGACAAGAAGATACCCAATGACTTTGACATTCTGATGTTCTCCAATTCCTTTTCAATCCAAAAGATGAAGTTGAGTGATGAGTCTCACTGGATACTTTCACATCCAATGGCTGCCCAAGTCAACCATGCCCCACAGGAAACACTAAGCTCTGATTCCCAACAATGCAAGTCCCAACGCCCCAATGAAAAATACAATTTTGGATGCCTTCCCAGCTTCTAGAAAGGAGGCTGGGAAGATCTAGTTCCTGTTTCTCCCACTCCCTACTGCAAACCAAATGTGACAGAAAAAGCATTCATGCTCATGTGACTGAATTTCTATCCCCCCCCTCCTTTCCCACCTCAGGGAGCATCATGCGGAGACCACCCCAAAGAAGGACCACCAAATGAGCCCTTTCATCTTTGATATAAGCAGGACTCACAGCCGCCTTTCTCAATTGAGAATGAGCTAAATATGGACAGGGGAGAGGAATCAAAAAGATGAGAAGGAGGGAGTTGAGTCCTATGTAGCTTTGAGATATGGGGGGGAAGGGGTGGTAAAACTATCCCTTTGACCTGTACAATTGACTGGAGTTAACTGTTCTCATGCCATGTGGAACTCCTGTGATGTCCATCAGGAACATTTTGTTGCATTACCTCGGTAAACCTCTCCAACCCACCTCTCTCTCCGAGAACCTTGCCTTTTACACAAAGCCATGTTCCACCTTCCTAGATCTTCTGCAGATCTTCTCTTTCCAAATCTAAGGAAACGCTGCATCCACATTGTGTTTTTAATTCAATAAGAAACCAGGAATTGCAAATGTAGGCTTTGGGGGAAAAAGAGTGGGAAACAGTTGGGAAGATCAGAACGGACTGACCCCTGTTCCTTGGATGTGAGTCCAGCTACGGGGAAAGTCACAGAAAGAGAATGAGAAAAATGTAACTCCGGCTACTTCAGTCTGCCTCATTCTTGTTTCTGTTCCACTTGGACTCTTTTGGTATGTAGAGAGCATTTTTGTGCAAAATGTATCTGCGGCGAGAGGGAAAGAGAGGAAGGGGAGGAGTTTCTGAATTATGGTTGCTATTGTTTTGTTTTGTTCAGTGTCTCTGCAATAATTATGTCTCCAGGATCACACAGGAATGACTCATTTGGGGTGCTACCCACAACATAAAGCCTGGGAAAGTGTCAAGGTTTACCCCTTAAAGACACACATACAGTCATTTACCAAGGAATAGAGGGAGGCGGTTCAAGTCAAGATTTAAACATCCTTGGAAATCAAGCAAGAGAGGCTCAGATCTCCACCTTTCCCTTGTAGCCAAGGGGAAAATCCAGACCCAACTGACCATGGCACCTTGGAACTTCTCAGTGTCGTTTCACCACACTTCACAGCCACAGCAAGTGAATAATCAAGCCAGGCATGAAAGCATCTTCATGTGGTCCTCAAGATGTCCCATCATGGATTTTTGTTGTCCTATTCCCTACCCTCCTGGCGAAGGACTTCACACAAATCTCATAGCATAGGTAGTAGATGACTATTCAAAAGCCAAATTCAATGGAAGTATCTTTTTCTGCTGGGTTGTGGGGCGAGTGGGCCCTACTCCAACCCCTACAGAGATGTTTCCATTGTGTTTGAGCCTCCAATTTTCTCTGCCAACACTCTTCCTTCTACTGTGCTGTGTTGCGGGAGCCTTAATTGGTCTCCTGTGATCCAAGGCTGCCATACTCTGGGGTAGTTTCCTTGCAAACCAGTGGTTAGAGAATGTTCCATTGTCAATCCCACCCTCATTATTTCTAGCGGAGATAGAGTCTCCATAGAGTTAATGACAGTGTTGAGCGAGAACAATGAAGTCACTCCTGTGGAATCACCTGCAAAGAGTATGTCCATTCAAATCAGCTTGGCAGCTTGGGTGCAGAAACTTGGCTCTGTTGTTTGAAGGCAGTCGCCCTTGGGAAAACCCCTTCTTATACAACTTCTCGAGAGTGAACATACTCCGTGGCTTTCTGTTGCTCTTCTTTGTTTGTCTATCAAATGCCCAGACTGCCCCACTCCAAGGGGCCTGGAGATAGCTTCACAAGATTAAAAACAAGAAAAAGGGAACATTAGGTCAACAAAAATGCACAACCACCCCAAGGGAATAGATAAAGAAAGCTTCTGCTACATCACTAGCAAACTAATATCCACAACGCTCAATCTCGCTGGGGTTGAGTTATTCCTCCCATTCAGATCTCCACAGCTTGTAAATCATTTTTTCCCCAACCTTGGCAACTTTAAGATGGGTGGACTTCAACTCCCAGAATTCCCCAGCCAGCCCTCCCAGAGTTCCTTAGAAAAACACCACCACCACTTCTAGGATCAACGTACAGTGAAGGTCATATAAGAGCAATCACAACCAACATCATGTCAGTTCTTTACTCATGAGCGTTGGGCCTAATTAATTCTTGGATTAGAGACCTTCCAAATGGCTGTAGTAGATTAATCTAGGATGTTTGTTTATTTGTTATAACTTGTGGGTGATACTAGCAAACCATTTAGCCATCTACTACATGGTTGTGTTCATGTAGACACCAATAGTTCAGCTTGACCTTGAGGATCAAGGACTCTTGAGGGACTCAACCAGTTGGCTAATTCAGATTGTGACCTGAGAGTTGAAACATGCCAGATAAGTGAAGAATCTTCTTGAAATTCATTTCAACATCAGTTATGAAGGAGAATTTTGAGATGGACAGTAGAGAGGGAAGAACCATTCAGATCTGTGGTGCGACTACACTCCAAAGACAATATAAATATGAAACAAACATCTTAATCATCCATCGGTTTTATTTAAAATGCAAACATCACTAATCATGCATATAAGTTGATGCTTGACATTTGTTAGTTCTGCCTTCTGTTTGTGGTTGCATAGGGACACTGTCACAATATATAAAACCATGAAATACAAAAAACCCCCGAACAAACATTTTCAAAAAGATTACAGCAGAGTGAATGGGAGTCGGACAGATGGCTCTACAACTGCAATACTTCGATGTAGTGACTCAGTAAAACATGAAACCATCTAGAGACGTGACCCATGAAAGCACGGAGGTGATACTGGAGAAAACGGATGAGGAGAAAACCATGACAAGATCTTGCCCCAAAGGGAAGATATGTATGTAAACTTATTTAATTGCCCTGTATTTTTGTTCCTGTACTGACACAGAGTATATATCTAGTTATCTATAGCACTCTATACATTAATGCACAAGTAATTCCATGCAGTATTTCATAGCAATTTCATGAAGCATTTTCCATCCAGAAATCCTTCTCACCTCTATAATTTTATAACCAGCTCCCAGGTGAAATCTTTAGCAGGTTTTAGCACATCAAAAAAAGACTTCAGAAGGATGAGGAGAAAATTCCTTACTCCAGGCTGGGAGATGACATCTTGAACAGAAACAATCCTTCAGGGATTGAAATCCCATCAGAATATTTTCCAGATTCTCATAATCTAAATCTGGGCAAGAGTGGAGATTTCAGAAAGTAGGAGAGAAAAGGACAATAAATACTGAAAGGACATGGCAAATGAGGAGTCGAGATGTAACTGTTAACCATCTCAAGATGCTCTCCTGCTCCATCATGTTTATCCATGCCAAGGCGACATAATTCTGGAGGGTGCTGAGACTATTATGTTAAAACCACATGGATGATCTGGTGGATCACAGATCTCATCTGATAGAGCAGTAGATGTGTAGATGAAGGATGCTTTATATTTGGACAACTTTCTACAATAGCAAATCTTCCAGAGGTTCTACAGCACAAGTCCCATAATTTCTAGCCAATGTGTTTGGTAGAGTTTTTGGGGACCTGCAATACAATACATCTCAAGACACCAATCTCGGGTGTCTAGATTGCTGAATGTCCTTTGCTAAAAGAACATTTTTTTGTAGGCACTTCTCCAGGTTACACCAAGTATGAAGTCCAGATCCAAGATGTAGAGAAATGTTTTACATCTCAAAGTTCAGCCATGCTGTGCTGAATAATGCACTCAACAGACTTACTTCCATATTCATGGAAAATACCAGAGAAAAAATAAATTCAGTTAACTTTCATTTGCCACATCTGTAGCTAAGGGTTATTACTGATGTTCTCTGTTGGGCCTTTTGCTACAGTACTCTGAAAACATGGAGGGTGCTGGGCATGTATCCCATTAAAGCTTCTCAACTTGGTCTGGCTGGGGAATTCTGAGAGTTGAAGGCTACCTGTCTTACAGCTGACCAGGTTGAGAAACACGGCATTCAAGTAAAAAGACCCATGAAAAATCTTGTTATTTCAAAGGTGCTGCTTGAGACCATCAGTTTAATGAAGTGGTAAACACTTTTTTGCAACCTGCCCCCCTTCACTTGCTCGGCGCACAGTTTGCATTTTCATAAGAAGGCACAACAATCTCATCCCGATGTGGAAGCTACCTTGAGTCCTGAACCCTCGTTGCAGCCTGAAGGAGTCCAATCCAGGGGCAGCTTGGGTTCTTAATTTGGTGGATAATGGAGGCCGATATCTTGTGGCCAATTCCATCGTTCTCACCACCAAATTGTTCCCAGTTTCCATGGTTCAAATTCTGGAATTCAAATTCAGGAAACCGAGGCGCAGATGTACACTTGCTTAAAGGAGCGAGCCATTAGGAGAAGCCAAGCACTGCAGTTATATACACAGTATGCTTTCTTTATAATTATATACATAAAACCTACCGTGTTTCCCCCAAAATAAGACCCTGTCTTATATTTTTTTGAACCCCAAAATAAGTGCTTGGCCTTAATTTCGGGGAGGTCTTATTATTTTGGGGCACATGGAGCAAGATGGGGCTCCTCTTGCCGTCTTATTTGATTTCCAGCTCTGTGTTTAAATATTTTTGGTGAGGGCTTATTTTCGAGGGGAGGCTTATTTTAGCTCATGCACTCAAATGCCCGATTGGGCTTATTATCAGGGGATGTCTTATTTTTGGGGAAACCAGGTATTTGCAGAAGGGTACTGCTCCCAATACCAGAATATCCTATTTAACAATGAGTGAACTCCAATGGCCTGCAGCCTTAACGACTGACACCCTGATTTAGAGTTGCTTAATCAGCATAATTTATTCAGATTAAGCACTTCAACTGCTTAAGGTAATGAGGTTTAATGCCCTGATGGAAAGCTGCACCCTTGGAAGCAACGGCGAGTTATATGCAGTAAGGAAACTTCTTCGTTACAATAAACATGAAACCCTGTGAACATAACACATGGACAGATAATGATACATTATTATTATTATTATTTATGACACAGTTGTAAACAGCTCCCAAAGCAAGAAAGCAAAAAAAATGTGAGGTGGAAAAATGGGACCATAACAGCAGTTTAAAGGTCTGTCTGGTATTGTCTAATTCCTGAACTAATTCCAATGAAGACTGTTCTTTGAGGACTTAACCTGCCTTGGAGCTCTGCTTTGAAGTGGAGGCCTTACTTGGAACGCTGACATTCACGCTTTGACTAGATGAGATGGCAAGACATCTCCAACAGAGAGCAAGTCCACCTGCTACTTTTCCAGCTGGTCGTTTGCAGACTGGGAAACAGGAGATCCAGTAAGGACCCCTGACTGGAAATGGAACTTGAGAGATGAGTGTGAAAGCTGTGTTATGGCTGAGATCAGAGATCAGTTGCTATGGAAGTTCATTTAGAACATGGGTGTCCAACCTTGGCCACTTTAAGACCCGTGAAGTCCTAGAACATCTGAAGTCCACAAAGGTTAAAATGACCAAAGTTGGACACTCCTGCTCTAGAGTGCAACAATTAAGAACTTTTTGCAGGAGAGATCTAAATAACTTCAGGGTCCACCCCTAAATTGAAGCAAACAAAGAGCAGGAACAAGATTTATCTCTTCTTGCCTTGCTGACCCAAGCTCTTTCCCATGAAAAATCTGAAGCAGAATTTTCATCAAATTAGGACCCAGTTTAGCCTAATCAACATTAATCAAACAGCAGCCAGCAAAGCTAAAATGAGGTCCTGTCGCCAGACAGGAGGCAATTATTAGCAAACCCTGAGTGTTTTGATTACATTTACTGTTCAATATGAAATGGTAATGAACACAAAAAGAATTTTGAAAAGCTTCAGAAGTGCATGGTTAATGTTGCCACTGAACTCTAAATGCGAAGTCTGAAATAAATAGATATGTGGATGCTTTTCCTCTCAGTTGCCTGTCTAATGCCATAGTCTTGACCCAAGAAAGAGTAAATATCTCAGAACGAGACCCTCTGCCAAGGGCCCATGGCTGGCTTGGTGGCCAGGACCAAGCTTTGCCCAAAGAAAGACAGCTGGATTCAGTTAATCAAATGACAGCAGTACAGCAGAACAAACATTTAAAATCCTGGAATAAGATCATAAGAACCCTGCTGATCCAAAGGAATACAGTAGTGGATATAGTGGACGTGCCAATTCCTTCTAGGTAAGATCACTTCTTTTACTCCATACAACTCCAGTCATTCAAGCAAGGTTAGGAACATTGTCTTCAGACTGCACCATGGTTGGTTAGCTCTTTGGCATAATCCTTGGGTGATTCAATGCCTGTTTCTTGAGCCACAAAAGGAAAAAGAGCACTCTAAGCAATGGCTAGTGTCTCTTGAAGATTAAGGCTAAGAGGGTTGTGTTTAAGGCCATCTCCCTTTCCCCACCTTCCAGGTGTGTTCGGATGGTGCTTCCTAACACACCTGGCTGATCCCAAGTGGAAGGAGACTGTTTAAGGCATGGTAGAATTCATTTTTGCAATTCTGTGTTCATGAAATGGAAGAGAGATCTGGTGCTCTTGGAGAGCAAATCATGTTCTGCAGGTAATTTAATAAAAGGAAGGGTTTGGGGTAGATGGGCTCATACTGTTCTCTGTAGCCATCTCTCTGTTCCTGGTCATCATCAATCTGAACCTTTGTTGCTAGCTATATCTTCATGAGGACACCTTGCTATAGAGAATAAATATTTCTTGCTAGCTGTTATGAGTGTTTCCAAGTCCTGCCTTTGATAACTGCCCTCCATCCTTAGCTGTCAAAGGGGGTTGGAAAGTAAAGTTCTGGTTTTTATAGAACGTCCAAGGAAACTTCTCATGGGATAGAGTCACAGGTCTTCCTCTGAACCTATCATGATGCCAACAAACATGATCTTGAGAACTTATTGATGATGGTCAGATGGGTTTATGCCTGGTGTTGCCACCACACAGAAAGCAGGGCTAACTTCAAATTGTGTTTTGAAATCAATACTGGAATATATCTAGATGTAGAGCCATTTTTATACAGCAGATGGTAGTACAAGGGGAAGAGGACTTGATAAATAGCACCTACCAGCTATGCTTTAATGGGTGGCATATTATCATTTGCAAATCTATGTATAGTACAGTTATGTCTATGTGCACACGTGTGTTTTAGGTCATCTGGCAAAACGGAATTATTGCAAAGTTGGAAGAAAAGTCTTGGTAAGAACACCTTTGGAATGTAGAGATGATTGCATCAATCATAAACAGTCCTTCGGAGGAATGGAGTTTGCTTTACTGTGCTACAGTCGGCTGCATTTATATTAACAGTATTTTTTTTTTTAAAAAAGGAACACGATCACAGGGAAAGTACCCCACGCATTGAAATATAATCTTGGAACAAGCCAAGTTCAACAGCAACAAGGTTTCTAGGAAAGACACGTCTCCCAAGCTTCTGGCTGGCTTCCCCCAACCTTAACTTGAAAAGCAGAGATGAGTCTTATCAAATCCTTCCACATCTGTTGAGAAAGCAACCTCCAGAGCTAGAATTCTGAAAGTTACACCTAGAGAACATCCACTTCAGGAGGGCTGCATTATCAACCTTGGACACAGTCCGTCCATCCATCCATCCATCCATCCATCCATCCATGCCAAGCAAACATGGGGCCCAGTTTTGAAAGGAGTTATCTCCCCACTCATGAAAGGGGAGTTTTACATATCCACAGATCCCTTCTGCTGAGTTAAGCTGTAAGTAGTCACAAGTCCTTCGAGAAAGCTAGCTCTTTTAGGTTGTGATCCACGTTGACCCCCGGTTCCACTTGGATGCAGGAGATCCTTCTGCTTGGTGGGACTTCTGGAGGGATAAGTGGTTCAAACTGCTAGATAAGACAATGGGAAATCTGTTGGAAGATGCAAGAGTTTTTGCTGGTTGGGAGAGAAGATTTAAGTACATCCTTCAGACCCTAGGCTACACTGACAATGAGGAAAATTGTGAACTGCTGTTGAGCTAAAACACCATCTTTTTAACACTTTCTAGATGCAAGTTTTGCTTCCACTGTCCTCCAAAAGATAGTATTTCCTGATCACCATTGATTGCTTCCATCTGATTATGTACTGACCGTTTCGCCATAATGCAGAATTTCGTAGACTCTTCGGCTTTTAAGCCAAAAAGGGCTGGAAATCAGCACAAATACCTTGACGAAGTCTGGATGCCTCTGAAACACAGTTTCCAGAGGAGTTTTATGTTTTTTTTTTTAAAAGAGAAGGATATGGAACATTATTCAAAGCGATGCCCACTTCATGCGCGAGGCCTACAGAGAAGCAGATACAAGGGTTCAGCTCAGAACTTCATCTCTGGAAGCTGCCACAAGCTGTAATCCCCACAGAGCACCATTCCGCCCCTTTGGTGCTTAAATAAAATGTTCCCCAGTGTAAATATATTTTCCTAGATTTAGAATAAAAACACAATTAAGGCACCTACTTCAGTTTTTTTTTTAAAAAAAATCTTCCACCTACCCCCTGTGATTCTTTTACAAGTATAAACTTTTTATACAGATTTTCTTCTTCTTCTTCTTGCAACAGGAAGTTGGTGGTGGCAGAATTGTTTCAGCATGAAACGATAAAAAAAAAAAAAAAAGAGGGGGAAAAGTGAGGACTGGTTGATTGAAATTGTGGAGGAGATGGTCCAATCTCTTCAAGGGTTTACCCCAACTGTGAAATCAAATCGTTTGAGTGCAAAGATTGGCCTGACTTTCTTGCTGTATTGCAGGAAAAGACTGAAGCCCAGGTTCTGAGTGCAAATGTCTTTATCAAACAAGGTTGCTGCTGGAGGTGTCTTCATGGTACATAAATAGATACATCCCTGAGTAAGAGGAGAGTTTGATGGAAGAAAATTAGAATCAACCTGGCTGAAGAGACATTCCTGGTTTTGCATTTTTGCATTTTTGTTGCCCTACAAAATTCCCTTTGACACCTGAGCAAAAAAAAAAAAAAACTATACAAAAGAGCATCTTCTTAAGGCTTAAAAACACACACACACAGACAGAGCAAAAAGAAATGTCCAGAAAGAGGTTCCTGGAAGGACCATGAAGAAAAACATGTAAAACTCAAGTCCTACTCTGCCAAATAAAAAATCTGCAGCAATGTTGCAGGAGAAAAATCCCCCCACTCTCTCCTATTCCCTTCAAAACAGGGCCAACGTTTTCTCTTGCTTTGCTTAAAGACGGGGTGCCAAGCGAAGCATGACAGAGGAGGCAAAGGACCGGATGCAAAGGCGGAGAGCAGAGTGCAGGCGTGGGGAGGTTTTAGGGGGAGCTGCCGGGACTGTCTCTGGGGCTGGACCCATCAGACCGGCTATAGTCACTCAGAGACCCAGTCCTGGAGCTGCAGCCGCTTCGTCTCTTGAGCATGCTGGGATGGAAGTTGGCGTGACGGCGGGCGTGCTTGGTGAGGTGGTCGCTCCGCATGAAGCGCTTTTCGCAGAGCGGGCACGAGAACTTCTTCTCGCCCGTGTGGGTGCGGAAATGCCGGGCTAGCTCGTCCGAACGGGCAAACTTCTTGTTGCAGTCTTCCCAACGGCATTCAAAGGGCCTCTCGCCTGCAGGGACACACAGAAAAGAGAAAGAGGTCACCTCCTTGGTTCAATTCCGTCTTTTATTACGGTCACCCACAAGAATTCAAACATTAAATAAATAAAATAAAATAGAAGAGAACAAGAGCTAATAGTGTATTACAGTTGGGTGAGTGTGATCATGGATAGATGGCCAAAGTCTGCCTAATTTGATAGACATTGTCCAGGATGCTATAAAACACTTCTATGGCGTTCCCGCATCTTGGTTAGTGAGCTTATCTTCCTGGGCAGCCCGAATGCCTGTTTCTAGGGAGGGCAGTTTAAAATTGTTATTTTTCCCTTCCTGTGGACGAAGGGATAATAAACACGCTGCAAAGTTGCTTGAGGTTTGGTGGGCAAACGAAGAAGGGGCGGCGATGAAATTGTCCATCTCTTTTGTCCCTTGATTTATATCTGACATGCTCTTTTTAATATAGCAAACCCATAAATTCAGAGAACAAACAACGGGGGGGGAGGGGGATGTCACCACACCTTCATAAATGCAGAAGAGAGGATTATTGGTCAAGTTACTGGCAGTTTCTACAGCAAGGAAGATGAGCAAACAGACATAAATTGCAGAAGGTTGACAAAACAGTGTGTCTGTTCCAGCTCAGCTAAAGGACTTTCCCCCCCCCCCAGTTCCCACCTATTAAGGAACAAAATTGCATTTCCTTTGGATTCTCAGATCAACTTTGTCTACCCAAAGGACAGAAACAATTGCTACAAGCTTGAGAATCAAACAGCCCTCCCCCTATTCCTTGTGGGGTAAGATCCTATTGCTCTATTTTCCTGTCATGTCGGAGGTGGGTCTATTATGTTACCTTAGCCCTGTGTTTCTCAATCTTGGCATGAGAGCCCTGCCCCGACTTGGTCCTTTAGGCAAGAAAGACCCTCAACTCCATTTGTAGTACAAGGTATAGTTTACTAAAAGCCTAGTGGATTACAGTATAGCAATGGCAGAACTAAAGTTCGTGCACCAAACTTTCCTGGTTAACTTTCCCTGTCCAGTTCATTCCTCTTGCTAGTCCCTTATTGTCTAATTATATTTGAATCAATTGTTTTAAGAACTGTCTCTTCAACGGTGAGCTGTTATGTTCCATTACCAGCGCTTTGACCTTGAGATGGTGTCTCTGGAAGGTACGATGAATAGTTAGTCTTCCGCCCCCTCCTAACCAGCTCCCTCCTTCTGTGGCAGACTGGCAGATGGCAAATGCAAAGCTCAAGTGAATGATGGCAGTCCTGACATAGCAACTTTAAGATGTATGAACTTCAACTCCCAGAATTCCCCAGCTAGCAATGCGAGGGAGTTGAAGTCCACACATCTTAAAATGGTCAAGTGTGTGAAACATTGCTCTAAGACAGTGTTTCTCAACCTTGGTAGCTTGAAGATGGGTGGACTTCAACTCCCAGAATCTTAGCTGAGGTATTCTGGGAGTTGAAGTCTGCATATCTTGGTAATTTAAGATTGAGAAACACTCCCTTAGAGACCAACTGAAATGCTTCACAGTGTTTATCTATTTATTCAATTTATATGGCAACAAACAGACTATGGGTGGCAAACCATCATAACCTAACTGAATACCAATATTTCCATCAGTTGACAGTGCTGCACTGTCCTCCAGAATTCTTCTTGAGGCTGGAAGTTAAGCAGAAACAACAAGGAAGGAAGGCAAGATGACAAATGACAACATCTCCAGAGCATATTGATCAAGGTTTATTAATCAATCCTATGAGAAATATTTCTAGCATTGAGTTTTCTAATAGATAGATCTAACTATCCAGGATGTCCATTTCTTCCTTCCCAAAATGAGGGTGAGATATCCTTCATTAGATGAAGATAACCAATGATATGGTTATTAAATGACTTAATCAATAAAGATTCTATTCTATTCTATTCTATTCTATTCTATTCTATTCTATTCTATTCTATTCTACTCTACTCTACTCTACTCTACTCTACTCTACTCTACTCTACACTCTACACTCTACACTCTACACTCTACCCTACCCTAGTCTCCAAAAGATTTCAGAGTTTATTTCATGTGGTTACACGATTCTGTGACCTTCAGTTGAGGAGGCGACAGAGAGAATAAAACCTATTTATGTTCTCCCATGACCCCCAGCAGGATGTTTGATGGCCTCCAACTGCCTGTTCTCTTGGGTATCACATGCAGAAGGCCTGTCGTGATGGATAGATTTGAACTTTTCCACTGGCTCAGGCTTCCAAAGGCAGCCTCTGAAGCGGCTCCTTTCTCTCCCCTATCTGTACTCAGAGTTCAGGGGACCCCTCTATACAGCATCTCCTGAGCTCTCCTATTGTCCCTTTCTCTGCAACCAGGATGGAGGGGTGGTGAGGATGTGGTTATACGGTATCAAGTGCCCTATTACTGGCAGGAAAGAAAGCAACTGAGAAAAAGAGAGCAGTAGAACTCATTGCCTCATATTTGTTAAGGAACAAGCAGTGTGGCAAAATGTCTTGCATCAGACTCAATTCTTCAGAAGCCACCTGTGCAAAACAGTTGCTGGGCCCCTGCAAATATCTGTTGGCTATTAGGACATGGGCTACTGCTCTTCAAACACGGGATCATCCTGTTGGTACAACCAACACCCACAAGAATAAAAAAAAGAGCAGAATAACAAAAACAGATTTGGAAGGAACCTTGGAGGTCTTCTAATCATTCCTTACACAAGAAGGAAACCTTATATCATTCTAGACAAATGGTTGCCCAGTCCCTTCTCAAAAGCCTCCAGTGATGGAGCAACCACAACTTCTGGAGGCAAACCGTTCTACTGGATGATTGTTCTCACTGTCAGGAAATTCCTCCTTATTTCTAGGTTGCTCCTCTCCTTGATTAGATTCTCCATCCATTGTTTCTTGTCTCGCCTTCGGGTGCTTTGGAGAATAGATTGACTCCCTCTTCTTTGGGGCAGCCCCTCAAATATTGGAACACTGCTCTCGTGCCACCCCCAGTCCTTCTTTTCATTAGACTAGACATCCCCAATTCCCACAACTGTTCTTCAAAACATTGAATCGAATGTCCGTGTCTGTCTTGAAAACGGGTGCTTTCTTGGTTCCATAGCAGTTGATATTGGACCATGCCTCACCATCAAGAATAAGACTTTGGCCAAAAGCATCTACCATCGAGATGCAGGTAGTCCTTCACTTATGACCGTATTTGGCACTGGGAATATTGGTTGTTAAATGAAGCAGTTGTTAAGCGAGTCATCACATGACCAGTCAAACTTACAACTGTGGTTGTTAAGCAAATCACATGGTTGTTAAGCGAATCATACAGTCATGAACCTCATCTGGCTTCTCTAACTGGCTTCGCTTGTTGGGAACTGGTTGGAAAAGTCGCCAATCGTGAACAGAGAACACTGCAACCGGTCATAAACTAAGCGCCCAAATTACAGTCATGTGACCTCAGTGGTGATGCGACAGTCGTAACTTCGAGGAGAAGTCATACATCCTTTTTTTTTCTGAAGCCATCATCCCTTTGAACCAACATTTAATGAATGGTCGTATGATGAGGATGACCTGAACACTCCCAATCTAGGGAGGGATGGAAGGGCTGTTTCTCCAGGGGGTGTAATAGTGCAGGGGTCCCCAACCTTTCCAGATTGGCAGCCTGGCACGGGGGTGGTGGTGGAAGAGAGGGATGGTTCCGTGCAAGGTGCACACCTGTGCACAGCTCCATTGTGCAAGTGGAGCTTCACACGTGAGCACAAACACCCACCGCTCGCGTGAGTGGAGCTTCATAGGCAGGTTTGCCCATCGCTTGTGCAGCCCAGTTCCAAACGGGCGAAATAGAGTATGAACTCCATGAGTTTGTAAATTAGGCTTGTTCCGGGCATAGAACCAAACCCCCCTCCCCCCCAGCCAGAATATTCGTTTCTGCAGCAGGAAAAAGTGCTGGGAACCACTCCGGTGATAGGCCAATCATGCACAATTTTTGGGGGGGGTGGGAGTGGAATTGCACTGGCTAAGCAAACCAAGGAGTATTTTTAAACAAAGCGTCCTTAAATAAGGCTTGCCATCTTTGGGCAAATATCTTTCCACTTCCCCTGTTTTTTGTACAGGCACTTCAAACTGACCAACAGGCTGAACCTCAAAACCACCCTCTGGGCAAATGAGATATTTGGGGTTTGCATAAAAGGTGCTTTCTTTCCAGGGTTGCATCAAAGGAGAAAAGAGAGAGAGAGAGAGAGAGAGAGAAAAGCCGATCTTAACCATTGGCCTCTTTCTTTGAACTGAACGCAGGGCTATTTTAAGCCCAGCCATTTATTTATTCCCCTTGGAAGGTTTTCATTTATCTTTGGGGTTTCCTGGTTGTAAAAGCCCAGAGACTTTCAGCATATACAAACTCCAGGCTGTGTGTCATCAGGGTTTGATTTCGGTCTGAACTTCGGAGTCAGCAAGGCTATTTATTCCTTCCTAGATCTGTGCCACCCTGGAGCTGGAAAGACCTCTTGGAAAAGAGGGCTCGGTTTTTCCATGAATAATTTGAAAACGAAACCTCACCCTTCCTTCCCTCATGTCCCCTCCTTGCTTTGGCACCTTCTGCCTCCACCGTTCTTGAACGGGTCTCATCCTGACATCACTGAGCTCCTCAAAGAATATGGCTTGGTGACTCCAGGAGCAGTTGACTGCTCAGGAGTCACCAATGACCCAGGACAGTTAATTTCAGCGGTATAGAAGGATGGTCTTTTATTAAGGCTACATATTATGGCCTCTCGCCCCTCCCTTCCCTCCCTCCCTCCCTCTTTCCTTCCCTCCCTCCCTCCCTCCTTCCTTCCTTCCTCCCTCCCTCCTTCCTTCCTCCCTCCCTCCCTCCCGCCCACTTTCCTTCTTTCTTTCTTCCCTCTCTCCCTCTCCCTATAGGCTTCCCTTAAGCTCTCCCCCAAGGAGCTGTAAAGACCCCTGTCATAAGACCCATTAAGGATGCCTGGCATCTTTGGAGCCGCAGTTCCTTATTCAAGTTTCAACA